CGTGCCTCGCGCTCCTGGCCCGAAGCATTTGGAGAAGGGGCGATGACGGGCATGGGGGGAAAGTACTCGGTCTGGGCATGGGTGCCGTCCTCGTGGTGGGCGTAGTAGAAGGGCACGCGTGGTGAGGGCTTGGGGGTCCGCCGTTGCGGCACGTCGATGATAAGGGCCTCGTGGACGGTCTGGCCGCCGGGGAAGTAGGCATCGAGGGTGCGGCACATGTCTTCCTCGGGGCCCAGGGTGCGCTCTCCTGCCCGCTGAGCATCGCGCGGCACGATGCGCAGCGTCACGTCGGGCGAGTCGAAGCTCCGGCCGAGCGAATTGGCGTACTTTTTGAGAATCATGTCGCGGACATCGTCAACCAGGTCGTCTTCGCGAATCTGCACCAGCGTGGCCGAGGCACTGGGCCGCTTGACCCAGATCTTGCGGTGCAGCATGCCTGCGCTGAAGTTGGCGGGTGCTCCGCCAAAATAATCGGCGACGGTGGGCGGCCCAGTAGCTATGGCAGCCTGGGGGATGTCGGGGACGAGCAGCTTCTTGATTATCTGCGCATCGGTCTTGTTGACGACAGACTGGCGGCGGACGAGGGCGGGCGATGGCGTATGGGACGTGTCGTTGCTGCTGGCGGCGGGGAGAAGGTCGCTGTGGTCGCTCGGTGCGGAAGAAAGCGATGATGGCTCCGCGCGGTTGAGCTCGGCAGGCTGCTGCACTACGGGGTTGATGGGCGTGGGTGCCTCAAGTGTCACCTCTGGACAGACAATGGGCACGTCGTCTGCGTCTGCTGAGGGCTGGCGGGCGTAGGTGCTGGCGGCTGAAGTGCCCGTGTATGTCGAATGTCGATCTCTCGAGGTGTTCAAGCTGCCAGTGCTCCCGTGGACGTCGTCGGCCTGACTTTCGGAAGCCGTTCCCAGCACTTCCGACCTTACCATTCGTGGATCAGCTGTTCTCTCGTCGGCAGCGTCGGGGCTAGACGCCTCAGGCAGCTTCTGAAGAGAGACGCTTTTGCGCAGGGAGCTGGGCGGTGGTGGCTGCCGCTCGCTGCCTGCCGACGACGTTATCGAGCGTGCACTGGCACGGGTCGATGTCGCGCTGCTGCGTCGCAGAAGTTTGGACCGCGCATTGTGCAGCCGCGCCTTGATACTGCTCATTCCAGCAACGAGCCGGAGGCGGCCAGCATGCAGTTTCGAGAAGCGCTGCGAGGCCGTTGCGTTGCGAGAACTCGAGGAAATGTTGGCCTGACTTATTTGGGTCCGCGGCGCTGTGAGAAGCTATCGGATGGCCTTGGCCGGCTTTCCATCACGCGCGGGCAATCTGAAGGAGTCGTGCTGCGGGGGGCTCACGGGAAGAATAGACAATTACGATTAAAACAAGAAGGAAAGGGGCACGATCCGATTACTACAAGACACGAAAAGGAAATGCGTCGTGTTGTGCTTCTTTGCAAACAGGTATTACCATGTTAATCTCAAAGCGCGCTTGGGCCTTGGGGTGCGTTCGTTCACCCCTCTCACTGTTGACACCGCCCAACTTGCCACCTTAAAGCGTGCCCAGTTTGCCTACGTACGCGTTATCCTAGAGACGTCGCTCGCCCAATCTCACTCGACGCTTCACTATTCGCAGCTGAACGCCTGGAGTTGTCTTCACGGACTATCCCAGCACGTTCCTCGCCAACTCATCTTGAGCCAAAGCCCACTGGGACCCTCCCGACTCCTATTCAATCTACGCCCACTGAACGTAGCGCCCGGCTCACCCGCGCACCCATCGTCGATTCGCACATGGGACTCCCGCGTGCATCCATCGCCACATGTATGCAGGCCGTTGAGATAAACTTGATATCACCAACAGCCTACACCACATTTGGCTCCCCCGCGCCACTGTGGCTGACAAGGCCTCGTTTCTGCCCATTGGTTGACATGTGTAAATTGCGTCCTGGTTGACAAGTTACCACGGCCATGGAACACAACAGTCATCGCGAGAAGCGCTTGTCACACCTCAGCCTTCGAGAAACTCGACTCGACTCCATCCCAATGGCCGAGACGCCATGTTAGTCTTATGAAACGTCTGTCCCAGTTCTGTTCCATTGACCGTGCAGTAATCATGCGTCAACCCTTCCACTTACGGCTTCATGTAGCGTCCATATGAGCTTGTCCTTCACATACGACCATAGATTCAAGAACATAGCGCTTCCCGTTCGCTCAGCGGTACTCAAGCTTGTAATCGGCGGATTAGTAGGCAGGTGGGTGACCACTGGCGAATCCCCGCTGTTGTATGTTTTTTGTCTTAATTTTTGCCTGCTAATCCTGACTATACTTCCATGTGCATGAGGATTGCAGCAGACAGAACAAAGGGGACAACTGCAGTACAAACTCGTGACGAAAGAATGATGTCATTGTCCAGACTACACTACTGGATATACAGTTTTACATCAACAATGACAAGTCTTGGGTGGTTGAACGTAGACGACGATAATGGGAATGATCATGGGACACTCATATCCAGGATGCTTTTACGTTCCATATGATTTGTTTGCGCTTCGTGTCGAAACGTAACGATTCTATCCACGCAGCACGTACAGCGTGCGTAACAATGGGGGTACTCGTCACAGTGATCTACAAGGCTTCGTTGTGGACTCCATGCCACATATCCAACGTCCTCCCTTTGTCTTGATTTCGCTCTTCATGTCATATCCAAGACTATCTTCTATCTTCTAGTCTCTTTTTGCGAGGCCTAGAAATCCTTGAAGCTCTCATCCCACTTGTCGCTCAACTCCTTGGTATATGGGTCTCTCTTCTCCGACTCGGGTTCGTATTCATCAAAGTTGCGTGTATCAGCGGGTCCCCTTAGGTGTGGCACAATAGGTCCTTGGACTTCGCGGTTGTACAGTTTCACCCAGTCAATGTTCTTAAACCACTCGTGTTGTTTTACACGTTGAGCACCGCCTGCAACGTTACCCAGTCGCTTGGATGTGTCGACTGTGCAGAGGCCAGAGATGAGGTCGCGCGCAGTGGGGGACATGGCGGAAGGGAAGCGCACACGGCCTTCCACGATCCTAAGACATGTTAGCACTCGTGTCTTGAACATGAATTGAAAGCCGCGTACTGCTCGTAGATCTTCATTGGGTTTTGGTCCCAGAAAGGCGGTTGTCCCACGAGGAACTCGTACACAAGGATACCAAATGCCCACCAGTCGACTGCTGTACCGTGGCCTGTGTTCCGAATGACCTCGGGTGCCAGATACTCGGGTGTGCCGCAGAGTGTGTAGGTCTCTCTATTTTCTACTTTCTTAGCAAACCCAAAGTCCACCAGCTTGAGGTGGCCGTCGGCGTCTATGAGTATGTTTTCGGGTTTCAGGTCGCGATATGCAACGCCTTCCCTCTCATGGAGGAACTCTAATATTAGGACAATCTCAGCAGCATAGAACTGTGAGGTGGGCTCGTTGAATCGCCGTGCTCTCCGCAGATAGCTGAAGACTTCGCCGCCGGGGCAGTAGTCGAGCTGTCCGTCACGTCAGCCAATGACCAGCGCTTATGAAGACGTGTCGCTACGTACCACCATGTAGAGGGAGTCGAGCGATTGGAAGCTTGCGACCATGGTAGTTATGAAAGGGTGGCCGGCAACCTTGGCAAGGACATTGCGCTCGTTCCGAACATGCTCAACTTGCTTGAGGCGGATGACTGGGAGGGTCAGTAGCTGTAGAGGCGCATACCAAGAGAGTACGTTCAGAGCGCATCGAGCGAGACGTACCATCGACTTTGCGCAGGATCTTCAAGGCAAAGACTTTGTTCTCGTCACCCGCCTTTGCGTCCTTCAATCGCACCAGCCACACACGCGCAAATGTACCTGACGTATAGTCAGCGTCCAGTTTTGAGTCTGGCGGCGTGGAGTCGCATGCGCACCCGTGCCCAGCGTCTTAATCAGCTCAAAGTCTTCCTGGCGCAAAACCTTGGAGGAGTGGCCAACAGGCTTCTTTTCCGGATCGATGTCGATCTCGTCGGGGCTGAGTGTGTGCTTTTGCGCCTCCCATTGCGCCAGATGCTGCTTCTCTTCCTCGCGCGGCCTGTCCATGGCGGAATCGGTGCGGTCGTGTAGCGGGCCAGAATGCGACGGCGAGGAGGCCTCCTTCTTGTCCCGGTGGTGCTGCATGGGGTGCAGCATGCTCTTGAAGGTAGTCGTCATGGTGGCGGGTTATGCGACAGCGGCAGCGGCAGCGGCAGCAGCGAGGGGGTGGTGCGAGTAGTGAGTGCGATCGAGGGTTGCAGTGCTGTCAGGGCTCATCCAGGAATCAGTAATTCAAGCAACACATGGCAGCAGGCACAGGCAACGGCGGGGTCAATCTTCGGCTTTGTTTGTGTAGTAAGCAAATGTATCGTGGAAGTCAACCAGGCGGAAGGGCCGGGCTCGTAGCACTCGAGAACCACGGCCAAGGGGACTATAAGCGGGCGCGACAAGTGCTGCGGGGTGGTACTCACTGCAATGACGCAGGACGTGGGATTGGGCTTGAAATAGAGCCGACTTAAGCCAGATGAGACGGCACGCCACTTCTCGACGAGCTCGTTTAGGCTTACCCAGCTTGTACTCTGCAAGTAGAGAATCGTTTCTGTATTAACGCGTTAACATGCGTCGCGAAGGCTGTATCGAACCCGGACACGGCTAATCAAGTTCAAACTCGGGCGTTAGACAACGCATTAACGGATATAACGATCCACACAGCTGGTTGCAGCTTAAACGACAGTCTTCGTATCCGACAACATCAACGGAAGTCCAGTCTACTCTCAGCATTCTGCCATCTTGTCTGTCACTTTGGATTCGATACGGGAATAACATGCTGTTCGATTGTACTAGATTGGCCCAAACTCCAGTGTATTGCAAACCCAAATATTGCAACTCCATGCTTGCATGCTCGTCAACTGTTTCTACACCATGTAGTCGTACAAAATCCATCTCCGTGTCCGCCTTGTTCGCTTGTTCGCTATAACATAAAGTTAAGTGCTTCTCACAGGACTATGCTCAACCACTTGCGCGGGTGTTAAGGATAAGAGCGACAATGAGTCTGGTCATGTTAGTCGTTGGCCAGCCGTTGTCAGTCGCGTCGACGTACCCATAGAGACCCAGAACTTCAGCGAAAATGAGGATGAGGACCATGCCGACGAAGATCCTCGATTGGCGCATGAAGGAGCGCACACCAGCGTCTCCCACGATTCCAATCGCATAGCCTGCAGCCAAACCTGACAATCCGACCGACAAGCCAGCAGCCATGTGCATGAATCCAGCATACAGCGAGTATGTGTTGTCCGGCGGTGGCTTGATGTCGCTGGCGATGAGGACGGATATGACGAGGGCATAGACGGCCAAGATACCGGACATGACGATGGGGATGAGCGACTGGTCTGGTTAGACAGAGCTCCGAGGTATGCTAGGTATTCAACTCGTACCTTCATAATCAGGTCTGGCCTGTATGTTCCGATACCCGCGATGCCGATGCCTGCTTTGGCTGTGCCATAGGCAGCTCCCGCGCCTGCTGCCGTTAGCTCATGCACGTCCAGGTGGGTGTGTCGGGCGTGGTACATCCAAAGATCATCTGGCCAGGGTTCGTATATTAGTTCGACAGCTATGTGGGAACAGTGCCACTCACAGCAAACGCGATTCCGCTCTGGTTGGAGGTTAGCTATGAAGTCATCAACACGGCGAAGGCGAAGCACTCACCATGCCAAAGAATGGCGCGAAGCTGGGCGCGAGCTCGTTTGACGACATGGTGCCTGCTCGGTGTGGACGCAGGTATTCGGCGGGGTGTAGTAGTTGGGAAGTCGGCAGCGGCGCGTGATGGGGGATGCGTTGAATGATTGATAGTCGTTGCGCTGGGCGTTCGTAGGAGAAAGGGCGCTAAACCGGTTTGGGGCAGCACCTGGCCAGCGCTTCTCATACACACGATGCATGGATACGACTACCCCATACTCGCCCTCATTCCGCACCCAACCCACCATAACCACCATCTTTATTCCGGACGGCCCTGGGTCCTCGCTGGGCGGCTTTCACTCCACCTGTCCGAGTCGCCCTTGTTCTCACCCACACCACCTCCCGCGGCACACAGGCCCGACCCGGGCAAGACTGCGTGAAGAGACATGGCCGACTACGGGAACCAGCAACGTCCAGAATATGCGCGCGGCCCCAGCCATGGACAGCCTACGGGTGCACGGGAAACCGCCTTCACCAACATCTTCGGCGCCAGCCCCCAAATGGCCGGCCGCTCGCAGACCATGACCTCGCAGTCTCATATGCGCATGCCCGATAGAGCTGCCACAATGTCCAGCCAGACCGCCGATATGATGCAGCGCGCCCCGCCCTTGCGCCAGCCAGTCAATGGCTATGATCGTCGCCCTCATCCTCAGTACGATCAGCGTCAGGGCCCCAGCCCCGGAGAGCAGCGGCCCATGGACCCTCAGAATCAGTACAATCGCCCCATGCCGAACGGCTACGGCCAAGACCCACGATACCACCAGGGACCACCGCAGCCTCAACGCCAGCCGCAGCCCCAGTACCTCCCCCAGCCGCTTCGCCCAGAGCGCCAGCCATACGGCCAGCCCCAGCGATTCGACCCGAGAACCTCCCCTCCGGGCCAGCCCCCCTTCACCAAGCCTATACCCAACCGCTTTCCCGGGCCCCCTGGCCCTGCCATGAACTCTGATCCGTATCGCTCGCAGTCGCTGGCTCTGAATCCGCGCCCGCAGTTTACTCCTGGCGGCCCTTCTCACCCCTCGCAAGCCAACACCTTCCGCCAACAACCATACATGAACCACATGGCACGCACGACGGCCCAGGGTCGTGTGGTGCCCGAACGCCCCGACGAGCGCACAATGTCCATGACTTCGTACACCCAAGTCCCAGAGCACACACAGACGATGAGCGGCAGGATTATTCCGAATCGGAGGCGAGAATCCGGCGGCTCTGAAATGGCACCGGGACCGCCCGGACACCCACAATCCCACATGAACGCTGGACTCCCGCCAAATCCCAGAAGCATCAGCCAAGGCAACATGCCGAACCAGTCCCGCACCATGTCCATGGCTTCGACCATTGTGCCCCCGTCAGAGCGGACAAGCACCATGTCTTCCATGACGTCGCGTCCTGATTCCACCCAGACTCTGGGTAGCAACGCCAGCAACAACAGAACCTCCAACCAGTCCATGACATCGCTCTCAACAGCTAACCAGGTTCCTGCTGCTCAACGGCGCGCTCCTCTCGTCTATCCCGCCTTGCTATCAAGAGTCGCTGAAACTTTCCAGGACCGAGTTGGCCTGACAGAGAAAGAAAAGGACGGGCTTGTGTACAAGAGTGCCTTTACGGGTGCAGATGCAGTTGATCTCATCTCCTTCATTATCAAGACGACGGATCGTAATCTAGCACTACTCCTCGGTCGTTCCCTCGACGCCCAAAAATTCTTTCACGATGTCACATACGCCCACCGGTTGCGAGATTCCACCAACGAGATATACCAGTTCCGTGAGACCATGGTGGAGGACAAGTCTGAGATCAATGGCGTCTTCACTCTTCTAACTGAATGTTACTCTCCCACGTGTACACGCGACCGCTTGTGCTACTCGATTGCTTGCCCACGCCGCCTTGAACAACAGGCTCGCCTCAACATGCGCATTCAGCCTGGTCTCAAGCGTGAGGAATCCAGGGCGAGTTTGCACGAGGATAAAGATAATGAGGAGCAGAAACTGTGGATCAACACGGTGCCTAAGGAGATCTCTGACAGTGTATCGGAGAAGGAACAAAAGCGGCAGGAAGTCATTTCTGAGCTCATGTATACCGAGCGCGACTTCGTGAAAGACCTGGAGTATCTCCGAGACTTCTGGATGAAGCCCCTCCGTAACCCCGCTACTTCACCTATCCCCGAGCATCGCCGCGAAAAGTTTGTCCGCACAGTCTTCTCAAATTGCCAAGAAGTCTACATGGTCAACTCTCGCATGGCCGAACAGCTCACAAGGCGCCAGCAAAAAGAGGCCGTGGTTCGAAACATTGGAGACATATTCCTCGAGTATGTGCCACATTTTGCGCCTTTCATCAAGTACGGTGCGAACCAGCTCTTCGGTAAGTACGAGTTTGAGCATGAAAAACGTACAAACACCGGATTTGCCAAGTTCGTCGATGAGGTAGAGAGGATGAAGGAGTCGCGAAAGCTCGAGCTGAACGGCTATCTCACCAAGCCAACAACGAGATTGGCCAGGTATCCGTTGCTCCTGGAGAACATTGCAAAGTACACGGCCGATGATAATCCGGACAAAGAAGACATCCCCAAGGTTATTAAGATCATCAAAGAGACTCTATCGAAGGTCAATGTGGAATCCGGAAAGGCAGAAAACCATTTCAATCTGATGCAGCTCAATAAGGACCTCAAGTTCAGGCCCGGAGAGTTCGTCGATTTGAAACTGACCGACGAGAACCGACAATTGGTGTTCAAGGGCACTTTGAAGAAGACTCCAACAGAAACCACCGGTGACATCACGTGTTACTTGTTTGACCATGCGGTCTTGCTGGTCCGGGCAAAGACCGTGAACAAGCGCGAAGAACAGAAAGTCTACAAGAAGCCCATACCGCTAGAATTGTTGGTCATCACACAAATGGAGGAAGTCAACCCCAAATTAGGCATTGCGAAAAGGCCATCGGCAAACTTGATTGCCGGAAAGGCTATTGCAGCTGCTACTCCAAAGAACAACGATCCAAAGCAGCAAGGATATCCCATCACCTTCAAGCATCTTGGAAAGGGTGGTTACGAGTTGACACTATTTGCCAGCACTCCGATCTCTCAACAGAAGTGGATGGAGCACATCGACACGCAGCAGCGAAGTCTGAGGGAGCGCAGCAACATCTTTACCAAGACGATCGTCAACGAGGGCTTCTTCTCTCCGACCATCAGAGTCACTTGCGCTGTTCCGCTGGGTATGTATTCAACTATCGCACTCAAAAGTCTCACACTAACGCTCAACAGACGGAGGTCGCAAGCTGGCTCTTGGTACGGATGCTGGTGTTTACGTCGTGGAACGAAAGCCAAAGGACGCTTCGATGCGGCCCAAGCGTGTATTGGATTGCAAGGGCGTAACTCAAATCGAGGTTCTCGAACAACACGCAATCGTGCTTGTTTTGGCCGACAAGACGCTATACTCTTACTCAACCGAGGCTCTGGAGTCGGACGAATCACAGGCTATGGTCAAACGACCACGCAAGATTTGCCATGCCAACTTCTTCAAGGCCGGCATCTGCTTGGGGCAACAGTTGGTCGCTGCAGTCAAGACGTCCGCCCTCTCGACGACCATCAAGGTGTACGAGCCGAAGGAGCAGATGGGCAACAAGAACAAGAAGTCAGGATTCGCGAAGATGATGCTCTCCACCAGCGGAGCAGACCAGCTCAAGCCGTACAAAGAATTTTACATCCCCACCGAATCGACGTCGATACATTTCCTGCGGTCCAAGCTCTGCGTTGGCTGCGCGCGCGGTTTCGAAGTCGTCAGTCTGGAGACGCTCGAAACGCAATCGCTTCTCGACCAAGCAGATACTTCGCTCGACTTTGTCGTACGGAAAGAAAACATCAAACCAATTCACATCGAGCGTATGGCAAGCGAATTCCTCCTATGCTACACGGACTACTCATTCTTCGTCAACCGCAACGGCTGGCGAGCGAGACCCGACTGGAAGATTACATGGGAGGGCACTCCACAAGCTTTCGCTATCTTCAATCCCTATATTCTTGCTTTTGAGCCTAGCTTTATTGAAATACGGCATATGGAGAGCGGAGGTCTGGTGCACATCATCACAGCCAAGAATATTAGATGGCTGCACACATCGACACGCGAAGTAAGTCAACTACATCAAATGACATCTATACAGAATGTTGACCATGTCCAGATCCTATACTCCTATGAAGACGAACTGGGTACCGATGTCATTGCCAGTCTTGACTTCTGGCAGACTGCAAACGGTGGAAAGCAATCGCTCGATGTCCAGCGCGCATATGAGAAGAGCTAGACTTGACGGTAGCCCGCAACAAAACCTCAACGTCGAGCCTCTACTCTCGGACATATGAGCACGAAAGCCGTAGCGACTGCATAGCCGTAGAGCTACAAATGCACGACCCATTCCGCTGACGACTGCGTTGCAGTTCTCCTTGTCATCAAACTTGTCAACGGTGGCATACGACATTACGGTTAGGGAAGCTCAGGAAGTGCCTCGATCGAGCCGCGGGCGGCGGCAATGGATCGATCACATTGATTATTACTCCCTTCTCCAAGGTCAAAGAGGAGTACATTTGTATCATAATAGAGTCGCGCAGTGATTGATCTCATGGATTCATAAAGGCAACAAGTCTCAAAATGTGTTTGGAGACAAACAAGGTAGTGCGATTGTTGAAGACTATAATCTGAGGATGCGATTTAGCGAGTTTGGTAACCGTTTTATTTCTCTCTACTATCGAATAGAAGTTCGATTTAGCACAACGATCGGTTCTCTCAACCGCAACCCGATGCTATCCCTGAGACTTGAATTAACCGCTGGTGCCGATGCTGGACATGGGTACCCACAACTCCACCCGTCTTTACTAATACTACGGAGGCCTAGTTGGATAACGTGTTCCTTGGTGTCCAGGGCTATGACTAGTGGTCGGTCCTATTCCCCCCAACATCACATGACGGGGTTGATCTGATCTCAGTGTAGTAGTACCTCCGACGTCTTTGCTTATCACCATCGTGTCGAAACATTGTGATCATCATAGCATCGTCTTGTTGATAACTTCTTCGCTCGCACAGTCAAAGAACCACAAAGTTTGATCAGCCTCATAGTCGCAATCATGTCACGCGGTGTGCTGTGGGTTTCTTCGCGTATCGTGCATCCTGATAAACTGTCTGCCGAGAAGTTTTGTGATTGGTACGAGAATGTATGTATTCTGCTCTTGGTTGGCAGAGTTTCACGGCAAAGGAGTGAAGAAGCTGACACAAGAGTGAAAAGACGCATGCCAAAGAGGTCCTCGTCCTTCCCGGTGTACCATCCGCTGCTCGCTATACGGCTCTCCAGCAAAAGCTTTCACGTCCTTACTATAGTAACGAAGCCCCATGGCTGGTAAGTGCTCATCTTCTCAGTTGATAACCTCTGTACTGCACTGCCGCCTGTTCCAGAAATCCCGTCTAACCACAGCCCCCCTACAGACACTCTACGAATTCCCAGACCTATCCTACAAAGATAGCCAAGGATTCAAAGGCATCAAACCACCAGGCGCAGACCTAATCGAAGATGTGTACAAAAACGCCCGCTTCGACATCCGCTTCTACGAAGAAGTACAGGTGGTCGAGGGCTCCACTTCATCCCCACCCAAATTCCTCATCTCCGCCGCTCTAGACCCTCCAAAAGACGCAGCATCCACTGATGATTTTGATGCCTGGTACCGTCAAGAACACATCCCCATGCTCGAACGCGCACCTGGTTTTGTGCGCTCACGCCGCTTTAAACTTAGCAACGCAACTGTCATCAACGAATTTCAGGTTGGTGACGTGACCAAGGAGGCGCCGCGCTTTTTGGCCTTGCATGAATTTAGTGGTGAGGCGTTGCCGTGGAAAGAGATTGCGGAGAGTACGTCGACCGAGTGGGCAAAGAGAGTTTGGGGTGGTTTGGAGAAAGAAGAGGTAGGGTGGTATGAGGTTGGTAAGGTGTATAGTGAGAGTGAATGGGGACATGTTGGAAAATAAGATATTACAAGATAAAATAGAACATTGCAACTTGTGATTAAGGCTGAAACTCTTTTTTTCTTGTGGCCTTGCTATGGCGAAATGAATGTGTGTGTGGACGCACTTGGTGCTATGAACTTTGCGTAGTTCCCTCGCTCTTTTGAGTCTTCCTGTGGACTAGTACATACATTAAGTTTTGTAGACATGAGTCTCAGGCTTGCGCCCATCTTAATCTATATAATAACCCGATCCGTTGCAAGCCCAGAATAAAACTTGATAAAAAAAATAAAAACACGTATCATAATAGAACCTTCGCAAACGCTTACTTCCATACCTGGACAATATCACTCACCCCTTGTACGCGCTGGAGCCAACATATTGGACCTTCTTTTACACTCTTAGTGTAAGAGCTGTCTTGTAAGAGTTGTTTCTCCTTGTCCATCCAATCGACAATCTTTTCAGCGGACTTGAAGTCGAGATCGCCTAGTTTCGACTCAATCGCAGTAACGCCCGCTGTGTTGTATGAGATCTTGATGAACATTGAACAGTCTCTCAATGTCATTGCAAGGCGGAGGTTATCATCAAATGTTCCAGTGTCCGCCTGGGGTCGGCAAAGGACGCCGCGAGGATCAAGGGAACTTTGCAGATTGAGGAGATGTTGTAGTAAAGTAATACCGTCGCCTACTGTAACGTAGTCTAGGAGAGCTTTTGCAATGGCTGATGTGACTACTGGGGCTGGTGGTTTTCCTCCTTCGAATTGTCGCATGACTGTTGTCTGTGACCATGGTTGGAGCGATGAGGAATTGCCATGGAGCAGCTGGAGTGGACAGATGTAGTTGTCGCGTTTCTTGGGCACAGCTACTTGCATTGCGCAGGTGCGACAGCGAACTGCCTTAGGCGGTGCGTTTGGAGATTGTGCAAGCCACTTTGGCTTCACTTCTAGCGTTATCGATTTCCCTGGTATAGGCGACATGTCGGGTAGGAGTATCCCCCAGCATTTTCGTCGCGACTGCGTGTTTGCAAATGTAAGCTTTTCAACTCGAGTGTAAAGGTGATCCATGACGTCCGGGAACAATAGCACACCCTCATGATCCATTAGGTGTTTGGTAAGGTCCCGGTCCAGTTGAATTTTGTTACGGGCACCTGGTAAGAAGAGTGGGCGAATTGCATGCTCGAACCCGTCAAGTATTTCTAGGGATGAAAGGTGCTTTTGGCCGCCCCTCGGTACTCTGAGGACTGTACCCATCAGGCTTTGGTGGGCTACTGGTGTGGTTACTCCAGACAGCTTGTCCTTGGGGGATACATCGACGAACTGAAATCGTTTGGCGCTAGGACTGAGCTCTGGCCGAATCTTGAATATGACGTTCGCAGCTCCTTTATTGAGATAGTCAAACGCGACTTGTGACCCCATTGCGGTCGCGGCAGTCGCCTGTAAACAACAGCGAGTCCGGCCGTTCCCTTGCTCTTCTGAGAGACTGCGCATCTCATCCTGGGTGAGCCGTGTTTGGACCATGTTTGTCGGGCTGGCTTGCAGATAGGGCGACTGTTGTTGCTGATAGGGGCATCCTACCAAACGTGCGACACCTGGCCTGAGGACTACTGTGGGTGCATGTGAATGGTAGTCACTGCCGGATCTTGTTGTTGAAATGCGCAAGAATAGTGTCTAGTCTCTAAAGGCGCGCGATAGTGTTTATGGTCTCATGAGTAGGTGTCCTTTGTTGCCAACGTGTTCTGCGGTGGCCCTTGTGCACCCAAAGCTTGCGAATGTGCGAGGCTGCCCGAACAGAATGACGTAAATGCACCGGACGGCGGGGAGATGCAGGAAAACCTGGTGATGTGTCGCGAATCGGTAGGTGTACGGTGAAAAGACGGACGCGACATGTTGCCTAAGTGCCACAATCAGGCTGGCTTTTGTGGCGCTCAGAAGGGCATGTTTGAACAGTGGTACGCTGTCTAAAAAAAAATGGTCTCACGTAATCTCGCCCCGGCCAATCACGAGCATAACATGCATTTCTCGCGACTTGTGACGCTCTCTAGTTCCTGCTGCCCAAACTACTATCCATTCTCCCGCAACGTCACAGGCCACCACTCACCGCACATTGCATACCGCGTTTTCCACTTTCTCGCAATCCGAAAATAGACGCCACAATGCCAGCGCCCTCGCCCCTCCCAACCTGCTTATATAAGATCCTGCCTTCTGCCCCGCCATCACCCCTCCCCGCGCGTCTTCCGCTCTCAGATCTCGACCGCAATGACGGTTACATCCATCTCTCGACGTCAGAGCAGGTCCCTGGCACCGCCGACAAGTTCTTCAGCGACGTCTCTGAGCTGTGGCTACTGAAGATGAAGTACGAGGCGCTGGCCGCGGGTACCGATGGTGATGGGCAGGTTCATGCGGACAAGAAGGCTGAAATCAAATGGGAAGAGGTCGGACGAGGTTGCTTTGCACATCTCTACGGGGCAGATCTGGGCAACGGGAACATCGTGAGTGCGCAAAAAGTCGAGAAGAAAGGCAGCTGGGCTGAGAGCTTGAGCTTAGAATGGTGAGCGAGGCTTGCGTGTTAGAGGTCGACATCTCGTGATGGACACAACGCGAGATCAGAGAACGTTTTAGAGTAGGGCATGCGCTCATGGCCGGAGAAAGATGAACTCGGAAAACGTACCTTCTGAGTCACTCGCTATCTCTGGAGTTTCCAGCGGCCAAGTTGAAAGGCATTTCTTCACAGTGGGGAGTGCCAACGCACCAGAAAGTGATGACGACCTCTAGGCGATCGCTTCAGACCGTACTCTATGGTTTCAAGCCATCCATACACAACTTCTCGCCAGGATCCCTGATGGTTGATCCGTAGATACATCGACATAGGGCAGATTTAAGCCAAGACACATCAAACATTGCATATCTTGAAGACAACCAGAGATTGATTTTCGCTAAAGGCAGAAGGAGGGTATCTATTAAAACGCCCATCTGGACATCAAAGAGGTATGATGACAAGATAAAATACACCCAAAACCACAATAACCCTACATGGGACCTGAACCTGCCCATGGCCAGTAGAAGAAGAAAATCGCTAAAATCGCGCAACAATGGCGCAACAAGAATAAATCCAATAGTGTCCGTGTATGCAATCATTCAATCATCAACAATCCCGTCCCTCATCCACGAAACAATGCACCCTCACCGTACCATCCTCACTACCACTAACGACCCTCTCATCACTTAAGCCCACACAAGTGATAGGGCCCGTATGACCTGTCAGCGTCCTCTCATGTTTGCCCGTTCTAGGATCCCAGATCTTGATCGTCTTGTCCTCGGCCCCACTGACCAATCTGAGCGAATCGGCAGCAAGCGACCAGATGCCCTCGACATGGCCGAAGAAGCGGTGGACGCAGCGGCCAGAGGGCACGTGCCAAAGACGGATCGTGCCATCAAGGGAGCCAGTGAGCATGTAGGAGGGTGGCGACGGACGAGAGGGTTCGTCTGGGAAGAAACATGGTTCTTCGGGATGGTTGTAGTTGTGCGAAGAAGAAGACGAGGGTTGGGCGAAAGATTGTGTGGTATCGGAGGCGAGAGAGGCCGTGTCAGAAGTGTCGTTGTTTGCATTTGCGACGAAGTCGTCTTCGTCAATTTCAAAGGCTTGCGGAAGGGGAAGCACTTGTTGAACTTGGCCTACGTGGCCCTCGTATGTCTTGATACAGCGATGGGTGTCGAGATCCCATAGCTTGACAGTCATGTCGTCGGATGCAGAGAAGAGAGTGCGTGAAGGCAGATCAATTTTGACGGCATTGACCCAATCCGTGTGTCCCATTAGTGTGGTGCGCTTCATATTGCTAAAGTCGTGTACCACGATGGTATTATCAGAAGATCCAGATGCCAGGAGCTTGTCCGCCATGTGTAGGCCAATTACACCATTGGTATGGCTAGTTAAGGTTTTGATTTCTTTGCCCGTCCGCCAATTCCAAATCTTGATTGTATTATCCAGGCTTCCGGTGATGAGTCTGCTGTCTTCAAACTGCAGGCACCGGATACCTTGGGTATGGCCGGTGAGTGTGCGTATTTCTTGGCCCGTCTTGATGTCCCAGACTTTGACTGTAGCATCGTAAGAGCCCGTGATGAGAACCTCGTCATCGAACTGCAGGCACATGACGCCGTTGGTGTGGCCTCTGAAGGTGCGCGTTGAATAGCGTCCGTACTTCCAGTTGCTACCAACCTTGTATCGATCCTTGTAGACATCTTTCCAGGGTCGTTTCTTGGGATGGTCGAAGTAGGTTGTGACTTGGTCTTGGTTTGCTTGGTTGCTGGTGCAAGCTCGCTTGTTGGACGCCTCTGGTGAGGAGTCGTCCTCTGGTACAGAGCGCTTAGCACCAACATTGGCGGCCGAGTCTTGTGACAATCGATGAGCAAGTATGGCATGCGATTGGGAGGTTTCTGGTTGCGGGGTGATATTGGGCGACCACTCGTTGAGACCCCGTCCAGATGCGCGTAGTTGTATCCGTCTCTTCTCGTGCCGCAGGCGACGCTGGTCGAGCAGCGGGAGCCCCCAGCCGCACTTTGTGCATTTCCTGTCAATGTGCTGCTCGCACATCTTGTGCCAAACGACGTCGTCATCTGCCAGTTGTCTCCACCTTCGGTTGACTTGCGAGGCCTTGCAGAGCGAGGTTGTGTCGAGATAGCAGAGGATCTTGAAGCCCAGCTCGGTGGGGAGCGCGCCGAGGAAGTCGATCTTGATGAGATTGCGGACGGACGAGGATATGAAGGAGAGCTGAGGGAAACAGCATTGAGCGAGGATACCTTGCAGCATGAGGTTGCGATGGCGGGACGGGGCAGCGGAGAAGAGCGACCAGACATTGGCAATGCTCTGCTGGTCAGCCTGGGATTCTCTGCCGAGTTGCTCTTGTAGTTGCTCCATGGACGGCTCGTCTGCTTGTCGTCGACACAACAGATCGGGACGATGGCGGTAGCAGAACTTGGTGTTGGCAGTGGGCGGGCGCTCGTCTTGACCTGGGCTGTTGGCCCCGAGCGGATTGTACTGCTGGGGGATATGTTGTGCGAGATATGGCGTGATCATCTTCTCCATTTTCTTAGACTTGTTGGCCTGGGCTTCTTCAGCGTCGTCTGCACCGCCGTGCAAGTGTCTGGTCCGCTCCGAGAGCCCCTCGTGGTCGTGGCCCTGCATCAGAGCAGCGTGCGGGTCGGTGGATGTGGCGGCGGTGAATTCGTCAGGCGAAGAGACGCGGGCGCGCCATGAGAGCCGCCTTTGCTTTGGGGTGGTGGTGGTGGTGGTGGTGGTGGTGGTCATGGTGGCGTGGGCGGTATGCGAGGCCATGTTCAATTCATGTGTCGCAGCGGCGGGCGTTGTCGAGATTGCGGGCCAATATCGCGTGCGAGCCCCAACTGTCTGGTTGTACCGGCGAATGCGGCGAAGCGAGTGTGACGGCGACTCGACGAAAGGTTGCGCAAGAATCCGTTAGGCGGAGGCGATGGTGGGCGCAAGAATAGGTTGAATGGCGCAATGCCAGCCCTTGATAGCATCTTCAGCACGCAATGCCAATGTCTCCGCAGCGGTGGACCCTCCTCCCTGTTCCTAATGCAGCCCTAGCCCCCGCCAAGCCCCTCCCGGAAGCACGATCCTAGCCCGCAGCTGTCATGCTTCACGTACCCCAGCCTTTTGCATCCTTCCCTCCACCACGGCTCCACCGGCATTACGGCCACTATGCTTGACATAAGCCCTCGTCGTCGCCAACATCATGGCCTCTCCACCCTCTCCTGCATCTCCCACCAGCAGTGGCGCTGCCTCTAGAACCTCTTTGGACCAGGACCAGACCCAGTCCCTCACTCTCGAGCCTCTCGTCAACCACTTCGTCGCCGCCAAACGCGCACTCAACACCCAGACGGTACTATGGCGAGCCACCGAAATCGTAAACACGGCACGTGACCTCTTGGAAGAGAACGCAGTCGTCGCTGCCAAGAACACATCCATACGCAACATAGTGGAGCAGCAGGTGGATGCTCTGGAAGCCGTCCGCCGCGGCATAGACGTGGTTGAGGCTGAGGTGCAGGCCGAGTACAAGCAGCTGCTCCACGACGTCGACACGTCCTTTGCCGGTCTCAACTCTACCCTCGCTGTACTCCGTGAAACACCCATCGAAGCTGCCCTGCAGCCTCAGGGCACTCCGCAGAAGCACCTCTACGACTTCATCGACAGCGCCGCCGTCTCCAACCTCCAGACCGCACTGCGCGCCTGTATAGACCGCTACACCGACGCCCATGCCGCCCTCGACGAGAGCTGTCGTGACTTTGACACAAGCCTCGACAACATCTACTCTTCCATCGAGAACGTGCCCACAACACCCGCAACCACGTCCACTCCGAGTCCTATACCAAGCCTATACCACAACCTTGAGGGCCACGCAAAGGAAGCTGCCCAGGCGTTCCAGTCGCTTGTACAACACTACGATCTATGCATAACAGCCTTGCGTCACACAGAAGGAGGCTCCGCCGCTGCTACACAAGCTACAGGAGATGCACCAGTCCACTCCGGGGATGACGGTGCCGCACCGCCCGAGCCCATGAGCGGAGAAGAGCGCCGCGACATGCTAAACGTTTTGCAAAAGGACGCGCAGGAAGTCGAAGACGTCGTCAACGAGATCCAGGAACGAGGCTCTGAAATGACCTTCCTCCTCGGCCAGATCGAGAACCACATCCGCCACGTGCGCAGCGAATCCTCGGCTCTCTCAAGCATACTAGAGATGGTGTCGCAAGTTACTGGCCAAGTCAAGGGTCATATCGTCACCTCACGCTCTTTCTATGCTTCATGGCTGCAAGACACGCGGCCTAGCCTAATCAGCGGCATCGAGGACTGGGAGAATCAGCGCGACTTCTACGAGCGCTTCGATCTTGCCTATGCCGAGCTCCTCGTTGAGATCTCGTCACGCCGACGACGGCACGAAAAGGCGAAACGGAAAGCCGAAGAAGCGCAAAAGGAGCTGGATAGACTGCGGCTTGAAGATGAGCGCGCAAGGGAGCATTTCACCTTGGCTCAGGGCGACTACTTACCCTTGGACATCTGGCCGGGCCTGAAAGATCCGCCGCGCCAGTACCAAGTCACAGTCGTGCCAACTTCTGTAGAGGAAGAGCATGAGGACGAAGCCCAAAAGACGGATGGTGCACGGAGTATACCACAGCTAGGCAGAACCGTCGTTGAGAGGGCTCTCACGCGGGTCAAACGGCGAATGTAGTTGGTTGGTGTTATATAGATATGTCATGTACGTCTTACTCCGGCTTCCGTCCGTGTATAAAGTAGAATGGAATATACATGTGTACATCCCTTCTCCTGATATCCGCAACCACTTTGGCAATCATAACCCGGCACTCGGATTCAGTCCAGCCCATGACCTTTCCCAATAGGCCGAATGTGTAGGGTTCTATGCCCATAGACATGTGCTCGCGTTGGTAGCGACCAATCTCCTTGAACTTTGCATCCTTGGCCCAGGGTCCAATGGGTACCTATATACCTTGTTAGCATACTGTGCAGATTGGTTTAGCTTGCATGTATACATGCCTTGATAAGCTTTTCGTGTACGTCGACGAACCCCGCATCCGTCATCCTCTGCTTCAGGGTATGCCCTGCGCGGATGTCCCTGCCGAACTTTTTAGCGGCATCGAGACACAGGTCCTGCCACTTCAACATGTCGACTGCCAAGTCTACAGTCCCGTCGTCGCATTCACACAGCGCGAGCGGTTCCTGAAATTCTACATAACCGCCGGGCTTGGTGTGTGCAAACGTCTGCTGAACGAGCTTGTCCCAGTCGGCGATGCTACCAGACATGGTACGGCAGTGGATAAAGTCAAAGGCCTCGTCGTGACTGTAGACCCATTCGGATTCGGCATCGTCAATGTAAAACTTGACGTTGGGCGGTACCCATGTCGGCTGGATGGGACTGAGATCGGTGCCTATGACCTGAGCGCCTGGGTGCTCGTCGGCAAAGTCTATGGCCCAAATGCCAGTGCCGGTACCAATGTCAAGGACACGCTGGGGAGCGGGCGGGATGGGCGCATCGTAGAGTTTGCCGCCTAGGATAAGCAGAAATATGTGGTGTAGCAAGTCGAGGCGATCCTGCTCCTGTTCGTCGTTCGGTAGGATGTAAGCACCCGAGCGATAGCCGTGGTAGCGTCGCCCATTGGAGTATTCGTAATTCAGAATTGTCGACGCAATAGACGTTGATGCCGTCGACTCGCTGCCGAATGCCGAGTCGCTGTCACTATTACTCGCCGTATCAACATCGAGATGCAGTACGGATTCCAGGTTTCCCTGAGGAGCTGATTCATCGGGTGGGGCGGCCGACATGCTGTGTTCTTTTCCAAGAGCTCTCATGCGCTCGCGGGGTCAGGCCAACCCTTATATCTTCCACCTCTCTACATTTGTCACGGCAAGGCCGTGAGTTCCAAAATGCCGGGTCTTCACACACCCACTCTATACCATAACCAGTGTGGAAGTGATCACTTGCCTTAGCGACATGTAGGATTTCAATCTAGTCAAAAGAGCGCTTTGCCGCGTGTTCCTTTCTTTTTCGCTCTGACAGCCAGCCATCATGTCTCTACCCGTTCTGTGCGTTCTGGCGTACTTTGGGTTTCTCGTCGCACGTGTCTTTTACCGCCTATATTTCCACCCACTATCGCGCTTTCCTGGACCGAGGATAGCGGCTGTTTCAAGCTGGTACGAGGCCTATTACGAGATAGTGTTGAAAGGGCAGTACTCTAGACAGATTTCCAAGCTACACGACGAGTATGGACCTATCGTACGAGTGACGCCTGATGAGCTACACATACGAGATCCTTCTTTTTACGAACAAGTCTACGCCAAGAACCTCCATCTTGACAAGGAAGGATGGGACAAAAGGTTTGGCTGTGCGGGCGGCCTCCTTCCCACTGTCAATGCCGAGCAACACAAGCGACGCCGGGCAGCCGTGGCTCATATGTATGACCTTTGCACTGCAACGTCAGATACCAAAAAGACTAACACCTACCATCAGGTTCTCGCGTCGCTCAATTCTTGACTTCATTCACATCATTTATCGCCATGTCGATACTCTTTCTGTGCGGATGCAAGAGTTTGAGGGTTCTGCAGAGCCGCTCAATCTTTCTCATGCCTTTCCCGCCCTGACTGGCGACATCATCATGGACTACTTCTTCGGCTTCAACTACAATCAACTCAAACATCCCAGTTTTGAGTCCTTTCATGACGCTTTCATCAAGATTGGCGGCGTAGGACACGTCGCTACACAATTTCCCATGATACTTCCGGTAGGAAATATCTATGGATCAGAATTTAGTAAAACGACACAGAAAGCTGATTGTTGTTCTAGGTCATGAATAGTATTCCTGATCGAATCACCGCTTGGCTCCAGCCAGCAGCAAAGTCAATACTCAAGTTCAAGCAGGTACGTAACATCCACTTCTCTCCCCATCTCCTTCGTACCGTGTCATATCAGCCTAACATGCAAGACAGGATAACTGGCATCTCATTGCGCGCACCCTCCAAGGCGAAGAAATAAAATCCAACGACGCAAAGAAAACTATATTCCAAGAGATCCTCAGCTCCAAGCTCCCAGATTCAGACAAAACACACAAACGTCTTGCAGATGAGGCGCAAATCATCATCGGTGGCGGCGTCGAAACAACCGCCTTCTCGCTCTCCACAGCAGCTTTCCACATCATCAATACCCCGCGCATCTACGAGCGCTTGCATAGAGAGCTCGTCGAAGCCTTCCCTAACCGAGATGTACTGGAACTGGGTCCGCTAGAGAAGATGCCCTATTTCAAAGCCATCATCATGGAGACAGCGCGAATGTCGTACGGACTAAGTGCAAGAAATCCTAGGACACATAAGACACCCTTGAAATATGGACAGTGGGTGATTCCCGCAAATACCTGCATCGTAAGTAATTCGCCTCCACTTAATGATCCACTTCCACTTCTGCTGCTGACTAGTCTGTCACAAAGTCCATGACTATTCCTGACGTCTCGCACGATGAAACGATTTTCCCTTCTTCTCACGAATTCATCCCGGAGCGCTGGCTCGATGATCCCAAGACGCCTGAGGGTATTCCTTTGGAGCGCTTCATGGTGTCGTTCGGGAGAGGAACCAGATCTTGTTTGGGCATCAACTTGGCTTACATCGAATTGTACCTCACTTTGGGCATGATGTTCAGGCGATACAAGTTTGAGCTATATGAGAGCGATGTCGAGGACGTTACACTGGCGCATGACTTCTTCATTCCCGTGGCAAAGCTGGACAGCAAAGGGTTGAGAGTTTTGGTCAAGAGAACGGGAGACTGAAGCGTTGATTGGTGCGTATGGGTTGAATTGCGTCCCAAATTTTTGCTGTTTGGAGCGGCAACAAGGTTTGATGAACTTTGAGAATACCTTGCATTCCTGCCATATGCCGTGAGGGACATGAGATGCCTACATAGATTCTACTCTTATTACATCAACAATCCACCGCCATCCGTCCTCACCATAAATCCATCGGCGTTGTAGTCTCTCAGCAACCCCAAGTACGTCTCCGCTACGTCCTCCGGTCTTCCAACCCTCCCCGTCGCCATCTTCCCCTCCATAGCTTTCATAATTGCCTTCTTTTGCTCCTCTGGATAATGATCCCAAAGTTCTGTTTCGACCGCTCCAGGATTCACACCATTAACACGGATAGGTTTCATATCGAGAGCTAGACCGCGCACCATGGAATGCCCACCCCCAGCATACGAACCGACGACACTCCAGTTGGGAATCGGCTTCTCAGACACGGCGCCCGTGGTGATGATGTAGGAGGATTTGTAGGACTGGACTAGGTAGTTGGGGAGGTGTTTTCCTAGGAGGAGAGGGGCGAAGAAACGGAGTTGGCCGGCGGCTATGATTTTCGACATTGTCATGTCGCTCAAGTTCATCTCTGCTAGCTTATCTCCTGCGGTGTAGACAACGTGGTCGAGTTTACCCTCTGGCATGATGCCTACTGTCTTATCCAAAAGCGTCTTCAGTTCTTGTTCCAGCGTGTCCGGTTTTCCCAGGTCAACGGTAAGACCCCAGATGCGGGGATTGCTGGAGTCGGCTGCTGATGGGTAGGCATCCTTGAGTTTGGACACAGCACTGTCCACGCGTGACTTATTTGACGAACTGATAGTCACTAGCGCTCCGTTTTCGAGGCATGCTTCTGCTACACTGTAGCCGAGGCCTGACGTTCCGCCGATCACTAGGATGCGTGATTTCTCTAGTTTATTGGTGTAGCGCTTTTGGTCCGTCATGATTCTGTCTTGATGTGGGTAGGTGGATATGAGCTCAATAGGTGGTAAGTTTTAGGTGTTTCTTGTTGAGCAGGCAACTTGTCTCCAGATCTTTGTTTTGTGGGTCGCAGTGGAGGTTGATATGAACCGAGTGTGGTATTATGTTGTTGTTCGCATTAGCAGCACAGAGGGCGATTCATGTATATATAGCTATACGCAGCTATTTTCACGTCGGCGTCCCAGCACGGCACTTGCATCATTGCACCAAAAGGTAGTCGATGTCCTTATCTCCGGCGAGTGCGGACTTTGTTCATTACAAACGGTGACGTTAGTGGAGGAATAGCGGGTGGAGAAATCACGCTATATGTTAGAGCCTATTTCACCGCCCCACGTAATTGGAGAAAACGGCTTTGGATCTTGACGTTTCCCTGCATGGAGATAAACGGATATAAATCATTACCTTTATTCGGGTACAGCCGTCATGCATTACAAATTGATAGGTGCAGAATTTGACTTGACACGATCATATTTTTCTACATGCGCCATCTCAGGTACGAGTGGTCTCAATCAGAGACGTGGAGTAGGGTCGCGCTGATGGCGGCAACTACTAGGTTAGCGCTGTTCAGCAGCGTCGGACCTCGGGGCGTGTATATGTAGTCAAGTCTTCTGGAGACTTGAATGCCTTCAAAGCTCATTCTCTTCAGGGGGCCGTATTTTGGTAGTCGATCACATTGTCCACATGGTGTTGATCTGCTTTCGCTTGACCTAGAGAGATTGTCAGTACGCTTTGCAATGCACAAGTACGGTGAAAGATGGGAATTGTATGAACTTACCAAAGGCGCGACAAACAAGACTCCAACAAACAATCCAACCACAGTAAGAAGCATGGAAATCTTGTTAAAGCCCTTGCCCAAGATATCAAAGGCAAAACTGGGTGCAACTCGTGTACCGAAGATGTCCAAGCCATAGGCAAAGACCAGACTAGTGCTTTCAATTCCGCTCTCGCTCGTGATGATGTTCTCGATACCCAGAACCTCATACTTGTGGGTAAGGTGCCATTTCGGGTCGAAGTTGATGACAGGCGTATACTTGACGAGACCTTCAGAAGCTTCTTGCGCAGTGGGGTCACGCCCGACTGGTCGGCGAGGATCAATGACCGTCCGTGGAATACCAATGATAGCGTTGACTGCAGGTACAGTTACAAGGAGTTCGCGACTGGTGATGCCCTGTCTGGTCTGCGTAACACTCATGTGTGTAATCTCTGTTGATACCTGATAACTCTGAGATATCACGTAAGGCTTGGCGGCATCTCCATTCGAGCCAGAGGGTTGCACAGTGGAAGAGTTAGATGTAGCGCCCAATGGTCCTCTGTCGTCAGGGAGAGGAGATTCGTAAAGATCAGAAACGACAAGCTGGTAGCCACGAGATGAAGCACCAGATGCAGCATCGATAGTCAGCGCGTACGCAAACCAATTCTCTGAGACGGTCGCTGGTATGGGTCTCGTGGTATCAACGTCGTTATGTGACATGGTGTGTAGTACTTGTCCGGATGCAGAGTCAATCAAGTAGATGGAAGCGGACCGCGCAGATTCAACGACTGCCGTAACTAGGACAAGGTTGGGGTTCAGGTACTTGTATAGTACCCTCCTGTCTCCTAGCACTTTGCCAATAGACGCAACGGGATCCTTGACTGGTCGGGCGACGTAGCTAGCGATCTTCTCTCCAACAGGTGGCGTGAAACTCCATACTGGTTCGGAACCAGGCTTACTTTCCAGATAGCCTTTCAGAGTATCATCAACCAAGGTAAAAGAAACAAGCTCTTGTCCCTTGGCAACGAGGGGAGCCTCAACCTTGATCTTGTCGGGAGAAATAAGGCCACCAGTCGTCGAATTGATGAACAGCGAGCCCTGGAAGCTGGCATCCCTCACTTCAACGTAGCCACTGTGTGCCTTCAGAGTCGGATTTTGGAAGCTTGTATCAGGCGCAAACTGGCCAAGATCCATGTTCCACATGACCTTGCCCCGCGATCCAACATCGAGGGCAGCGATGCGACCCGTCTTGGTGGCGACGACAACCAGTTTGTGGAAGCCAAAGGTATCTTGTTGTATATCGTCGACTGTGGTTTCCTTGGGCTTGCCAACAACGCTACCCAGAATGCGCTGGGGAATATTCTGCGCCCATTCTGGGAAGTACTTCAGATCTTCGATATGCCTCTGCACACGGTGGATGTAAGCGGAGACGAGGTTACGGTGGCTCTCATCGGCAAGTGCTTGTGCCAAGGCCTCCTCCTCGGGAAGGCCGGCCCAGACTGCAGAGACAGTGCCCGACAAAAACTCGGGCCGGGTCCAGGCGATTTCATCGTTTCGCAGGAGTGCCCACTGTCCGTTGGAGTACAGGACAGCGGACCGTACAGCGCTAGCGACGCCAGACTTCAGGACAACCTCAGACTGACCATGCACAGGGTAGGCGCCGGCAAGTGCCGGAGAGCCCCTGACGTTCCAGCGACCTAATACGCCGTGCGAGACAGAAGAGAAGACAGTGACTTCGTCTTCGGTAAGCCTGGTGAAGTAGACGTTGGCGTCGGATGTGCTTGTAGCAAATGTTCCCTTGGCCTTAAGCTCTGGGAGGCTGTAGGCTTTGGAGATGGTTTGCTTGTTGAGGTCGACGTGGTAGACTTGGGCGGAATGACCGACGGCGGTTTGGTATTCGACGAGGAAATGGGCGAGCGAGTTGATGTGGTTGGGAGCATGCAGGACGATGCGCTCTACTACTTCGTCCCCTGGCGTGTTGAAGGTCGATACAGCCTTGGAGCCGATGATGTTCACTTTCAGCACCTTGTTCGCCTTGTCGGTCCACGCCAGTAGTGGGGCAGCTGTGTTGGCTCCAGCGAACAGGATGCGGTCGCGCGAAGATATCTCGGTGTCGGAGTTGAGGGTGTATTGGTCAAGCCTCTTGCCGGTAATGGGGTTGAGGGACGTGACGCGGAGCTTGGAGCCTCCGAGCAGGGGCGTGTGGAGGGCGATGTAGTAGATGGTGGTGGGTGAGGTCGAGACCTGGAAGGGCGTATCTCCGCTGTGTACAAGTCAGCGTTTGCTACATGTCAATGTTTTGGCATAGCTACCTGGTATCCTCGAAGGTCCATTTGGCGCGACCAGTCTTGCCGTCGAGCCTCTTGACACTGCTGCTGCCGTCGGTAGTAAGGACAATGGCGTCTTTGGCCGCGCTGATGGTCATGCCATCTTCCTGCTCCAGTATCTCGAGATCCTCGACTGCGGCGCCCTCGATGCTAGTCTCCCACACGAGCCGGCCGTCGGAAGCGCTCCATGCGGTTACGCGGTTTCCAACAGCGCTGATGACGGTATCTTGCTCGTTTCCGGAGCGCAGGTGTCCTTTTTGGCCGGGCTGCGAGGCCAAGTGTTGGCGCCAGACCAATGCGCCGTCCTTGGGGTTGATGGCGCCGATGGTCTGGTTCTGCGAGATGGAATACAGCAGAGATGCCTTGGAGCCGGCATAGGGCTTCTGGAAGAAGGTGGCCTCTGGTGCAGGAAGGCCTAGCAGCGCATAGTGGAAGTCAATGTGATAAGCGTCGTCCTCGAAAACGGCAGCTGCCGGAGCGAGACATGCTGCAAGGGCAATGGCCGCATGGAAACGCATGGTCGGGTGGAATTGCAGCTCGTCGTCGTCGGCGTCGTCGTCGTTCGGCTACCATCCACCATGTGTCGGCTTCACAGCACACACCTCTGCAGTGCCCTGGCGCACGTGCCAGACCTGCTCCGGATCACGGGACCCTTATTGGGTGCCCTGCTCCCTAGCCTTGGAACATGCAACATGGAACATGGAACATGGAACCGCCAGCCCAGCCTTCTCACGACTCAGTTGCAGGCGGCGTCGGGGAACCGGGTCGTCTCCATGGGCCATAATTACGTCGACTGTGATGCTTGCTCGACAGCCTTGCGAACCCTTCTTGTGCACGACTCGATACAAGGACCACGCTATCATAGATTGGAGCTTGTCCCGACGCCCTGGCTTCGTTTCGCGACTGGCCACGACGTCTTCGTCTCCTTCCCTCTCCCAGCATCTCGGCGCTTTGTTTTTTTGGCATAGTTACGGGCTGTACGGGCTGCACCCCAGAGCCGAACACCTAGCATATCTCCTGCTAAGCCCTACCAAGTCTACTGCATGCATGTGCCTTCGCTACCTTCTTCTCGACTGCTCCCTGATTATCGCGACGCCGTTTCCCTCTCCCACCTCGACCTTCACGTGACGGGAAAAATCTGCCCCAGCCCCCCAACCTCGCGCTTCAAACAGGTGAGTTACACAAACTTGCCCGCGCATGCATGCAGTCGAGCTGCTCTGATGGCTCGTTGATTGATGCATCCAAGCCTGCTTTTCTCTGATTGGGCCCAGCTTGATCTAGAAATACATGCGCTGACAAGTGTGGTTGGCCCAGAGCGCAGCACGACGCGCACCGCCCGACTCAGCTCGCTGGTACAGACGCAGTGTCCAAGCAGCACGGCGACTGTGACCGCTTAGCCTCTGCTAGACGACGGCGATTTTGAGCCGCTCGTCCCTCTGTGGCACACACCGCCACAGAAGGCGGCGAAGAGCACTTCTCGTCATTTTCCTCCTGGCCTCGCAGCAAGCTGCTCGCTCACGCAAATCCACAGCATGTCGCAACGGGAGTACCACATAGTCGTCCTTGGTTCTGGTAAGCTAGTTAGACACCGCCAGCAACTAGAAGACAGCTGACGACGGTGGCGCTACAGGTGGAGTCGGAAAGAGCTGCCTAACAGGTAAGGTTACCGCCTCGAGTGTTCGCCATCGTTACAGAATGCTGACCCCTTCAAAGCGCAATTCGTGCAGAACGTATGGATAGAGAGTTATGATCCTACCATTGAAGACTCGTACCGCAAGGTGCTTGATGTCGACGTGCGTCTGCTTCAAGTTGCTCTCGTTACCCCGTCGCTGACCCACTCCAGGGCCGCCATGTCATCTTGGAGATTCTAGACACTGCAGGCACCGAGCAATTCAGTAAGTCTTGACAGCTGCCCCATGCACCCAGAAACCACGACTAACCTCAAGTAGCTGCCATGAGGTAACATGCCGTCCGAGGCTCATTAGAGCTCAAGACTTACACTCGATAGGGAACTATATATGAAAACCGGTCAGGGGTTCCTTCTGGTCTTCAGCATAACGTCGGCGTCTTCTTTCTGGGAACTGGCAGAGCTTCGGGAGCAGATACGACGAATAAAGGAAGATAGCAACGTTCCCATGGTCCTCATCGGCAACAAGTCAGATCTAGAAGATGACCGAGCAGTGCCACGCCCACGAGCCTTTGCAATCTCGCGTGAGTGGAATATACCGTACTTTGAAACCAGTGCTCGGAGAAGAGCAAACGTGGACGAGGCCTTTGTCGACCTCTGCAGGCAAATCATCCGCAAAGATCAACAGGAACGGTCGCGCATGGTCCCACCCGACTCACCGAGACCTGGTCCAAGGTCCCGGACGCATACTGGAAGACCCAAGCGCAAGGGACACCGACCGCATTGCACCATCCTTTAAGTTACGATACCCTACGACGGACGACTGTACGAGTGGCAGTGGGCTTGCTGGTACAGGCGCTGTCATGACTCCATTCGCACCGTTGCTTCCAAGTTTCTCGGTTTAGATTTTTGGTACCATAGAGGTATTAGATCATCCGCTCACAGCGGCAATTAATCCCCTTTCATCATGGTTCTTCTGCCACATTTGCGTGTCCTGAATTCGCCATCGGTCGCGTGAGGTTTTCGGTGGTTGTTCGTATGAAGGTTAGACTTGTGTGTACATGTAGTCCAGATGTCGGCACGGACGCGACAAGTACACCTGTCCTCGCCCCTTGCCCCCACTTGGGCGAAGCTGCCAGGTCACTGCGGGTGGAGCCATCTCGATGAGCTCTTTTCATGACGTGTTGGCTATCTGGATACGGCAATTTGTCTGCTTCCAGGCCACAGCATGCTTCCTGTGCAGCGGAGTAAACCCCTCCGGGACCAAGTACCTTCCGGAACCGACGCCTATGGAACTCAGCTGGCCCTGCATTGCTACGGCGACCGCCTACTCTCGGGCTGAAACACGAGCGCGTGACATTTACGACTGTCCTGCTTTGCGGCAAGCGTTTGCGTGCTTTGTTTAGGCAGCTGTACTTGACGCAAGCTTGATGCAAGCCGCGGTCCATGGCTTGACGTCACTGGCGGGGCAATAGAGGGGCAGGGAGCATCTTTCAGGCACACAGCGAATGCCAGATGAGAAAGCCAATCGCCCATGACGCGATACGCATGATAATCACGATCTACAGCGGGATTTGCAAAAAGTGCCACTGTCTTCCTTGGGTTTGTGCGTTGCATGTGATGGTTCGTAGCTGCGGGTACTCGCCCGCGCTTGCGTGGTCTAGCCCCCTCACCCAGAGCTCCTTCCCTGTGACGTCACACCTGAAGCACTCAAACAGTGACGTATGTTTGTTTGTTCTGCGTTGGAGTCTAGCGCTCAGCCCCTCCACTAGCCTGTATCTCCTACCCCTCTCACTCTACATAAATACCCTCACGCCCGACTCCCTTTGCTTCTCTCATCACACAACAAGCCTTCAACTCCTCTACTACACTCCACTTCCTTCAAACCAAACCAACCAACCACCCCTACACTCAAAATGTCTGCTCCCAACGCCAACAACCCCAACGAGGGCATCGTCGGCCAGGCCGTCAACTCTGTCAAGAACGCCGCCAACTACGTCTCCGAGACCATCCAGGGCCAGTCCGCTGAGGCCTCCAAGGAGGGCAACAAGCAGCAGGCCAAGGGCAACGTCCCCGGCCAGGACTCCATCACCGACCGTGCCTCCGGTGCTCTCAACGCTGCTGGTGACAAGCTCAACCAGGAGAAGCACGAGGGCTCTGCCGAGGCCAACAAGCGCTCCATCTAAGTACTAAGTACTTGAGCACTGGTTCGACATTTCTCTTCGGTATGTTCCAGACCTGTCTTCGGCATATACAACAGATTCTAATCATCATCATCAGATTCAGAACGATACCACTATGGATTATGAGCGATGAGCACTGCGACTCTCGCCTGGTTACGACAGTACCATGAATTAATAGCCATAAGATACCAATAAATCTCTTTCCAAACACTTTGATCATCCTCTGCTGTGACTTATTCTTACGTGCCTGTGGAACAAATCTCCGGTGTCATTAACGAGTACAACGTTTCTGAGATGAAGTAATGTAATCCACAAGTTCTTGATCTTGTTCAGAACACATCTCATGCGGTTCCGCAAACTCCAAATGCAGTAGTGAAACGTCCAGTGAGGATACGTTTCTAACATTCTAGACCTGCGACCTTTAGTGCTGCGGTAGTTCTGCGGTGGTACCATCCTAAACTAGGACTACTTTTGATAAAACACTACATTAGTTTTGCTCATTTCTCAAGTGGATGTGGTGTCGATCGAACATGGCCGGCTAGGGGTCACGATGTTATGTTTAATATGTTGATGACTCTTGGTAAAACCACTCAGTGATTGTGCTAGCTGAACTGCTACTTCTGGCTAGAATTTATGCTTAACAACACAAAACAATAGCATCGCTCAAGACATCAGTTCGCGGAAAACAAAGGGTATCAAATGATCAGGAAAATGGGAAAGCCAGGCTTGGAAAGAGTCTGTGGGGGCTTGATCTACTTCGATGGGATCAACTCTTTCTTCGCTTATCGTAGATGCTGCGGTACATGCGACTGTGGAGGGGTTGGTGTGGTATGTAGGTGGAGGCGTGGCTATATTCGGTAATGGCGAAGAAACGCAGCGCTGATTTTGGACAGCCGAAAGATGCTGCTGCTGAGGTTTGCAGCAAGTCGCACAAGGCATCGCAGTATGAGGAAGGAAACTCTGGCAATAGTTGATTGGACGCGTCGAGTTCAAGAGTGGCATGGGACGGAGCGCATCCGAGACAAACGGACTTTGAGAGCCGGTCGGTATCTCCTCGCTGGAGCAAGCTCTTGACCTTGCCGACGGCGGCCCCTAAGCAACCGTCTTGGATCCTTGAAGCCAAGACACATCGCTCCCGTGTGAGATATCGATTTCAAAGCTGAATCGGATCTGAAAATGGCACGAATCCAGTCAGCAAATCTCTCTAACTCCCAGTGTCAAGTGTGGCAGAGGGGAGTAGAGAGAAGGCTTTTAGACGTGCTGGTTAGCACGCCCAGTGTGTGTAGTCCTTGCCTTCCTCGTCTTCCAGAACATGAAACCTCCCACAATTGCCGAAATCAGCCAGAGCAACATGTTAGTCAACAGCACCCAAACAGCGTTCTTCATCCTGGTTATGCCCTTGTTACCCTCTGGGTTCTCGCTAATGAACATCTTGCCGAAGATGCCAAAGGCCACAAGATAACACAGAAAGACGAGCGCGTCGAGGCCGAAGAAAAACCAGGACTTGAGCAGTATGAGAGCCAGAGAGCTGACGGCGCCAAGTGTACCGCAAACGACGGCCCATACCCATTTCGAGTCGACATATTTTCCTTGCTTGCGCGCGTTGTCTAGGTCGACAGCGTAGAGACCGATGACGGTGAGGCCCATGACGAACTGAAAAAATCGTAGGACAATGCGCAAGACAAGGGTGGGTGTCAGCGAAGCACCGAGAGAAGTTCCTAGGGTGGCTTTTTCGCCCCGCATGCTGCTACGTGAGAGGAATTTGAAGCCCATTGTTGCTAGGAAACTAAGCATTGTGTGGGTCAGCTAGGCTCAGTTGTTTGATGTGTGTATGTTTGGAAGATTAATAGGTAAATTCTTACGTTTTGTCGATGCGAAGGGTAGTCTTGTAAGATTGTTCGATTCGTACGTCGTGCGCGGACGGATTTCTCTTAATTCTTTGATGCCTCGTTGGGGTCCTTGAGAGTATCGGTGGTTGGTGAGGTCGTTATGGGAAGAGCGGGGAAGAAATAGTGCGAAGCCGTAGTGATTGACAACTCCTTTTTCGTACTGTGACAGAACTAACGTCGTTGTAGCTTTGCGTCGTGCAAAAATAAACTTCGTTGGCACACAGGGTCCTTGTTTCTCAGGGATCGTAACAATGTTACTGCTTTCCCCTCTGCTTCCAAGCTCGATGACGTCGTACTTGATCCTTGATGGTGATGGCACGTGGGTGGGATGTGGCTTCCAGGGTTTAATCAAATTTGTGCACGCGATTATGCTGTTTTGGTGCAAACTCTGGAAGGATCGGCAGAGGGAAGGGGTGTGCTGCGCAAGGCTGACTAGAAACACACGGCAAAAGGGGTATCGCGCTATCAGAAAGATGGACGGGTAAGACGCGGTGAAATAAAATCAATAAGGGATTGTCGCGACTGTCAAAGCCGACGGTGATGCAGAATGAACACGCGATAGAAAAGGCAGAGAGCGTTGGAGATGCGCTATTCACCCTGCTGTCGCATCTCTTTTGAATCTCCTTGCGAGATACATCATTACCCTAGACACCCTTTCCAGCCATGCGTTGGCGCCTGGTCGTGCTTCCAGCGCGCGCTGTGAACGTGTGGTTGAAGGCCTGGTGACCCTGTTTCGAGGCGCTGACGTCGTTGGCGCCCGAGTAGCGTTACATCGGCGGCAGGGGTGCGCCACAGCGTGATTGGCCAACAATTGTCTATCAAATGGTGACATGAAACGCAACCATGAAGTCTGAGATAACTTCGCTGTCGCACAAGACAGCGTATCATGAGTGACCTATGGACTGGAGTGATGTGTTGACAGTTTCGGCACCTGGAATCTTTGTTGTTTCAAGACCATTCCGCTATGGCACAAATATGTATGAGAAGAGTAACATTATCTTATTCTGGAGGGGCATTGATCGCCCGCGAATTCTGTTCGGCCCCTAGACAGTCACTCATTCACCAAAAGACTTGTGTTCGTCCTCAGGGGCTGGAATACTTGTAGCCATATTGCTCCTTGGCAGCCTTGATCTGCTCCGCAAGCTTGTGCTCCTTCTCCGCAAACTCAGCGTCGTCCTTCATCTTCTGTATGTAGGTGTCGTTTCCGAATCCGCTCTTGCTCGGAATCTCCAAGCCGCGCTGAACTGCAGGCCGTGCAAGTATGCGCTCCCACCACTTCTTCAGGTTGGGGAATGACTCCAGGTCTACACCAGAGATGCGAAGCATATGGACCCAACCAAAGCTGGCAATGTCCGCAATGCTGAACTTGTTGCCTACGAGGTAGTCGGACTTGGCCAGAGCCGTGTCAAGCACGCCGGCAAGACGTTCAGTCTCGCCTGTGTAACGCTGCATGCCGTAGGCGATGCGCTCCTTTGCGAAACGGTTGAAGTGATTGGCCTGGCCTTGCATCGGGCCCAGGCCACCGTGTTGCCAGGCCATCCATTGCTCTGCGCGCGAGATATCGAGAGGATCGGAGAAGCTGAACTTGTGCTCGGGGTCGTAGTGGCGCGTCAGGTATGCAAGAATTGCGAGACCCTCCTGGACAGCGAAGCCACCCTGGTCGTGGTCGACAATTACACTAGGCAGTGGAGCGCAATGTCAGTACAAGCCTCACACATAGTTCAGAAGGCATCTTTGCTTACGGAATCCGGTCATTGGGGCCGAGCTTGGTGAACCAAGGCTCTTTCTGTGTGTTCTTGCTGATGTTGATGGACTGCCATGTGTAGTCTTTGCCATAGGCATCCTTGAGCTCCTCTAGCAGAATGCTAGCCTTCCATCCGTTGGGCGTGCCAAAAGTGAGCAGCTCAATGCCCTTGTCTGCCTTCAATCCGGTGGGTTCTTGGTCCGACATTTCTGGAAGTATGCGCAGTAACGGCCGTGAGGTGTGGAAGTGCGATCGGGGGATTGTGCGCGTCTGGGTGGAGAGGCGTGTGAAGTTCTTAAGCTGCGAGGATAGAGAGGAGCGTAATAGTGACATGAAGAAGGCTAGCCTGCACGCAAAGGAGGGGTTATATGCATAATGCGGGCAGGCGCATGTGGAGAGCTACCTCTTCCGAAGTGGCATTGCTTAGGAATCCATGACGTCGCCGCACCAATATCTACGGACATTGCATAAGCTTCGCACATCGGTATGGTGCGTACGCCGAACGGGTCTCGTATACATGATAAAGGGTCGCAAGTCTGGGAGTTGTGATAGGTGTCGCATCCAAGAATGCGCTACACATTGTCAGCTTCTGATTGTTTTCGTGACTAAGCGGCTTCCAAGGCCAGGATACCCAAGCGCCTGTAGTACCTCAACAGCTACTGTCATACATCAAGGTAACTCGATCAATACAGTTCTTCTTGAACTAGATCGATATGCCGATACTGTAGAGGTCTATTCGTATCAGATAGAAAGTCAAAACGCTCGTTGAATTCCGGGGTACTCTTAGAGATACGTGGCTTGTGGAGTCAAGATGTGCTTAATAATTGTAGAGAATATCGACTGAATGCCCTCATCCGCCATCCCGTAATCTTTGATGGTCAAGCCCGAAAGCGCTGCGAATACAGTCAGACTCAACACGTTCAGCAGAAACAAGCAGGTCGTCTCATATAGCCTCGCATGCGCTTACAGAGCTGTGATACTGTGATACGCTGGGTAATCCTAATGCGTCCTGTAGTAAGCTTTAGAAAGTGCAAGCGTGTTTCTATAGTAGCTGTAGTATGATCATGGGCCATTGGTAGCCGACGAACGATTGTAGAACATTTTTACGATTATGTATGTCTATGTATTGATATACAAGCTGTATCCAAGTCTTATACTATACACCTCCTGTATATGACCGTACAGCGCATGCGCAAGAGAGCAATTCAATGGCACACTGCCGCACGTCATGAACATCAATTGATCTGGTATTCACCTCCACCTCCACACCAACAGCGGCCCTCGCCTTCCCTCTCCACATGAATCACTAGATCCATGTTCCGATCCTTCAGGAATTGATCTGAACGGTCCCGTACGTCTTCCAGATCTGCCGCGCGGGAAGCAATGATGTGAATTGCGCCGAGAATGCGACGTTGTTTAGGCGCATGATCGTGGTCGTGGTCGTGATGGTCATGGGAGTGTGAATACGAATGTCCGTGGTCGTGAGAGTGATTATGCGAGTGACTGTGGCCGTGGCCGTGGCCATGATCGTGGGAGTGAGAGTGGGAGTGGTCATGTTCGTGGTGATCGTGTGGATGGTCATCATGTTTGTGTCCACTTCCACAGTCATAGTCCTCTTTCGCATGTTCGTGAGCATGTGCTTCCGCATGAGCAGCGCCCTCATCTTCGAGCCAGAACTTGGGCACTGCGTATCCAACCACGCCTCTCAATGTACCCAACTCTCCAAGAGTATTTCTGATGCCGTACTCAACATCGTTTGGCAGACTCAGCATAAGTCTTGCGCCACTCGACTTGACAAGCGGAATGGCTGACAGGAAGATCAAGATTGCGATGATGCTGGATGCGATGGGGTCCCAACCAGACCAACCATAGTACTTTGTAAGAAGGGTTGAAATGATGACTGCAACAGAGCCGAGTGCGTCGGCGAGGATGTGCAGAAAGATACCCTGCATGTTTTCGTTGTCGTGAGAATGTCCATGTCCATGATCGTGTCCTTCGTGTCCGTGGTCATGACCATGGCCGTGATGCGCGTGGCCGAAGGCTACAAGGCCGACGATATTAACGATGAAACCAAGGATACTGACAATCAGAAGCTCGTTTAGACGCTGGAGCTCGTGACCTTCCCAGAGGCGTTCGAAGGCATCGAAGATGATCTCTACACTGACGAGCCTGGTTCAGGTTAGCATATACATGGGAAACTACATGTGCTGGTGACTTACAAAAGAAAGACGCCATTTGCAAAACCAGACAGTGTATCGACCTTGCCATAGCCATATGGAAAGCGAGCGTTGGGGCGCCATTTACTCATCACTGCCGCTACAAGTCCCACAGCGAGACCAGCGCAGTCGAAGAGCATGTGGATACTATCCGTAAGCAATCCCAGTGACCCACTGACAAAGCCGTAGAAGAACTGGACCATCATGAAGGAAAGATTGAGTACGCCAAAGTACGCAATGCGTCGCGAGTCTCGCTCGATCAACACACTGTGTATAATGGAGCCCGGAGTAGTGCGGGCGATGAGGAACGCCGAGATTCTGGAGTGATTTCCATGTAGGTGATGACCGTGACTATGCCCGTGGTCATGACCATGCGAGTGCTTGTGACCCGCATGCCCATGATCGTGTGCATGTGGCACGGGTGAACGAGTGTCAAAGCCGACCGCTCCAATCATCATAGCGCAAACCCAAGGGAATACAATCTTGAGATGACCAACTCCGTTATGTTCCAAGAAACTCAAGGCGAAGATGAAGATGCCACTCAATCTAAATCCGACTTGTTTTTGACTCCGTAAAGATGCTGGTAGTGATAGAAATACAAGCGCCGTCGTAGATGCCACTGATAGAGTTGAGAATGCCAGGCTGTGGTGCGACAAAGAGGGGGTTGCAGAAGAAACGAGTGAAAACAGAATAGTCGTAACAGTAAGGACAAGACCAGACACGATGGTGAGTAGCTGGTTCTCGGTGTTGCTCACCAAGGCTGATGAAGGCTTCGGCAGCGATGCGCGAGACGGCTTTTGAGTCATGTATGAGTCCTGGCTCTGTGGTCCGGTCATCAATGACCAGCCTGCTGTGGGAAGAGGCGGAGGGATCAGGAGGAGCGACACTAGAAGCGCCATATAGCCGACCAGGCTGCCTGTGACATTGGCAGAGGTCACCACGTCTGTAGCCATGCTTAAGAAAAGGCCCCCGCATGTGACTTTTCTGGTCCTCAACGTCCGCCGGACATCGTCCCAAGGTGTGTGCTTGCCTGGTTTCTGGTCAAAGGCACCAAGTCCAGCGGCGACTGCCACCAATATAACCAATGCCGTTTTCGCTCCTCCTAGGTGTAGGGACGCATAAAAGGGCAGTAATACGCCGACCATGTTGCTTGCCACGCGTTTCGGCGCATTGCTGATGTCGAATGTGCCCTTGTCTTGTTTCCGCCTGTCGAGTGGCTGTAGACTGGAGTTGACCTTGGCTGCCACGCCAACGAGTAACAAGGTCGCTGATGAGAGCGCGAGCGCATGTAGTAGTGGGAAGTCGCTTATTGCTGTAGCGGGTTCAAGTGCGGGTGTGCTGTCCGACACGGCCTCTGATAGAGTCGAGGGCAGCTTCGATGTCTGTCCCACGCGGCTAGGGTATGCCAACGAGGCGAAGATATACGGTAGAGGTATGAGGAGCGCGGTCAGGGCCTCGGGGAGTTCTAGCCACGACCTGGTGTTGTATTAGCACCGCTCAATCTGACCATGTCAAGAATGTCTTACGAAGAAACTGGAGGCGGAGGCAGATGCCCTGGAGACTCTTGTATAGGTGACACTGGCGAAAAGGCATATCCTCCGGCTGCGGGTGCCTTCCTCGCCGGTGAGCGACCCAGATCCGATTCCCCTCTTTGTCGCCCTTTTGGCCTTCCATTCAGGAAGGGCTTCAGCGTGTATGTGGAATCGTTGGAGCCCGATCTCTCATGCCCATGGTCATGTTCGCGCGCAGGGCTATTATACTCGGCATACGGTGAGCGCACAGCGCCATGCAACTGCCCATTGCCATTCATGTCGGACCGGGTGTGTCGGTGGCCGTGGTCTTTGGCTGGCGACGATGCATTCATCGAGTTGTTTGCGTATGCTTCGGGCGTGTATTGTGATGATGAACGGCCATGGCTGTGTGTGTGCGAGGCAGGGGCGACGGGCAACGCATACGTCGACGCCATCTGCCAGCGTCGCCTTCGTCGGTCCGCCGTGAAATGGTCTTGACTCGGTGAGGGCTATCGGCGAAGTGGGGCCCTCGAGTTCGTGATGAAACGGTGCTCAATGGAACAAAAGTGGCCGTGTTGCAGAGAAAAAGCAACGTGGGATAGCAACTCGTGTGGTCTAAGTGCGCTGCAATGAGGCTACGCAGCGCTTTGGCGTCTTGGTGTTTCGATAGCGGCGCGCGTTGCTGCACTATCAATAAGTTTCAGGGGTCTTACAGATTGACATGACTGTCATTGAGCGCCTTCCCCTTTCGGTCCTACCCCGGTTCCGATCTCCGCATCTCGCGGCTGACCCTTGGCGTTGACGCACGCGGCGGCGGCCACGGTTATCGGAGGAGCCTTGCAATTGGACGGCACTAACACAACACCAAAATGTTCGACAACGATACTTCACCCGACAAAGACGGCAACCTCTTTTCCGTCATACTGGGTGTCGTTGTCACCTTGTCGACGCTGTTCACGGCCCTGCTGTTGACTCTGCCCAGCCAGTATGATCCATACAAGGACAAGCCGCTTAGGTTCGTGGGCGAGGATGGAGAAGAGATCAAGATGAAGACAAAAGATGGGAAAGACCCTGTAAACTGGAAGCAGGGACGTTCGGTGCAGGTGGTGGTGCTGGGAGACATTGGGCGGTCGCCGCGTATGCAATACCACGCTCTTAGCATTGCTAAGCACGGCGGAAAGGTGTTTCTCGTCGGCTATCAAGGTCAGTAAAGTCTTTGTTGGATTATTGCAAGTTGCTAATCCAGTCAAGAGTCGGATATCCTTCCAGATATCGTCTCAAACCCGTTGATTGAGGTTATCCCACTCGCACCAGCACCCAGCTTCCTGCGTTCGAGCAGCAAGCTTCTGTTTCCCATTCTGGCGCCTCTCAAGGTCCTTTGGCAAATCTGGTCTTTGTACCGCGCGCTAGGATACCGCTCTAAACCCGCAAGATGGACACTCGTGCAAAACCCGCCTTCAATACCAACGCTTGCTATAGCCAGCCTGGTGTGCTTCTTACGACGTACTGACCTGGTCATTGACTGGCACAACTTCGGGTACACCATCTTGGCCATGAAACTTGGCGACAGTCACCCTCTCGTGAAGGTATCTGAGAAGTACGAGAAGATCTTCGCAAAGGCTGCATCGCATCACATCACGGTGACCAACGCTATGGCTCGTGTGCTAAAAGCCGACTACGGTGTCACAGCAGAAGCACTCCACGATCGCCCAGCCTCCATTTTCCAACCCATCGAATCTCAACAGCGTAAGGAGTTCCTCGCCAGACTACCGGAAACGGCAGAATACGCCGCAGATCTTTCTCCAGCCTCGGACACTCCCTGGAAACTCATCGTTAGCGCAACATCGTGGACTGCTGACGAAGACTTTTCGCTTCTCCTTTCTGCTCTGGTTGCCTATTCCGCTGAATGTACATCGAAGACCTACCTTCCAAAGATCATCGCCATCATCACTGGAAAAGGGCCACAGAAGGAGTACTATCTTTCCAAAATCCGGCAACTCAACCAGCAGAAGAAGCTGTTGAATGTCGTCATCAAGACAGCATGGCTCTCGCATTCTGACTACGCTCTACTCCTTGCATCGGCTGATCTGGGGATTTCTCTACACACATCGTCTTCTGGCGTGGACTTACCAATGAAAGTAGTCGACATGTTTGGCGCAGGCTTACCCGTCGTAGGGTGGGGAAAGTTCGAGGCCTGGCCTGAGCTCGTCAAGCAGGGTATGAATGGACTAGGCTTCCAAAGCTATGAAGAGCTCGCTTTACATCTGGTCACATTCTTCGGTAGCGACACAAGACTAAGGGAGACTCTGAAAGAGGGTGCGCTCAAGGAGAGCGACCATCGGTGGGATGAAGAGTGGGACGGGGTAGGCGGGAAACTGTTCAAGCTGACATAGCGGATGTGTGGTGAAGTGTGGGCAGAGAAGATATGGTATAATACTACTTGGCTGCATCAGATGATGACAGCCCGATACCTTCTAGTGTTTAAGCTTCAGTTTCCACGCTTACAAATGTACGACACGCGGACACGGACAACAACAAATCCCATCCGAATTTTGATAACAACCATATTCATTGCGCAGCAGCACTCCACCATCGACATGATATCGACCGACCGATTCCAGACCTTGTGTAAGCTTGTTGTTCCCCACAGTTGTCCTGGTGCTGCTTCTGTAGTTCTCCTTTGCCGAATGGAGGGGTGGCTGAAGGTGGGGACATAATGGCTTCAATTTCCCCAAACACTCTCCCCTGCGCCAGCTCTCGACTCGCTTTCTGTCATCTTCATTGAGATTCAATGCACCGAGCTCTCCCGCCAAAGAACCAGGTGACGCCACTGCATTGAACAGAACGTCGCCAGTTCTCAGTTCTGCGACAGAACATTTATCGCACCAAAGCACCTTCTCATGAAATTGAGCCATGACACTCCCGTATTGCGCGCGAGGGTGTCTTGGGTGCGGTGCCTTGTCCCTGACTTTGCTCCACAGCGCAGCCTGCTTGACTCTGTCGCCAGTACCAGCCCAAATCTTGATTCTTCGTTGTCCGCACGCATGGTATGATACATTTGTCTCGTACTCCGTGACGGCATCATCTATTTCTGTCATGCTTAAAGCTATGGCTTCGTCCTCACATATTGTGTCGCCCCACATGGTTATGCAGTTCCCGTATATTCGTAGAATCTCTCGGTGCAGCACCGTGGTCAGATCTTCAACGATTTTGAAGGATTGTAGCGGGCGGTCGTTTAGTTGCTGAGAAACGTTTGAAGGCATCTCCGCTATCCGACTTCGTGGTTTGGGAGCTGGGTATAGAGGCGATAGATGGTAGAGGGTATTTTACTTGTATTAACGAGCGTAACGATAGCCGAGCTACCTTTGTAGAGAGATGGATGTATATGAGATCTTTGGTGTTGATTTTGATAAAGAAAGAAATAAAGTAGCTGACAGATTTCTTATACTAAAAAGTAGGAGAACTGGATTGCGGTACCAACCATGAGAAAGTCGAAAATCTCAAAGCGTGGTACCAGAGCCAGGCAAGGTAAATTGAGTCGAGAAAAACGGCAGTCATGATTCGAATACTGATGTAATTGCGGAAGGCGGAACATGGTCGTCAATGGAAACCAAATGAGTAGAACGCAGGAAAGTGAGGTTTCCAGTGGCAGGTGAAAATGCGACCAATGAACTTTGGGCTGGGATTAAGCGCCTACCTGCTTCTTGGTACATCGAAGGAAACCATGATCTATCTCTGCCTTCTCATACGTCGCTCCAGATCTATCAATTGCGATATGAGGGTACTGACTAAGAACTCCAAGGCTCGTGCTCTGGTCTTGGGATCTTCGTAGCTGCTCTTCGAATTAAAGGCGCCTACATCGATCACAGGCTCGGATTGGTCCTCCATCTCCACCATCCAGTACGTATAGGCAATTACTTCCAACGTCTGTGCCTGTGCAAGTGGAGACGGATCATCCTGGTTTGAAACCCAGCGCAAAGCTCATAAGCCCGACCATGAAAATAGGCCAAAGGCAAGATCGATCCGTTTCATCGAGTGAACCACGTGCAGGCCTAAAGGAGATGGGCAAGTATAGAAAATGGACGAACATGGCAAAAGTCAGAAGAGGCGGTATGGTAATCGAGAACGATGCAGGTCGACGTTATCGCGGTGTTTCAAGTGTGCTGGCTCGGCCCTTCCCTTCCTATCGCGTCGCGGCGGGCGCGGACATCGTCCGCGCCACCCCAGACCCTGTTTATCCCTTTATTGAGCCTACGTCTTCGCCAACACACCCGCCTCAGCCACAAACGCTAATCCACGCTCCTTTCCCCAACTCTCGATACCGCTTCAACAAACTTTGATCCTCTCTTTAAGTCCCTATTGCGAATTGCGCATTGCTCCAACGACTCTTCTTGTTCAAACATTTATTCACATCTTGCGACTATTTATAGCGCGATCCTTGCGAGCAATCAACCTCAGTTTCCCAACAACACACGCGACATGCTACCTCGATAACCCAACCTTACTTTGCAGCTATCAGCTACAACCAAACAACAATGGATAAAATTAAAGACCGGTGGGAGACTTTCGAAGATAATCACCCTAAAATTCGCACGATTGTTGAGGCAGTGAAGCCCTACGCTCCGCCAGTAAACTTCATTACGGTCCACTATGCATACTTCATCGGCGTAACCCTCTTAGGTACTCTGATATTTTGGGGCGCATCAAATCCATCGAAGAGCATTGGATGGTGGGATTGCATGTTCATGTGCATGAGCGCAATGACCGCTGCTGGACTCAATTCCGTGAACGTCAGTCAGCTCACGACATTCCAACAAGTGGAATTGGCGGTGTTGATGATGATGGGAAATCAGGTACTGGTCAGCTACTTCACGGTGGCGTTCAGAAAACACATCTTTGAGAAGAGGTTCGAAGATATTGTTGAGGCGGAGAAAGAGAGGCGGAACGCTCGGAAGGGAGATGTTGGGGCTGTGGTCGGCATGACTGGGGCGATGTTTGGGTTGCCGGTTATGGGGTCGTTTGGAAAGGGCAAAGCGGCGAGTAAGATAAAGGGATTGACGAAGGTTGTGACGCCTGCAGAGAGACGCGCAGATGATATGCCGCCCAGCACACCGATTATGGAAGACCAGGCTCAGACGGGGATGTCACCGATTTCGGTCCTCTCAAGAGAAAGAAGTCCACCACAGCATATCGGTTTTCTGGATCCTATCCAAGAGCGTATATCTAACGAAAGGCCCATGTCAGCGGCGACAGGACATTCGATCTACAACGTGCACAGCCAGCAAAGCATATCGAAACGTCGCCGCTCGTTAGCCGAAGAGTCCAAGCTAGACGATAGCTTCAACGTGCAGACTTTTGTCAAGGAGCAAAAGCGCAACATTGGTCGAAACGGACAATTCTTCAACCTCTCGTCAGACCAGCGAGAGTATCTGGGTGGTGTAGAATACCGCGCGCTGAAGTTTCTCTCCATGTTCGTCCCCGCCTACTTTATACTCTGGCAGCTGTTTGGAGGTATCGCATTAGGGGCGTACATGTCCGTTTACGAGAGGGAGGCTTGCGCTGTCAATGCGCAGAACCCTTGGTGGGCTGGCATCTTTCTCGCCATCTCTGCGTACAGCAATGCTGGCTTTACGCTGCTGGATGCAGGATTCATACCCTTCCAGTCCTCATATTACGTCCTCGTCATTGTTACCATACTGTCGCTCGCAGGACCTGCCTCCTTCCCCGTCGTTGTGCGCTTCTTAATCTGGAGCATGTCCACACTTCTCGATCTCTTCTCCAAAGACAAGGAGTACGGCGTGTGGAAAGAAGGTTTCGACTTTATCCTCAAGTTCCCGCGTCGCGTATATACCAGCATGTTCCCTTCGCGCGATACCTTGCTATTTATCGCAACCTTCACCTCGTTTGTAGTGGTAGACTGGGTCCTCATCCTCGTTCTCAGCATTGGAAACCCGACTATGGAAGTCATACCTATCGGCCAACGTGTCTTCATCTCCCTCTTCGAAGGGTTTTCGATCCCAACTGGAGGTTACGCTATCGTCTCGCCATCGGCCATGTATTTTGACGTACAGGTTCTGTGGCTTGTTGTCTTCTACACCGCGGCGTACCCACACATCATTACCATGCGCAAGACCAACGTATATGAGGAAAGATCTCTTGGAATTTACGAGGGTGACGAGGCTGAGCCAGAACAGCTTCACTCGGCGTCTAGCTCGCTCTTCGATGTTGACGCTGCGATATCACCGTTGCCTACTGCTGAGGCAGAACCAGAAAAAACACGCCTCGCGCCTATCAAGTCTCTCGGTCAAGTCGGCCGTCGCGGCACCGCCTTCGTAGGTCGCCAACTCCAGCATCGCATGACAGCTTTCCAGGGTGTCGGTGTCGCGCCTGTGCCGTCCGCAGCGCCTGCTACTCTGAAAAGATCAAAAACCATGGACTTCAACCGCGCAACATCCATCCACTCGCTTTCTTCGCATCCAGGAACCAGACCTCCCTCCCTCATCAGCCAGCAAGTTCGAGGCCAACTTTCGCATGACGTATGGTGGATAGCTCTCGCGCTCTTTCTAATCACACTCATCGAGACACATCACTCCATCGAAGACCCGCGCACATACAGCGTATTCACTATTCTATTTGAGATTGTGAGTGGATACACGACTATTGGAATTAGTATCGGGTTGCCGGATCAATCATACAGTTTCAGTGGCGGGATGTACACGGGGAGTAAAATCATCATGATTTTGGTTATGCTGAGAGGAAGACATAGAGGTTTGCCTGTGGCGCTTGATCGAGCAGTGCGGCTACCGGGGAAGAAATTGGCTGAGATGGAGGAGGAAGATGCGGAGATTAAGAGTATGTTTTCTCAGTGAAGAAAGCATGTTCAGTGAGCGATGTTTTGGATATGTTCAATGAATGTGCAGTGTGACCCATCTTGCTTTGAAGTTCTCACATGACTGGCTGGGTTTCAAGACAGACTTTTCTCTTCCATGGATGTAACCTTACGAAGTAGCTTGACGCGTACGCACGTGCCAAGCTGCGAGAGAACCTTGAAAACTAAACATTTTCCGGCAATATCCTCGTCTGATCCATCTTTACCCTATTGCATCCTCTCGTCTCCGCTGCCCAGCCATATTGGGCAATACCCTAGTGACTGTGGTTGAACATCTTAGATGTTTCATCATGCATGGCTTCACCATTGGATTACAGTGGTCCAAGTTCTTGCGGACTACACCGGAATTCCTGTAAGTTCTTGAGAGTATGTGAAGGAAACAATTTAGGAAAGAAGATGACATTGATTGTACTTTGATGCGTAATTTGTGGATATCAACATGGAGACATTAGAATTCGTTGGAAACGTCAAGATCGCCACACTACTCTCTGATCAATTACCTTCACTGTACCCCCCACAACTTCTTAGATCCACCATCGAAATCTCGCTGTCGTATGACTGGATCTACAAGAGAAGTCCGGCAACACCAAGGACACCACCCAATCCGATGGCCGCGGCAGCCATAGTCGGTGCAGGGGCACCGTTAGTGGTCTGTTGAGCACCACCAGCACCACCCGTGCCAGAAGTCGCTGAAGCAGCGTTAGAAGCCGCAGATGAACCAGAAGTCGCTCCAGACATGGTAGTTGTCGGAGCGGCGGAAGAAGCGTTCGACATGGCCGAAGTCATCGAAACCATGGAAGTAACGGAACCAACAGACGTACCGGAAGCAGAAGCCGGAGGGGCTGTAGAAGCGGCCGAGGGGTTGTAGGAAGTAGTGCTGAAGGAGCATTCGCGGACAATGTCGGAGACGTCGTTGTCAAGCTCTCCGCCGTTCTGGGTGATGCAGGCGGCGCAGAGGGGGATGGCGGTATTGGCGTTCTGGGCGTTGCAGACGCACTGGCGCTCAGCGGCATCGTCGTCTGAAGTGTCTAGTTAGTATTCTTGTGTTATGTTTCAAATGATATAGCCTTACTGGTGCTGTTGTCACAGTCACGGGTCAGGGTAACGACCGAGGCGCAGACATCGCGGCACTGCATGGGAACATCGTCGTTGTCGACATCCTGAGCAAGACCGATGGCGGAAAGGGCAAAGACGATGGCGAGCTTCTGGAAGTGCATGTTTGCGGTAGGTGGAAATCTCAAGCGAGAGTTGTAAGGTTTGATTGGCGTTGTATCGTTGTGGAGTAGTGAAGACTGTGGTTTGCGATGCTGATGATGTCCTCCATCGTGGGAAGTATCAGGGAACTATATACTTCAAAAACTGCTCGCGTGCCTACTTTCCCTTCTGAGACGGCTAGCCCTCCGCATCCAATCAAACATTCCCATTCCTCGCACAGGGCTGACATTACATCGCTCGCGGTGATTACGTCGGACAGCAGGCTCCGCCCTGCGCCCCGCCATCTATCGGTCCGTCGTCGGTTATCACGGGTGGGCGTTGTCCATGGGGAATGTGGATTGGCGCCGGGGATCAAGGTCTTGTGTCAAGGCGCCCAAGCATGAAGTCAGATGCAGTGCCGAGCGCCCAGCAACGACGGAGCCTTGGCGAGGGAGGTTCATTGGGCTATTCATGAAGGACGATCGTCTTGCGTCGCATGCAGCACTGCCTGCCGCGACGCAACAGCCACGGCGGACAACACACATGCCTACGCGTAGCCAAGTATCCAAGATTCAAGTGTATGTCTAAAGTTACACTGAGTACTAAAAAAGCAAGTTGTGGCATCTTCTTCCATGTTCTTCGACAAAAGTGGACCTTGGCCACCATCAATCATGAAAATGCGGAGAAACTTGGGGACTGCTGATGAGTGATCAGTGCGAAAACATGAGGTCACATCAATGTGGGTTGAGTCAGACAGTTATCTAACCAAGGAAAATCTCCCCGCTTCACTTGCCTTACCCATTGAAACGTCTAGATTTAATTTGAGCATGCTTTACACCAAGCTCTGCGGATGTTCCTGCCAAGCATGAGCCAAGTTAGCAACAGACACACTCGCTTGCACCGCCATCGATTACGTGGTGGGTTGTCGCAAGTCAGATGAGGCTGTTGGTGGTATGAGTGAAGTTGTTTCTATCTTTGTAGCAAACATGCATAGATCTGCGCGCGAGAAGTCTTGGTTCGGATAGAAGCGGAGTAAACATGTGTTGAACTACCGAGATGTATAAATGGGAGATGGTATCTTTATGCGCCGCTATGCCATACGCCATGCTTATATGAAACGAACAGAAATGTTAAACTTCGATCCGTGCCGACAACTCAATACTAACATGCGATGACAAATGCTTCGAAGCAGTAACTCAGAGAATCAAGATAATGTGCGCCAAAATGCCGTGCTATGCCTTGCAGGGTCAGAGGTGGTGCATGCCGCACGTAGGAATGACAGGAAATGCCGATGCTGCAGACTTTGCCCTGCCGAAGGCTGAGAGACTGAACGGCACCGCTACTGGACGTGATTTGGGGCTTTGCGAGTGGCAGTCCCCCAGCCAGGAAAGGTCTTTGATAATTCCCAAGATAGAAGATAAAAGTTGGGCAGCGGGATGGTCCGGGATTGTCCGCAAAGCTTGGGACTTCACGAAGCAATGTCGGGTGCTTTACCGCTGGGCGTTATGGGGCGGGACCCAGAGACGAAGCCCCGCGAACCCTTTCTAGGCTCTGGCTTGACAGGGACTCGCATAGCGTCCTCTGGCTTCAACTCGCCAGTAAGCCATTGACCCATATGTGTTTGCCATCTCCTGGGGTCGTCCGCTTTCGTTGCTTCCCTTAACCTCCTATGCCGCACTAGCCTTTCCGCTACCTGTTGCAGAACAATCTTAGGAGGCTGGTACTCGGTCAGGCCTCCTGGGCTGGCGATCGTATTCCTCTCAAGATATGCCTCCGTTGCTCGCTCCATAGTGGAAAGCGTTTTACCTCCAGGAACCTCTTTCCTTTCATTCGTTTGCGGATTGGTCCATTGTCCCTTCTCCCAGCTGTCAAGCGGTAGGCCTTCGAGCCCCTTGTCGACGTTGAGGCGCTTGTACCATCGATGTTCTCCCTTGGCTATTGTACGCATCATCTTATGACGATCTTCACCTTCGGTGTATTTGATCAGGACGTTCTTGAAAACAGCCAGCTTCTCACTCCACTTCTGCAGCGCCTTGACTTTTCCTAATGGGCCAGGCCAAACCGCCGCGAATCCGTCATTTGTGGTATCCGGGCGTCCTGTCCCAATAGAAAGCAACAAGCCTGGCTCTTTATCGTCACCGTTCAGCGAAGCATGCTCACTATAAGCAGCATACGAGGGGTTGTTTTCGCGAATTCCTCCATCTTTGAAGCTCACTCGCTTTCTGTTTCTCCCGCTGCCGATCTCGGCAGTGAGCATCTCAAAGTAGAAAGGAGCTGCAGAAGTAGCTCGTGTCACCTGCCATATCTTCAATTTGTCGGCACCGGCATTGTAGTTTGTAACCCAAGGTGGAGCGATATCGGGATCGTATTGGTGGTTGTATGAGCGGAGAAGGTGTGCTTCGTCGATTTGGCCGGAGTGGGTGGCAGTCAGACAAATACTGGGTATGGTTAGTAAAGCGTGAAAGTGATGATAGAGTCAGCCAAGAGCAAACAAGGGGCTCTTCAAACTCCACAAGACCGCAGGAATAGTCTTCTAGTAGGCAGACCTTGTCGAGGACACATAGATGGGGGAACTTACGATTGACATATCCGCTCTGTTGGCTTGCCTCTGATCGACGGCTCACCACCATTTGACCAAGTAGTCGAGCTTTGTAATGAGCCTGTACCTGGTTCGTTGACCATCGCTTGCGCTGGAGCGCTCTCTTCCTCTAAAACCCATGGATGCCAGTCATCTCCTGTACAGTGGTCGTGCTCCTTGCAGTATTGCCTGACGATATCTTGCACGGCTTTCTCTAATGGCTTGTGGTGGTATTTGGTAGCCAGAGGCAGCACACTCCTCCTGTGTCCAAACAGCTCGTGTCCTACTTTACGGTATAGTTCGAGGCATTGTGGAACGCTCATACGCAACCTAGCCAGCATGACGGAGATGAGTCCGCCCGTACTGGTTCCGTACATGAAGTCGAAGTAATGACATGGCAGTAGTTCGTCTTCGTTGAATGCGCGTCGTTCGCTACCCTCTACAGGGCCTTCTTGTGTTTGTAACCGGCGTTCGCATATTGCAATTTCGTGCATGAGGCGTTGGATAATCAGGAGGCTTGAGTAGCCACGGATGCCACCTCCATCTGCCGAACATGTTAGTATTTGCTACAAGTGTCATCAAATGCTACAAGTCCCTCCGCGATCGACCATGCAGGTTTAAGCACTCGTACCGTTGCGCGCATCCAATGCGCTGCGTCCATGTCCACCTGGACCCTTCTCCACATGGCGGAACAACTTCACATACCTAGCGTGAGTATCAAGTCCTCCCAGCAGTTGTCCTTGGTAACGTTCATCTTCCAGGTTTCTCCAGTTTTGTCCTGCACCGTGGCACTGGTGCCCGTCGTCCTTATACTGAGCGGCCGCGAGACCGGCTCCGGTGGTTGCAACATGTCGGCGCGCTTGCTGTGTACTTGATGGAGGTTTGGGACCTAAGGTATGCAGCCTTGCACAAATCGCGCACTTCTGATCAGGCCGGAAACAAAAGGAGGTAACGGATCGACGCAGGTTGCAGTGGATATAAGGCTGCCGAGAGCCTCATGACAGCTTTGGCGCGTTCCTGCAAAGGGCGCGACGGTCTGCACACTGGTGGATGGGTGGGTCGCGGGAGTGGCTGACTCTGCCGCTAGCGAATGGAGTCTGGGGTCGTAACGAATTAGGACGGCGGAATTGCGACAGAGCCACTGCTAAGCCTCTGGGGTCCAATAAAGCGTGGAGGCTTGTCTCTGATCTCATTGTGACCCTGGGAGTTTTTTATGTTGAAGTGGTCAGGGGGTGACGGGTTTGTGTGACGCAGGGAATAGAATGATGAGGTCAGCCCGTTCTCCCGCAATCCTACCCAGAATTTGGGAGCCGACAACAACCACGGTGGGAGTTTATCAGTAGCCGATCTGCTTGCTACACAGGCATACTATTTCGCGTTGTTGCCTATGTGGAGCTGAAATGCAGGGCTGTATACGAGCAGGCAGAAAGGCTAACATGTTCGGGACGCAGTCCTCGAGCAAACTCGAGATGCCAGGGGTTGAAACTGAATCCAGAGTGACGCCTGCTTGTGATACTGATGATGGCCAAGCGGGTCTGCCGGACTGCGTAGTGAGAGCGAATTTTGGCCGATATATGGTCACATGAAAGGCGTTCATGGGTTACAGACTTGCAGGTGATGCGCTTGATAGTCTCTCGCAATATCGCTGTTGAAAGTATGGAAAAAAAATATGTCATCAAATACCACGATGAGTCAAATGGTCTCTTTTCGATTGATGGAAGGTTGTGGGCATGTTCGGCGTACTGACGGGCCTCGCTTTTAGTCTGTAGCCGGCTCTGCCCGTGGTTGACCAGGATTCCTCAGAGACAGGACTTTCTGGCTTATGTTGGGCGAGACGAGACAGAACTCAAACGAGCTGTACCTGACTGAAAGACTAAAATGTTTGAATGTTTGGAACAGGAACGTCGCCGTTGCGCACTTGGGCCAATCACGGTAGTTGACGGCACAGCCGCATCGTGAACCAATCAACGAAGAAATCGGCCGGGAGCGACATCATACCATCAGCCACGCTAGGGGGCGCAGCCCGTGGTGTGACGCTGCTGGAAGGCTCGACGCTCTCTCACGACCCAGACCGTCACTCCACCTGCACCTTCACACCATTTTTCACTCACGCGACTGACCGGCGCCTACGCCTATACAAAGCACATTCCACCAGTTTGTAGGACCACAAACAACAACCTAGACAAGCACCAGATTCCTTTCGCTACCCATCCTTGGTCCTTTTCCGCCCACCGGAGCCCTATTCTCGCCTGTTGCGACATCTCAGCCCCACCTTCTCAGTACAGAAGCGAAGGAATAATGCAGGAAAGCACGACGTTCAAGTCGGATTCGACGTCTGGCTCAGCGTCCAGTAAATCGAGTGTCTTGTTCGATTTGGACGCATGCGGCCACAAGTCTATCCTCGTGTACAAGTATCGTTCAGGCGCAAAGGGCCTAGAGATCAAGACAGAGGCCGACCTTTGCAGTGAACTTGACCAAGGTACGTTCCTTTCTGCCTGCTGATTTGGCCCCAACTAAGGCAGTGCCCAGACCCGTCATTACCATTCATACGCGTCACAAAGAAGCCTATACCGCGCGGCAACAGCCGGCTTGACATACTCAACGAAGATCTGCTCGCTCCGTTGGAGCGTGAAAAATACGCAGAGAAGCCTACCCTCAAGGCTTCCGTCGCAAATGTGGGACTGCCCACGCTCGCAAAATGGAAGCACATGATACTAGGGAGCTACGAGGACCTCTACATCGTCTCCCGGTCGCATACGCCCTCGCCTGAGGCCAGCAAGACCAACAGTCCAGAGTCGAGTCAGCATGTCACGCCTGCGCATACCTTCCCCAACGAAGCGTTGCATAGTTCGGGTGCGTAGGTGTGGCTGCCATTACACACAAAACTACACGCTACCTATACGATTATACATTTTCTGTCTGTCATTACGCGATACCCATAGAGCTCGGCGCCGGATGGAGTTTACCTTGTTATTGTTTCCCTTGAATCGTCTCATGTCCGTCTGTCGCTTGAGGATAGAAAAAGGTCATGCTGCACGATATCGAGTCGGCAGTATGTAACTCTCAATACGAAACCACTATAGATACTAGCTGTGCTTGTCATGCTGAGTTATATGCATCGTGCCGTGTGAAGCTCTTAGTCCAGAGCTGTTGTGTACTTGCGCATCCAATGTTGCGTTCCCAACAGATGGAGAGAAGCAATATCATGAAGAAACAAGAGACCCCTGTCTGATAACATCAGTTCATGCCGAGGAAGGAGCCGCTGCACCAGGATCGGTTGTCGCCAAACCAACGTCATCACAGACGTGATTCGCCAATGCAGCGGTCGGAAGAATGGTTGCAAGGAAGACATGTAAAGCTTTTCTCCCCGTGTTGCAGCGACAGGAAGCGAAGGAGCATACTGCCTGCATTGTTTGTATACACGTGGGTGGCATCGGACCTTCTAAATGGCTGGGCGCAACCGGTAGACCCATCTACGGCTCGTCCAGACGACACTAAGGGACGGCGCTCCACCCAAGTCTGCACATGCAAGCGGGGAGCTTCACTCTTGGGCCCGGTCTTGTTGCGCTGGGGCCCTGCATCAACTTCTGAAGCTTCCATCGTGAGCCCATATTGCTGACAACCATTCTTCCACGCCCATAACATCCCAATCCAACGGCTCGAGGTCTGTAGTTATCCTCGTTCGCCCGACATGAGGTTCGTAATCCCAGCCATGCAGCCATGCACGCGTCGCCCAATCGTCGCACAGCGCGGATGATGTCAACGGAAACTAATGCGCGTTCGCAGGTTTGGTCAGCAGCTCAAGCAGTCGCTCAACAAGGAGTGGATCTTCTACTACATCGACTATGAGAGCCTGAAGAACTCGCTGCGCGTCCACCACATCTGGGACGAGAAGTCGGAGCAGAGTTTCGTCGAGCAGCTTGAGAAGGAGCTCGACAAGGTCTACACGTTCCAGCGCGTCAAGGCCGAGGAAATTATCCGTCGCATAGCAGCCTCCGAGAAGGAAGTCAACGATGCCGTCGCGCGCGCCCAGCAGGAGCCCCAGAACAGCGACAACTTCGAGGAAGATTTCGACTTGTTAGAGGAGGACCTGAGCGATATCATCGCCGATGTCCACGATCTCGCCAAGTTCACGCAGCTCAACTACACGGGCTTCCAGAAGATTATCAAGAAGCACGACGTACGTATTGAAACAATTGGCATGTTGCAAGGCTAATTGCATGCAGAAAAACACCAGCTGGTTCCTCAAGCCCGTCTTCGCCGCCCGTCTGAAGCGCAAGCCCTTCTTCCAGGACAACTACGACTCCTACGTGGTCAAGCTATCGCGACTCTATGACATCGTCCGCACCCGAGGAAACCCCGTCAAGGGCGACGCTTCCGCCGGAGGAAAACAACAAAACTTCGTGCGCCAGACAACCAAGTACTGGGTGCACCCCGATAACATCCTGGAGCTGAAGCTGATCGTCCTCAAGCACCTGCCTGTGCTCGTCTTCAACCCCAACAAAGAGTTCAATGAGGAGGACTCCGCCATCACATCCATCTACTTCGACAACACCGACACATGGGAGCTATACCAGGGCCGTCTGAAGAAGACGGAGGGTGCTGAGGCTATCCGTCTGCGATGGTATGGAGGTATGTCTAGCGACACCATCTTTATTGAGCGCAAGACGCATCGTGAGGACTGGACAGGCGAGGAGTCTGTCAAGGCGCGTTTCAAGCTCAAGGAGAAGAACGTCAACGCATACCTCCGTGGTGAACTCAGGCCTGAGCAGATCTTCGAGAAGGAGCGTAGGGAACAGAAGAGGCCTGAAAAGGACATCGCCTCTGACGAGCAACTGGCCCGAGAGATCCAGTACCGCGTGCTGACTCGCAAGCTCGAACCCGTTACGCGATCTTTCTACCACCGTACCGCTTTCCAACTTCCCGGCGATGCTCGCGTCCGTATCTCCCTAGACACTGAGCTTACCATGACCCGCGAGGACAACCTGGATGGCAAGAGGCGCGCTGGTGATAATTGGCGCCGCACGGATATCGGTGTGGACTGGCCTTTTAAGCAGTTGCCCAAGGAGGACAAAGAGCTCTTCCCTTACGCCGTCTTGGAGGTCAAGCTTCAGACACAAGCTGGAGGAGAGCCACCTCAATGGATCCGCGACCTCACGTCTTCCCATCTCGTCGAAGCCGTACCGAAGTTCTCCAAGTACATCCACGGCACTGCCACGCTCAACCCCAAGCGCATCAACTTGATCCCATACTGGTACCCTCAGATGGATGTTGACATCCGCAAGCCTGTTACTCACAAGTTCGGTATTGAGCGCCCCGGAGCAAGCAACGACATTAGCACCAGCGGTAACCTGGACGACGATGACAGTGAAGACGAGGATGCCGTCATGGGTTTGCCCTCAGCTAACGGCAACGAGGACGACGACAGAATGAGGAGGCTTCGCGACGCAAGGGACGTCATGGAGCAGAATGAGATGCAACGAACCCGCGACTACGGCACTCTTACGAATGGCAACGATCCCAATGCGCTTGATATTGAAGAGCGTGTCGCCGCTGGACGCACTCGCGACGAGGACTACCCCATCTACGATTCTGACAGCGACGATGATGACGAGGAGTTTGAGGCTGCCAGGCGACAAGGAGGTCTCCGCTATGCAAAGAAATGGGTAGAGCGCACCGCCACCAACGTGGGCTCTACGGTTCTCTCAAGCGTTGCAGCAATAATCCCCAAGCCAACACCTACCGATGTTGGCGAGGGAGGTTTCTCCCTTGGCGTACCCTCATGGAAACAGAAGGGCGAAGTCAAGCGATTCAAGGCACCGAAGGGCAAGCGTAAGTTGTTCCGATCATCCCACCTCCAGCCTGTACTAACATCATAATAGGTATTCACGTCCCTGTCCGTGTCGAACCCAAGGTCCAGTTGGCAACCGAGCGTACTTTCCTCTCGTGGCTAGAATTCTCCATCCTCATCGGTTCCATCGCCGCTACGTTACTCAACTTTGGTGATAGCTTGGCCTTTGCAGCTGCTTGGGCGTTCACCATCATCGCTTGTCTTGCGCTGTGCTATAGTGCAGGCTTGTACTTGTGGAGAGTGAACAAGATCAAGGAGAGGAGAGCGGTCACGTATCACGATCGTTGGGGACCGACGTTGCTTTGCTTGGGATTGTTCTGCGCCGTAGCCGTCAGTTTCGGGTACAGATTTGGAAAAGGTGGTGTTGATGGTGGACTGAAGGGAGATCTTAAGGGCTGAGCACGTCGTGAGGTGGACATGGACTCGCGGGAGATGGAATTTGATGTTTTTGAACTTGTCATGACTGACATTTCGAAGCCAATGTTCGTATGGGAGGCATGCATTATTGGCGTTACGTGTACATAAAACTGTACATACTAATGGGTATTGTTGTACTATTGATTACTTTTGTAGGTTGTTGCAGCATTTCAATCTCATAATGTTCAGAGCATCAGTGATGCGGAGATATGAGCTATGGACAAGTGCTCGCTAGTAGAGAGGAGATACGTATAAATTACTGTCTTCTAGAGGTCTGCTTCACGCTTCTTTCATCACACTCTAGTTGTTTCTTTCCTAAAAGAGCAAATTGTGCTCATCATGTCTGTCTCGCTTTTCCAAAAGCATCGATATTATCGTGTCATGGCTAAAACTGGCATCTTTTTACGAAAACACTACTCCTCAAGAGCTTTGAAAACATTGAAACAAAAGTGCCAGTGAAGAAGCCTCATACTATTCCTTTCAATATGAAAGGGCGACATCAAAAACGGACTCGCAGATCACACATGGACAGTGCAAAGAAAGACAACTCAACCCAAACATTCAAGGGATGCATAAGATCCTACAAAAACGATTCTGTTTTCCGCTTACTACTCGCATTGTCGCATTACGACTACCAGATTGTCTTTACCTGAAAATTAATCATCAACAAGCCACATGTCCGCCTTCTTGAAAATTGGAGAGAAGGTAGACATGTTTCTTTGTGAGCTATCGGACTCAAAAACGGTTAGCAGGATCACCAAGTTCAGTTCTCTAATTACCTTACTCTTGATAGAGAACGTCAAGACAAACGAAATCAAAAAGTATGGTTGTGTCTTTTCCAAAAGCCACCGAGTAGTTCGCCATGCTGGAGTGGCCATTTAATCGTTCTTTTCAAACACGCCAGAAGGAAAGCCTCGAGCTAGCCGTAGAATGTTGCTATGTACATCCGCTGCTTTAAAAAGAGTGTTGATTACACATGGACGCATCTATGCACCTGCATATTCGGCAAAAGCGGCACCATGTGGAGTAAGATCCCATACACAACCAAGTGTGTTGCATGCTACTCGAAAAGCATCTGGCTTTGAGGCATATCATTCTCAGCGACTGGTTGCATCGATAACATCAGATCTATGCTTGCGTACATTCTGCTCTCCTCGCTAAGAGTGCCCGTGGTACATTTCCAAAATCCACAACCAAAAACGGCCTGATCAGTTGTTTGTCCTCCAAACCTGATAGCGGAGTTCGTATGCACCGAGATGAGACCTTTGTCAAACTCTTTCTCTCGTTTTTCCTACTCTTGCCTTCTCTTATCACATATTTCATCTTCTATCGATCAAAAACTGTAGTGATGAATGTGCCGCTTCCAGAACATGCGTACGAAACTGGACTGAGAACTTCGTTGTGAACCGATTGTCACGGGAGAAGAGGAATAGGAAGATTGAGAAGGCTGAATTTTTTTTTCGAGTCATCGGAGTTCTCTCGAAAGCGAACAAGCTGGAACATTATGGCGGACGAGACACGCCGAAATCGGCAACAAACATGCACATGGAGTGAGCAACGGAGCGCTGTTGACACGGTACGTGCATTCCTGTAAACTTTGCCCGAGGGTATCATGACATGCGCTCCTCTTTGAGCCTTGAATCGAAGAACATGAGTCCGAAATCAGCTATCAGGAACGACACGATACCAAAACCACGGAATGACCAGATAAAAACGCTAAAACAGCGTGTGCACTGTCGATGAGAAACCGATCGTAAACAATGACATGAAACCGTTACTATCCCTCTGTCCTAACCACTCCAGCAGAAGTTCTGATATCAAACTCGACCCACCTCGCCCTTCCCTCTCTTCTTCCTCTCCCGCCACTTTCGTCTATACTTCCCGGGTTCATAACCGTGCAGCCAAAGTACTTGACTACAAATGCCGGTGCCTCGCTATCTGCGAGCACCAAACTCGTCGGCAACGGGTAGAGATTCATTGTGTGCGCGAAATCCCAATGTAATGGCCGCGCTGAGAGCGGGAATGGGCTTAAATGCGATTGTGAGAGTATGGTTCGGGTGAGCGCGCGCGCTGTTTGTGTTTCGACATCAACATCTGATTGCTGCTGCTGCTGTCGGGCCGGCGGCGGCCTGAGATCAAGATCCATGGCGTCCTGCTGTTCCGCCTCTTGTTGTTGATGACTCGGCGCGTATGGCATATCGTCGTCTACATCCGGGGGTGGTTTGTTGAATCGTATCGATTGTCTTTGCAGTCTTCCGGCCACATCGTCCCTCAGTATTGCCATCTCGCCCTTGACGCCGAACCAGGTCAAGCGCGAGGGATTGGATGTCCAGATTACTTCCCCTTCTTTGCCCTTTGCCTTGCCCGCTCCCCAGATCTCTCTGTTCGCTTCAGCAACGACCTTTCTAATCCTGCTTGTGAACATCGTTGGAATAGGTTTCCTCGGTAATGGTGTAGCGGCACCAGCAGAGAACGCACTCGGCCAGGCGTCGTTGTCGCCAGGAACGAGTACAAGTGTAGTATGTGCGATGAGAGTTTGAAACTCTGCAAGGACAGAGGCGAGTGCGTCAAAATGTTCTTTGTATTCTATGCTGCCTGTTCCTGGTACGCCTGCCAAACTGGCTTTCGAACTGAAGTTTCCCATCAGGATGATGCCGAGAGGATAGACGGGGTGGGCGTCGGTAGGATCGGGTGTGTATGTGCGTAAGAGGGTACGGAGAGCAGACAATGTGGATGGGACATCTAGATGGAGGTCTGAGGCTATGACGATGTTATGTGCTGTGTCGGGGTCGAGGAGTTTCGATGCAATCTTGTTCATGCGAGTACCGGTCGCGCGCTGAGACCCAACGCCTAAGAAGTCAGTCCATCCGAATGCTGGTCCAGCCAAGCTGTTCTTGTCGGCCTCTTCGGCGCCCCCCAAAGTTGCTGTTCTCCGTTCACTGGGAGGGTGTCCGACTGAGAAACCTAGGAATTTGCCGCCTATCGTGCCACCAATGCCGCTGCTGCCTCCTAGAGTTGACGTGGCACCGGCGTCCTCTTCGTAGCTGCCCTCGACTAGAACAATCATGCCTGGTGCGAAATATGCGCCGTTCTCAGGGATTGGACGAGCGTGTTGGATGTCCAAGGTAATTGTGCCTGTAAGATCAGAAAGTGAGAGCACACCAGTGGCCGAGACTGTAAGCATGCCTAGCAATAGATGCGTACTTCCAGTCCGACCAAGCAGGTTCGCGATGGGAGTGATGGTGTTCATCTGTGAGGTTGCAATGGATCCTGTGCGGCTTAGGGTAGCAGACCGCGCTGTAGAGAAGGTGGGTGCTTGAAACGTTTCGTTACGGAGTATACGCTGGTGTACGATGTGGTACCGTTGACGGAAGAGCTCAGTCTTGTGTTTTGGATCTGGGAAGAGTGATGGCTTTTTGGCAGATCTGTCATGGTTAGCAGATGTTCAACTCTCGCCTGCTCTCTGCATACTTTTCGAAATGCTTCTGGGTAGCATTGTATATCAGCTTTGGCTGGTCGAAGGCGCCGATGACCTTCATCCATTCTCTTGGATCTTTCAGCAGATCTTCTTCTTCGTCTTTGTCTTCCACCTCCAAACTGGACATGCCGAAGCTGCTGTTACTGTCCAGACTCGAGTGGGTTGTCTGGCCGGCTATTTCAGGTCCAAAGTTGAAACTGGTTTGCCTCCCCAGAGTCGACCCTTGTACCACCCTTCCTCCGCTCATGGAGCCTTCAAGTGTCTTCAGTATGCCTCTGAGTGTCTCATTGTCGCCTTCTACGATAACTTGACCACCACATTTCTTCCAGCTCTTCGCGATCTCTTCCAAGACCTTCTCTGCCAAGCCTTCCTCTCTCCATCCTGATCCGCAGTGTTTCCCTACAAACGTTGCTAATGCTTGGAGGGCAGAGGATGTGAGGGTGAGGTTGTGTTTCTTGGTAAATGTCCGAAAGGCAAGCGGTCGCAATGTCGCCGGCGGAAGGAGTATAGGTAGCACAGTCGACTTTCCAACTGGCTTCAGTGCAGGCGGGGCGCGTATGGGGGCTGTTCTGCGGGGATTGATGGGATGAACGGGCGTTCCGAATGCGGGCGATGAAGATGGGATAAGATCTGAGGGTACCGCTGAGGGCTTCTCTGGTCTTCTCGAGGTCGCCATGTTGGTAGTGGTGAAGGTGAAGTTATGCTGTGTCGCAATGTTGGCAGGCGGTCGGGATTCCACTTTACGCGTGCGACGCGTCCAGGCGCGATTTCGCGCTAGGTATGGACTAAGCTACTTTTCCCAGCAACCACCAATCCCCCTACCCAAACACAACACTGAACATCCTTCACGCCTCCTTTATCCGCTCGACAAGTCCATTATTGCTGTCGCATACTCCACACAATATCCGCGAACTTGACTAATCTCACACAATGGCTGACCCTGCGACTGAACCGCTCGCGACCGTCACTGAGACCGAGGACCTGCCCAGGACGAAAGAGAAGATGGCAGAGCTGTCGCAGGCTGCTTCCATCCACTACTCCACCAAAAACTACGACGCTGCTGCCGAACACTACGCCGATGCCGTCGAAATTCAAGCTGAACTCAACGGCGAGATGGCGCCTGAGAACGCTGAGCTGCTCTTCTACTACGGGCGCGCGCTATACAGGTCCGCAGTCGCCAAGAGTGATGTGCTAGGCAACAAGGTGGCAACACAGGAGAAGAAGAAGAAGCAGCCCAAAGCGAAAAAGGCCGCCAGAACAGAGGCGGGCGAGGGGTCAAGCGCCGCAAAGGCTGAGCCCAAGGAGGAGTCAGTAGAGAACAAGCCATACTTCCAACTCCAGGGCGACGAGAACTGGACCGATTCTGAAGATGAAGACGATGACATGCAGGACGGCGAGGAAGAGGACGACGACGACGACCTCGGAAACGCGTACGAGATCTTCGAGCTAGCTCGCGTCCTCTACGAGAAGCAATTAGACTCGCCAGAAGGAGATGCCTCAGATAAGGGCAAGGGCAAAGCAGAGCTAAGTCCACGAGCACGCATCGTGAAAGAGCGTATCGCAGACTGCCACGGTTTCCTTGTTGAGATCTCGCTGGAGAACGAGCGATTCCACGACGCCATATCAGACGCCCGCAAAGCGCTCGCCTTACAAGAGGAACTGTATCCTTTCGAACACGAGAACGTCACAGAAGCTCATTACTCGCTTTCCCTCGCGCTGGAGTTTGCATCTGTCTCTAAGGTACGAGAAGACCAGACCGGACAAACGACCGAGGAGTCCGCGAAGCAAGAACCAGGGAAAGAAGACGAAAACGGTATAAACTGGGAGCTGCGCAACGAGGCTGCTGAGCAGACTGATCTTGCCATAAAGAGCCTAGAGGCACGATTGAAGAAGGAGGAGGCCGCACTCGGCTCTGACGCGCTGAAACCTGAGCAGAAGAAGGAGAAGCAAACAATCATTGAGGATAAAAAGGGTATGCTCGAGGACCTAAAGACTCGTCTTGTAGATCTCAAGTCAGATCCCACGAAGCAGGAGTTCGACAGTATTGACTCGTCCGTGTTCAAGGGTCTGCTAGGAGGCCTGTTGGGCGCAGATTCCGCGACGCAAAAGGCCAAGCTTGCGGAAGCTACCAAGACCGCGAACGATGTGTCTGGTATGGTGAAGAAGAAGGTCAAGGCGCCTGTTCCGGCACCATCAGGTTCAAACGATGCCGGTAGCAGTAAGAGGAAACTAGAAGTTGATGATGGCGGCGCGGAGGGCAAGCGAGCGAAAACTGAGGAACCCGCATAAACTGTTTACACTGCGGACTAGAAGAGCACAAGAGTTGACAAGGAATGATTGATACCTAGGTAGTTGTCGAACGGCGACCCTTGTGTTACAACACGACAAACGGTAACGGGCTGATGAATTGACATTGGGCTTGGAGCGTATGAAGATATTTCCCATTACATTGCACAACTGGACTTGCTCTAATATGCGCACCGACATGAAGTGGCAGTACCTAGCCGCTTTCCCCCAATCCGTCTACCTGAACCAATATCGCAGTGCCATGTGTGCATAATGAAGATCCGAATGTCTACCTGCTCAGGCCTAACAACCTCATGGGCACATCGTCCCAAAGAAAACGCCAGATTCGAAGCGTCGCACCTCATCGTCTCGTCACCGTCAACACACTTTGATTCGCAACGATGGCATCTACATTATCGGCGATACAGAGATCGTTGTCAAGAATTCAGGATACATGGGCTACGACACAGCAACAACACATGGTCCGCCCCGAAGCGGAAGGTTTAGTACTGCGCTATTCTTCCTCTGCCACCCAATCCGCTGTCTCGCTCAGCTTCAGCATCACATGCAAGAAGATGGTGCAATGCACATGTGCCAGGGTGGGACGGGTATGATCGACTCTGATTGGGTTCGAAGTGAGGATCGCCGACATGGGAGATTAGAAACAAATTCTTGCCCTTCAAAGCTCCAGGCAGAGGTCGAAAGAGCAGATGCTGTTGGTAATGGTTCTCAGAGAGCACGTCGTCGCCGCCATAGGCGCCATCCTTCCCGCCATAGTCATGGTAGCTCGAATGCAAGCGGCATATCGAGTCACCGCGATAGAGTGCCCGCAAAACATGGCTCGAATGGTGTATTGAACGAGTTTAGTATCCCACCACCTCGCGCTATCAAGATGCCTATCCCCCTTCCTGAATACCTACCGATCGTGGATGATGCGCATGCTCGGTCTTTTGTACAAGAGGACTCCAGGTTGCAAGGTCTACCCCGAGTTCATTCCTTGATCCGGCACCAGAGACCCGAAAGGTCCCATCACGGGTCACCATCCTCGACTTCTGGCGTCAGGCCTGAAGCTAGACGCCCACAAAGGTCAAGTGACCAGTCTTCTCGTTCTGACGAAGAGTTCTTCGATGCTTTATCAAACCAACCCAATGATCTTGTTCCTGCTCTTTACCCAAAATCTTTGCGAAGATTGTCATCTGTCAAGGAAGAGACCATCAGGCATTGAGTAGAAAATCTAAGTAATGCACCGCCATTCTAAAGGGAGAAAGAGGTAGTCTGGATAGCCTAGATAGTATGAACACCGCTAGCAAACGAATTGGTGTCATGGGATGAGATAGAGTGTAACAAGTTCGATAGAGTGAGCCTCCAACACCTCCTACCCAAATATACATCTAGATGACCTTGTAGATATCTCGAAAGAACCACCGTGTCTGCTTCCAGCAAGTGTTGTCTGTCATCGTACATGTCACGCTGAGCCCTTCTGGTCCTAAGAAGATGACAAGGATCAAAACATGGCGTGGAAGAGGTGAGTTTTGACGGACAGTCGTGGTATGCGAATCACGGTCAGTTGTACGATCTTCTTCGTAGCTTCCAGTACAATGCGGGTCGAAGCGGGGCAGGCGGTCCGTGCGGCAAGCCTGCGTCATCGCCTCCTGCGCCTTCACATATTCGTCAGCTAATCCTAAGCTCCGCCGCCCTGGAACACGACTCAAAAACTCAAGATCTCTATCACAAGATCATCCGGAAGTACAAGTATCGCAGTCATGGCCTCCAACCACAACGACAACCCGTGGGCAGACCAAGGGAACCCACAAGGACAGAGCCAGCAGAGCCACAACCCCTATCAAGCGTACCAAGACCCGCCTCACAACCCCTACGCCCAACAACCACCCCCGAACCCATTAGGTCAACATCCCCCTCAAGAGCCGTACGCACAGTACCCGCCTCAACACCAGGACACCTCACCGTGGAGCCAAGAGCCAAGCCAAACTCAATCTCACAATCCATTCATGCAGACACAATCCCATGACCCTTCCCAACAGTCCTACCAGCAGCAACAACCCTCCCAGTCCTCCTACCCTGGACAAGAAGATGTGCCGCCAGGTCTACCACCCCGCCGCACAGCTACGGAGATGGCCCTCCCTACCGGACAGGATCGTTCGCATCAGATTGAGGTGATGCAGAGTTACGAGGCTGCGGGACGAAAAGACGACGACGACGAGAATGTTGAAGCGCTGCAGCGAGAATTTCCGAAGATAGACGGAAGTCTGATTGCAGCAATCTATGGAGATACCAAAAGCCTGAGCGCTACGAGGGAAATGTTACATGAACTGCAGTAAGGCAACTTCGGGGAAATCCTATATCTCCATGGACGATGAAATGAAGTAGGGGTAGGAGAGTTACTATACGCCGAAATACTCATGAGCATCATTATGAAGGCTTTACAGCTACAGAAAGGTGCTGTATCTGCATAGTCCAGATTGCCGGAAACATGCTTTTCTTCCTCAAACACTCTACCAAAGACCTTTTTGTTCATCACTTCGCGTATACTGATTCCCCTTCTTATGTTGATTTCTGCGGAAGAGTTCCCGTTATCTATCTTGACCGAGTCTCACGTGCAAGGCTATATGTTCAGCCTATACTTGGGGCGCACGGGCTTCGTGCATCGGAATTGCGTCCTAGACCTCGCAGCAGCTCGATGCGAGATTCCAATCATCGGAAAGAACGTCTTTCACACTCATCGAAAGCACCTACAATATTTTCGGTTCGACAATCTGCGAAACCAGCCTGATCGTGTTGGATTCATGTAAAGAGAAACGCGATGAACCAGCACAAGTCATATTTTCAGGTCCATGATATTTATCACGACGGGAAGCATTGATATCACATGGTGTTTCACTGCCGGCAAACCTTCCGTCCTTGAATGCGGCATGCCCAAAGGGGAACCCCGCACTTTTGCCCAGCCGGCCCAGCTAGCATGACTTCAGCCCAGCTAGGACGGCATGAGTGCGTCTCTACGAAGCCTTGCCCTGGCGCACTATTCCATGTCGCTCACCTCCGCATTTGCTTCTCCGCAGGCCCATAATTTCCCCGGATATGGTCCGTGGGGAGATTCTACCAGGTTTCTGCCGCTACTTTAGATGCTTCGACATTAAGCTGGATGAGGATATGCCGGTGTACATCTGTAGGTGGCTGGGACGAGTATAAAGCCTACATGTTTGTGGTTCATGGCCTGGGTTCGTTATCATACTGTTCTGCAGTCCCTTCCTGTCAACCAGACTATTGGGTTCAGGATCTTCATTATGCGTTTCCTCGAGCTCAGAGGCAAGAGCCTCATTGCCGTTATTTTGTTGACCTCTGGTCTTGACTTTCTTCTCTTTGGATGTAAGCTTGAAGTCAATCATGTTACACTGTGGCTATGATGTCTAACGCGACTCAAAGATGACCAAGGACTCTTCGGCGGCATCTTGGGTGGCCAGCGCTTCAAAGATACCCTTGGCAATCCCAACCCAACCATGACCGGCCTTGTCACAGCCATCTACGATATCGGCTGCGCTCTCGGTGCCGTTGTGGCTTTCGTCTTCGGCGAGCGGATCGGACGCAAGCGTTCCATCATCCTCGCCAACCTCATCGTCGTAATTGGTGCTGCTGTTCAATGTGCCAGCTTCGACTACTGGCAGATGTTCGTCTCCCGCATCATCGGTGGCGTTGGTGTTGGACTGTCAACGGTTGCGGTACCAATCCTGCAGTCAGAGACATTACCTGCGCACAACCGTGGTTCGCTTCTTGTTGTTCAGTCGGCCTTGATCATCATTGGAGTTGCTGTCGCGTCTTGGCTATGCTTTGCGACGCTATATGCCGATAGCTCGCTGCAGTGGCGCTTTCCTGTCGCTTGCCAAATACTGTTTTCACTACTTGTGTTGGCGCTCTGTCCGTTCTTGTGCGAAACTCCAAGATGGTTAGCATCGCGTGGAAAGATCGACGAGGTACGTAATCTATCGCTTGATGAACATATTGATCCTAACGCAACTTTCAGGCGAAGTATACCATCAGTCGACTTTTGGATAAGCCGTTGGATGATGAAGAAGTGCTGGGTCAACTCCAGGAAATCCTCGACGCGATCGCGGCAGAGAGTAGCGAGGAAGAGCCCACCTGGAGCGAAGTCTTCAGCAACGCTACCAAGACCCGCAATCTACACCGTGTTGTTCTCGGAATGGGGCCTTATATGATGAACCAGTGGAGTGGCATCAATGCCTTGTGCTACTACCTGGCCTACATCTTCCAGCAGTACCTCGACTACTCCCCGAGCATGTCCCTTATCCTCGCCTCGGTGGCCTTCACTCAGTACGCTGTGTTCTCATGGCCACCATACTTCTACATCGACAAAATCGGGCGTCGATGGTCAGTCATGGGCTCATCAGCCGGTTGCGCAGCATGTATGGCCATCATCGCCGGATGCCTAGCGAAGAACAGCTATGCTAGCGCAGCAGCAGCAGTCGCCTTCATCTTCTTGTATCTCGACTGCTTCACCCTTGGTATCTTGCCTGTATCTTGGTCCTACTCAGCCGAGATTCAACCTCTCCGTGTTCGAAACAAAGCGACAGCTGTCGGAGTTTTCTCGCATTGGATGTCGAACTTCGTCGTCGTCATGGTCACTCCCATTGGTCTAGACAACATCCGCGGACATTACTTCTGGATCTGGGCTGCGGTTTGCGCATCCTTTGTACCGCTTACCTACTTCTTTGGTGTCGAGACTTCTGGACGCACGCTCGAGCAGATCGACATCATGTTTTATCAGCAGCCAAGGCTGTGCATGGGACTAAATCCAGAGAACCGAAGGGTTGTGAGGGCGAGCAAGTCAGATGAGGAGAAGAGATTCAGGGAGTTTGCGCACGTCAGCGAGAAGAACCAGGCCGTCTTGGAAGAGAGGATTAGCCAGAGTGATTAGAGATAACCCGTGAGGCGCACAAGGGCATGTCAAGGGAGAAATAGTGCACTGTAAAAGCCTACGAACGAACGAAAGCAAACTCTAAATAAACTGCGCGCCAATAGTTGCGCTCTTTCTACGATGACTTGAGCTCATCGTTCCCTTTCTTCGCTTCTTTTATCATGCCACTGTTTGAATATTCGTCCAAATTAGGGCTGAAGTTCGTGCGCAAGCGCCTTTTCATGCTCAAGGGCTTTGATAGCCCAAGCTGTAGGCACGCCCCGATTTCCAATCCGCTTATGGCTCCTGCCAAATCGACACACCCAGCCAATTTCCCAACCTCCATCACATTCTTGCAACTCTTTGAGGTATTCGAGGTCAGGCTGGCCCCACACACCAAGCTTCTGGCATGCTAAGACACGCGCAGCAACAGCGAAAGAATCTCCGCGGCGACCCACGTATCCTCGGAGCACGGCAATTATCGGCTCTTTGAGTGATTGAATCTCAGGCGCAGTTGTGTTCACCTGTACAAGGCAAGATAAAAAGTATAAGAATGGCTCAGCAGAGACATAATGGTCCGTACCATCGATATAAGCGCGATTTAGAAGTATGCGACGAACGTAATCAAGCTCGGGTTTGACATCAGTGCCCCGGTTGTACTTATAGAAAACTCGAATGACATTGACAATGACAATCGGATCCAAACGAGGTCGCTTATCGCAAAAGTACGTCATGACGAGGCCGTCTTGTGCGTGCCTGTTTTTGAGCATACAATTCAGTACTGGATTGGCCGAAGAGGCGGGCGGAGAGAATGCAAGCAAAGCGTTGGCAGTGTCATCGACATCACCAGGGACTAGATGCCATCATGAGATTAGTGTCAGTTTAATACACTCAGTGTGAGAGATACCTTACAGGTCTTTGTCGTACCAACAGGAGGGCCGTTAAAGTAGTTCCATATCTTAGCTTCCTTGCTCGCTTGCTCAATCGTTGCATTGATCTCCGCAGTACCGGTATCAGGAGGTGAAAGACTGAGGAGGCTTGCGTCTTCCAGCTCCCAATGAATTATGAACTGAGAGAAAAACTCATTCAGCTCAGGGCCGTCTTCGATGCGAGAGACATGTTTGCCGGCGTTGTCAGCCATGTATCGACGCGCTCGTGTTACGGGATCGAGCAGCTGGTTGCGCAACTGACGCATCAGAAAGCCTGGGGACTCGAATACGATGCCCTGCATACCGAATGAGCGCGCTGCATTGACTTGTCCGCGCTTGTCATCGACGAAGATCACAGACGTTGGATCGCGACATCCAATGCTGTCTAGGACATGCTCGAAAAAGCCGAGCTCGAACTTCGTCATACCAGCCTCGAAGGATGTGAACACGCCGTCGAATAAGCTCCAGTCAGGTAGCACAACCTGGAGGTGCGCAAAGTCTTCCCTTGCGATATTGCTCATTGCGTAAACCCTGAGCTGCCCGTTCATCTCTGCTTTGAGCTTTTTGAGCCTCGCGATGAGGTCGTTATCGACGCGTAAAGTTCTGCGACATTGCGTGAGTGCTTCGCTTATCATTCTAGGATCAATCGAGAGTTGCTCTCCTATAATCTTCAGAGCTTCAGCCTCTTCGAGGTGGTCGCGCTCCAACTCCGCCCATGCTGGGGAGAGGATAACAGAGTGGAAACTTTGCGGGGAGAGGACAGTAAGATCGCGAGAAGACCAGTGGAATAGAACGTCGCCAAGATCAAGGATCAGCGTCCGCTGCTGTTGTGAACCTGTTGGGACCATAGTGGTGAAGTCGGTTATTGCTTGTAGTATGGAACGAAAATGTGAGTGTTTTCGTCTTCAGCTTGAAGGAAGAGGATACTGGTAATGCGTTTTTACCCGGTTGTAAGAAGAACATTTTATCATTGCCTCACCAAAGTCAGGTGATATCCAGGGCGTAATAATGATTGGAGACAAGTCCAAGATCCTCTTCCTACATCACTGGAGGTTACGTTCTATCGTAACACTTGATTGCTGACTGCAGATGCAGAACAAAAACGAATATATATCAGCCAATCGGCCTCCGGATATGTGACCTGATTAGTACTTTTGACCGCTCTCCTTTTAGGGGAAGCCACTGTCGATCTACTGAATCATTAAGAGAGCCAGTGCAGTAGCATTTGGGCGATAGTGGCTGGGTATATAATTCCCGGGATAGATGACGCTGAAACCAGAACCACTCTGAAACCTCACATGGGGGTTGTTGCGCTGGACATGAGAATCTGAAGTGTCGTATCTCTCAAGAGCGTCACCTCCCTACGATAATGAGTTTCTTCGTACATAAATCCGATCGACTGATGTCTGATGGGTAAATCTTCTTATTTCCCTAGTCTATGATGAATACATCTTGTTTTTCTCTGAACTCCTGCAGCCAGATATGGTCCCTGCCTGATACTCGCAGATGGCATGCACATGTACAATGAAGCATGGCCTATCTCGCCACTTGAGTTACGGCAATCTGCAAAGTACCATACGGTGAGCGACTTCTGGCAGTGAGCTCCCTATACAGCTGTATAGATGCTTCATCGCGAGCTCAGACCGAGACGACGTGCTGGCGATGGTCAACGCGCGCTAGGGTGAAATGCTCGTATGTCGCCTGGCGTCTGACGTTGGTGTACTAGAAAATGTATTCAGCCGTGGGAAGGACAAACTGCAAATGCAGTATGAAGACTTTGATAATTCTCAGTCATGATGGTATTGCTCTGGAATCGTTAGCTCAGCGATCGTCCCGGGTCTTCACGATAGCAGTGGTATACACGGTGTAGGATCAAGATGCATACTGATGTGAAAGCAGGGGGAAGAAGAACTTCCGCAAAGGATTCTGACGTCGTGGGGCTGGGATAGTGACGGAGTTTGCCCTTGGGTGGTGCCGGAACTTGAGCACCCGTGTGAAGGGCGATAAGCCTCATTCGGCAGATATGCCGCACACCACCGCCCCCAACATCCGCTTGGGTAGAACAAAAGTCCACAACCATGCCTGCTGGCCGTAATGAAGCTTCACCGGCTACACCATAAATGTTGACGGCAAGTCTGGTGTTTACGTAGGTACAAAAACAATAACGGTTTCATAGCTCTTGGTTGCCACTCTTAGCCACCTCTAAGACGATGAGGCTCAACATTACGTCATCAACAACACATATGGTTATGCCTAAGGTTTATGGCATTGATGAAGATGCTACCTTCACATAAATTACCAAGAATAACATAATCAAAAACAAACGCGCGTCACCCAAGATATGTTGTACGGTGTCACATCTTCAAATCCCGTCGGCACCGTACCTCTTGGCCCTGAGGGTAATGCCCATGGTAAGAGAATATTCTCAAAGCAGTGGTTCATGTGCCAGTGCGAAAGATCCATGGGGCATATATGATGACCTAATTTCGTTAGGCTAAGGGTATTTTTTCTGACAGCAGTCTCTTACCTGTCTCTTTGGCTACCCAGTACCTTCGCATCGAATGTACGCAGTGTGAGATGTGAAAGTACTTGTCAATCAGCATGTCATTCTCATCCGGCCGTGAAAGGTAGTCTGCATCTAAAAATAGTCTTCTTGCTTTAACAGCATCAACCTCGGGGTATCTCTCGCTGAGCCAAGCCTGGTATTCCGTCTCTTCTGGAGTGAGCAGTTCCTTTGGATATATGGACCCATCATCGATTCGCAAGAACCACTTGGAATCCAGCACATCATCCTCGTTGGAAGCCCACTGGCTCACATTTTGCGGCTTCAGTGGCAGCTGATATTGCGGTCCGTTGCTGCCGACGACCTCATCAAAGCGACGCCACGGGTGCCTCTGCCCTGGGAGAAAGAGCGCGCTAAGGGAGAGAAGTATGATGACGAACAAAGCGAGAGACAGATATCTGATCAATCGAATTCCGACGGGCTGCAATATCATCGTGCCTGATTCCTCGTCGATGGAGGTGTTGAAAGAGCTGCGCATAGGTATCGGAAAATATGATCTCCACGTCGCAGATGTGTCGATTGACCCAGGCTTCTCTAGGGAACAATATTCTTTCTCAGTCGGCGAAAGCAGGACCGAACTTCCCGCATGGAATTTCGATGCAGTCATGGCGAACGTAATGCCGGATGCTCCACTGAATAGGAAAGCGACACCTTCTGACTTTGAATGTGAATGGACAACCTCTGCAACTTGAGAAATCGCTTCTTTCAGAGACCACTCTGATTCTTCTGTCGTCGGTGCGGCACATAGAAGGAACAAGGCTGCCTTCGTTCCTCGAACAACAACACATGAAGCAGAATTGCGACTTGCGCAGTGTTCGATAAGCCTTTCCAGAGTGCAGCTGGTGTCGGGGAGCATGCCGTCAAGGCAGTAGACAACATCCACGCATGCAGTATTTACTGAGGCGTTCATGTCAGGTGCTGCTGAAGGTATAATCAGACGTTATTCGTAACGAAAATGAAGGTGAGGAGGCTATCAAGTCGGAAACGAGATAATCTGGGGATGCTTGAGACTCTGTCGCAGTGTTTCCGTCAGCTGACTTCAACCGAACGAACATTGGGCTTCGAAAGACAGCAATTCCTTCCGCTATCTTACTGCATTTTCACGCGTCAATCTATACGACCTTTGCATTTGCCGATTCTGGCATATCTCTCGTCACCTGAGAACTTGCACTAGATCATCGCAGATCGTGCAAGTTAGCGCTTTACAGCAGTCGAGTATCGCAAGAGACTAGCGCTTGCGCCACAAGACTGCAGGTGCAAGGATTACCTTCGGGCGTAAGCAACATTCAGGATCACCCACCAGGCACTATCTTCTCTCGTAGTACATTTATTTCCATCCTTGTTTCTGCAACTCTGGACCCTCTTCACACCACCCCACCGTTCCGTCAAACATCATGGCTGCAGAAGCCGATCAGCCCGCGCTTACAGCTACTGGTGTTACCACCTTTTACAGGCATTCGACAGCTTTGTCTGCCCATGGTGCAAGCAGCTTGTGCATCACTTCTCTCACGTATCCACACTTGCATCTTCGATTTCCTAGCGCGGAGGACGCTGCTGCACTTCTACGCCTCTTTTCTGACTATCGTAACATCCAGTACGACAAGTCATGTACCGGGCTGGATAGTGCTGACGCTATAGATCATCTGATAAAGCAATGGCAGGTCGTAAATCTACCGTTGCAGCGAGCCAACATCGTCGTCGTGATTGACGGAAAGACTGTCGGCACCGGCGGCTTGGGTTGGATTGGCAGGAGGAAGACTGATGGAAAGCTGATAGGCGATGCGGGGTTGATGTTAGAGACGGACTTCCGCAATTCAGGCTACGGATACGAGTCGTTATGCATGGTGATTGACCATGGCTTTTGCGTTCTGGGCATGGACGAAGTGCACATAGCTTGTGTAGACGCTAATGCTGCGTTCAAGGGTCTGATGAACAGAAAGTTGGGGTTTCAAGCTGAAAGGATAGAAGACAGGATGTTCGGAAATGAATGGATCTGGCGCATAACGAAAAAGGCATGGGCAGAGAGTCCGCACTCTGCTCAAGGTCGAGCTTGACTTTGGGTGGACTAACAAGAATCATTGTAGGAGTTCGTTAGTGGGAGTTACATCAATTCACGCATTCAATGATGTTTCATGTAAATTCCAGAAGCACTCTTCGATGTCTTTAACAAGATTTGTTGTATTGGCTTGTTCGAGAAGTAAAGAATGAATGACCAGGCAAATTCTTCAAGTAACAGCTTTCCCAGCTTCTCGTCGCCACCTAAAATTCCAGAGAAACCTAATGCATAGCTACTCGAGACGCTTCACTTGCTACCAACGTACTGGATAGCTCGTTTGCTACCAACGTACTGAATCGCTGGCTCGGCTTCGGCCTCGCGTTTGCTACCAACATATTGGATAGCAGGTTCAGCTGCTGCTTCACGCTTACTTCCAACGTATTGGATTGCAGGTTCGGCGACAGCTTCGCGTTTGCTTCCAACGTACTGAATGGCAGGCTCAGCTCCAGCTTCTCGCTTGCTACCAACATACTGAATTGCGGGTTCGGCTTCGCGTTTGCTGCCAACATATTGAATGGCAGGGTCGGCCTCGCGCTTCGTCTCCATGTTAAGCCAATCGAGATCACTTCGCGCCTTGATGGGCACTATGACGGCCGTCGTTGTCAGTACCGCGAGGATCTCATCTGTTCGTTTGAAGATGGGATACTCACTGTTCGGAGCGAGAGGTGCTGCCAATACGCCTGAAGCTAAGATGGCGGAGATGAGAAGAGCGGAGAGCTTTGTCATTGTGGTGACGCCTAAGACTGATAGAGGAATTGGTGTGAAGAAGTTTCGGAGGTGTAAAATGGAGCGAAAGGGAAGTTAGAAAGAACAACCAAGATCGAGAAGAGCTTGCTTGATAGCTGGCTACATGCTAAGGCTCATCTTATAAATCCCGTTGGGGAGATCTTTCCTCCATTCAAATTACCCCGTACCCCGATAGCTGACGAGTATGAAGTAACCTGCGGATATGGCCTACTGAAGCGACTTCAAGTCCTGATGTTCCTAAGATGGCTAAAGTGTCGTTTGAGGAGCGCGCGCGTCACTGTCTAAACATGCGGTGTTGCCATCCATTCCTGTTTCTCTTGCATTGCAGCAGTGGGAAAGCATACCGGCTGTAACAACCTATGCTGCCATCCTTGATTAGGTATCACTTCCATCGTCTAGCCACCTCATGCTCTGTATCGCGAGTATACACCAGGTTCGTTGATGCAGCTTCATGTGCACTCAGGTTGTCAGATTTTAGTAGCGCATTCGGTCCTTGAAATCTTGATTGGGAGCAATTTTGAGTATTGAACGCCAAATAAAGAGCTGTACACCGAGGCTAACCCGCGAGGTGCTGATGGTACCTAGGTAGGAGTCGCCGACGCTACAGGTTTCGTGGGGTGGATGCAGATCATCTGTCTGTGGCTACACCCTTTCTGTCGTGCATTAGCGGCAGTGATACCTAGGTAGTTCTATGCAGCTTCTCCAAACCTCTCTACTTACGCAGATATGCTTGTAACAATCCTATGGCCTGGTTATTGCACTCTTTTGGTATTGCTGACGCTGGAGGATCATGATAGCTGTCAACTGGAGATCTTCCAAGTGATTGGTGTCGGTGTTTGGCCATGTCTGTGGTCCGGTGAGCCGAGGGCTCTTCTGCAGGTATCGGAGACCGCCCACCACTTTCCGTCTTGTCATGTTGTGATTCTCCATCTCAAAGCTCTTGGTACTGCCCGACACTGCACAATACTATCATCAATCATTTATGATGCTTTTAGACAAATTACCCATGGCTCTGTCCCAGATTCTAAGACGCGACAAGCAACGCGCAACTTACATGAGTCTTCTGAACCCCCGAGACGAACTCGATTATGAGGAGGGATTTCTGAAAGAGGCGGATTGCGATGCTGAGGGATCTTCGACTACGAGCGATGAGGCATCGCCACGTGCGGTACACACTGTCCCTCACAAAACGGATCGAACCTTGATCTGTCTCAACCTGATCCTCTTCATGGTCTCTATGATCTCTTTCACTACTACGTTTCTTGTGAGACACAATGATGTCTCCGCAAAGGAGCGCAATTACTTCTTGAAGTACACTTCGGAGAAATGTAAGTTAGGCATCCGGCCCACGAGGAAGGCGTCTTGCTAATCACCTGTAGCGCCTGTACTCGAACAGCTCGACATACCACTTACCACGTGGCGGCTGAATGGTACCTTCATTGAGATGGGATCCATCTATCGGGGACGCCCTTCGCCGGAAGTTGATGCAGCATGGGAGCGTGTGGAGACCCAGACACCGATTCCCATCAGTCGCGAGGACGTGGTTGCCCAGGGAAAGGATCCCGAAGACGCGGTGAAGTGGCCAGTGGAGTTCGGTTTCGGGCCTGACGCCTACATTGGCCGTATCGATGTCTTCCACCAGATCCATTGTTTGAACGTCCTTCGCAAACACCTGCACTTCAACTACGATTACTACTACGCTGAAGAACGCATGAACAAGTATCACGAGCTACACACTGGACACTGTGTACACATCCTTTTGCAGAACATTATGTGCACAGGGAACGTAGATGTGTATCCGCATTTCTGGGCAGACGCCCAAGAGAACGCAGTCCCTGATTTCAACATCAACCATAAGTGCAGGGATTTTGAAGCGATATTGAAATGGCACGATGAACATGCCGTACCACTGGACGAGTTCGGTGCATTAAGGATTCCCGATAGCAAGAAGCCCAGAATCATGGTTCATGCTTTTAAGGAGGCTTTCGAATGGTACGACGCAGAGCATCCAGACGATGGTAATCTTGGAACTACCGTAGGATAGTTTGGCCCTTTCGGTAAGTGCATCGACTGGAACACATTAGATGCAAATGCGATGTCATGTCTTGTTAGTGAGGTAGTTCGGATGACACGAGAGGGCCTGTACACTATCGCCTAAGCTATAAGTCGGTGTCTAGTACCTCTTGTTACAGATTTAAGAAACGATAATAATAAATGTCTCACAATCGAACACCTTCAATATACGCGCCGCTGTTGTGTCATGCCATGGAACGCGTTGTGCATTGATGCATCTTTGCTGATGAACAAGCGCAGACTGCAGAATGAAGTAGTGGAAAATGAGAAGTTACGAACAACAATCGACACGAACGAGAAGAGGCATCATGTAAATAGGTATTGAGGCACATGCGAAGTGAACAGAAACACTCATCGATACCTATCGAATCACGCGTCGAGCGGTACACTAAGCCAAACTGGGATAGTCATGTAGTCATCTCCCAACCCCGCCAAAACTCGCGTGCGAGACGCGTTCTCGAGACATGAACACGTCTCTCGCATGTACGCATTGCCTTTCCGCTTCCAACATCTATCTGAGGCCAATCTTGTCTATATGGAGAACCTCATAGACGTTTAAGGGAAGACTGTATCTCTCCCAATCGACGCAGCTTTCACTGGAGAGAGTTCACTTCCCAGCACACGTTCGTGAAGCATCGTCGCATTCCGGCACTGATGCGTATGGCCCATCCCGTCGATTCCCTCGACTTCATTGCCCTTCCAGTTCACGGTTTTAGTCGGCTTCTCGAGCGTATCATCTGCAGCACATAATATAGCCTACATCGACGTCAATACACCAGCCAGCATGAGATAACACTCAGCAGCGCCAGGAGTGCTTACCTGGGCCATATAGTCCAGACAATGGAGGAAATGCAGGGGATCTGCCTTCCATTCATCTCCTTTGGCTTCATGGGCAGTGGGCATCTCGCCACCAAGAAGCATGGTGCGACTGTATTGGTTAGCCACAGTCTCGATGACCCTGTCTTGGAGTACTTACATCATGGTTAGGCAATGGAGTTGATGGAACATGCTCACCCCATATCCTTGGACCTTGTAGTCCCACTCCTCCACCATCAAGAAGCCACCATTGGGTGTGAGTAATTGGCTTTCCCAATCGATTTTGCGTGCGTCGTCTGCAGAGGTGCCCTGGAACCTGAGGTTGGGGACTTCTGCGAACTTTTTTGGAAAAAGTTTTCGGGATGGCGGCGGCTCAATGCATTCCTTTGGCTTTGGACAATGACAATTTGCGCCCGTGGTCAATGGGTACTCCTTGTGTATATGCTCCTGGATAGAGCTGACTATGTGCAAATGGCCAGACCTAGCCAGCAGCACCATCGCAACAAAGGTCAGGGTGCTGGAAATAAGAACGAGGAAAAGAGCGTGTGGTTTTGAATTCAGCGCGGCCATTGTTTCGAATGACTGTTGTTGAAGTACTGGGGTTAGGAGAAATGTAAAGAGGGGAAAGCCAAGATCGAGTTGAAAGAGGTGAAATGTGGGAATCAGGTCACTACAATGTGCGAGTATGAAAGAATGTGGACATGCTGGAGACCCCGTAACTTTGGCAGATACGGCTCTGGCGTTCTATCCAACACCCACGGACCGACTACATGCGACTATGCAAGCTGGTATCATACACGATGAGCAATGTATGCAACTCTACTCTTTTGATTAGCGGTATGTACCACAGATGAAGGCTAGCGCTGATCCATATCAGATACCAGCGTACAATGTGATGCATCAGCACCGGTGCAAAGCCAACTAGAGAGGTTTTGCATTTCATGGACAAGAACGAAGATCAGGCGCCCATCAGCATCGTTACTTGGAGCGGGGTACACCAAATCTCAAGTCCTCGTTATCACCGCAACACTGTGATTATCACCTACACCGACATCTTACCAGCCTAGGAAGGTGCATCAACTCTTTTCTGAGCTACATTTTTGGAGCGCAGCCATCATCGCCGAAAGAGGCAAGGTTTCAACTGTCGGAGAGCAGTCCCGTCCTACCAAATGGTTAGTGGCGGTGACTAGTGCGTTCTCCGGTGCGGACCGGGCCATGTCGAATCCAACTTACCATAACGCCACATCTGTTCCCCGGCTAAGTTTACATGGTTGCGTGGAGGGATACCTTGCAGTTTGCAGCGCTTATGCATGTCTTCCGGATGCAGGTATCACTCGGTTCTTCATCCTGAATGCTTGAACTTGCACAAGCATATGCCATTCCTTGGATGTGCTTATCTGCACGACCGTAATCCAATGAGACACCCGGGAGCCGCGTGTCAAAGCTAGCGGAAGAACGCAAGACGACGAGAACTTGCGTAAGAGGATGACCGCACCAACGACACGATGCATTTGACCAGTCGCAACCGTTCATGAAATTGGGTTGGATTTGCTGACGGGTGTCGACTAATGCAACCAAGAGTTTACACTCAAGGTGCATGTATCGCGCTTCAGCTTCATACAGCGGGACAATGTTCCTTGGAAGATCGACATGTGGACGATTTCTCACAGGATGGTGGCCCGGCATTGAAGGGGTTTTCCAGAACCCCCAAAATGGAGGAACGAAATGTTCTCAGTATTTTCTTCTACCTTTCTCCTTCAGACCATATTGTCAAAACACTGGCTTATACAACTCTTTGAGATTCCTCGCGACCATGGCTTCCTACTCACCCTACAATGATAAGCCTACCAGCAAAGATAGTCTGAAAGACGAGTTCGACTCCAGCAGTACTGCTTATGGGAGTGAGGTGTTGGCTAATGGCACCGATGAAGCTGATAGTTTCCTCCCATACAAGAAGTCTTTCGATCAAACAGTACACGCTTCGTCTCGACTCAGTCGCTTCGCTTCATCTCCGTTGTTCTACACCAGTGTTTTTCTAACGATCATCGCCCTGCTTGGAATGAACGCTGCAACACTGATGCTACTTCATCAAAATACACGTCAATCTCACGCCCACTCGCATGGCCATCATGGCGACATGGAAGAAGATCACGGCCATGGTGATGCGCGTCATCATACTATTACTGGAAGCACTCTCGAGTCGGGAGAGACCCTTAATGAGAAGGGTCTTCGCGTAGCACCAAACGGCAAGCTCCTCGAATGCGGTTCCGACAAGCACTGGGAGGCTGAAGCCAACGGCTGTATCTTCGACGTCATGACATTCGAATGGACGCCACCAGCCTGCCATGATCCAGAGCTTCTCGTGGATGCAACTGATCCTCGAAGCATACTCGCACCTAATCTTGCCGGTATCTTTCCTTGGGGTCGAACAGCTGATGGCCTTTTTGATGACCCCATGGAACAAAATACTGCGGAACTGGGCACCTTGGCGTATGTATGGGCTACCGAGCAGTGGCATAGAGCCCATTGCATGTATAACTGGCGTATCTTGGTGAAAGCAGAGACACGACGCCTAGCGGGCGAGCAATTTGTGTACGTTCCGCAAGGTGCCACAAGCTGGAAGCACATTGAGCATTGCAATGTTCTTATCTCCGATACGGTAAGCTGAAGCCAACAACTACTTTGAGATTCTTCAACTAACACCTCGCCAGACTGAGAGTAAACGAAATCTTACTGCGATCGAGACATTCCGGGGGTTCTCAGGCTGCGTGAGGTTGGATAAACCTAGGGCGATCGATACGCCTGATCACATCGACAACTCTGTGCAGTAGATGCGGTAAGCTGCCAGATAGATTGGATGGATACGGATAGATAATTTCCTTCTTGCGTAGTTCGTGATGATCGTGCAGTAGAATTCAATGAAGGACAAATAAATAGCGTATGCAGTAGGTATATGTTGGTAGCTTTATTGTGTGCACGTTAAAGTTTCCAAGAACCCGTGCGTTGAAGCCCAACAGCGTAGAACCATCCGACGTGAAAGTAATGCTTTGTTTTTCGATCTGCAGGATTGACAACCGCACGTGTGTATCCCATATCGGTGCGCCGTTAGGGAGAGCACGTCGCAAGTAAGCGTGAAACGCACAACGTGTACATAAAGTCTCACGTTCCCCGCATCCTCCTGGCCGGCGTCCTTTTCGTACTTCACCCCATCACAACACCATGATTTCAACATCGCTGATAAAAAACAACATTTCCAAGGCTGCGAGCAAGGCGGACGCTGTTCTCCAGAGCAATGCTGGTGTAATACTGATGCTTTCAGCCCAAATATGCTCCACGATCCTGGCAACATTGGGGCGCGTCCTACGAACAGATGGCAGCAGCGGCTCGGACACCAAATCGATTGGCACTTCCGAAGTATGGCAACTCAATATTAGTCACCAGCTTATTGTATTGATGGCTTCCAGATACTCATCGCAATGATGCTAATAATCACCATTCTTTCCTGGACATACGTGCTTGTCTCTCCGGCGGTAACCCCTGGTGGGATTCTCGGTCCCACCAAATTGCGCCCACTTCTCATCGTACGAGGCATCGCCGGATTCTTCGGAATTTGGGGCTTCTACGTCTCTCTGCGCTATCTCGCGTTAGCTGAGGCGACTCTGATCAACTTCCTTGCGCCGGTTTTAGCCGCTCTTCTACTCGGCTTGTTACCAGGCCAGCAGCGCTGTTCCGTCGCTCAAATGCTCGCAGCTTTAGTTGCGGTTCTGGGTTTGCTCTGCGTACTGCAGCCTTGGAACGCTCATATGACGAACACGCCCAAGGACCATGCGCTGGCTGTTGGTGCCGCCCTAGTTGGTGTTGTCGGTGGCGCAGTCTCCTTCTTGACGATGTCTTGCCTAGGGGGTCATGTACACCCGATCACAACCGTTGCATACTTCGCACCTATTTGCACTGTACTCAGCGGCGCATCGCTCATCATACAGCAACAGAGCCTGAGCTTCCCAGCGACCGCGGTACAATGGCTGCTCGTCTGCATCTTGGGTATTTTGGGATTCGCCATGCATTGGCTCATGGCAGCCAGCTTGATGACTGGCGATTCAAAGAGAGCGCTTCACATCGTTTACGTGCAGGTAGTGTTTGCCATGGTAGCCGACAAGATTGTGTGGAGATTGGACCCGGGATGGTGGAAGTACGCTGGAGCGCTTTTGATTGTGGGCAGTGCGATATTTGTGGCAGCGACGAAGGAAGACCGAGGATATACGCTTGTTGGAGAAATAGATGTAGAAGAGAAGATCGAGAACGAAGATGCCGGCCCCTAGTGTGGGATCGATTAGGGCTGCGGACATTAGTCTAAACGAGCTAACGCTTTGAGAATTAGCCACTATCGTCATCGAGCGGCCGTGTGTGACCAACCTCCCTAATTTCTCCTCTAACCCAGCTAAACCAGTTTGCCTGTTACGAACACCCCCAGCAAGCTGGTGTCTCCTATATCTGACCGTTGGCATCGCCTCACATCACCATGTTCATGTTGCACACTAAATTCGAAAGCTTACTGAATCTGGCTCTTCATTTATTTCCTATATAAGCCCATGCATCATCGTAAGATGAAGATGATTCATAGCTCCCTGTTGTCTTTCAGAGGACTCGTCATGTCTGTTCATTATGGTGTGTCATACTTTGTTGTCTCAAGTTCCGTACTCGACAAAGTATCCCCGATGCATTCGTTTTCCTTTGCAAACCTCTGTCGGCTTATCCCACTGTGGGTCGCGCTTCAAGTCGGTCGAATAGGGGGACGGATCATCGCATACAAGACGTCCCGCATTTCCCTTGCCGTCGTTGTAGTAGCTGCATTCCTGGCGGCCATCATATCTGACTTTAACCGTGATCTGGCGGTGTGGTTAGTCTTGACTCTTACTGAGACGTGAACTGCAGGTACGGTCAGGACATTACATGATCGCTGAGATAACAATGGGAAACGTTGCGCTTACTTTAGTTGAAAAGGCGGACTGTCTATGTTGGCAGTGCCAGGATGAGGCCATAACTTAAGCAGCTCGAATTGCTCGTCAAGGCCGCACATGTCGACTGCAATGCCCTGAGGGCCCTGGAAGAGCCACCAGAAGTGGTTGCCGAGCATTTCGCCCAACACGAGTTGAAGCGAACTATCATTCTTGTATGTATTAGTAGAAGCTTGGGAGCCTTTGAGAGATAAAGAGATGTCGTACCGCGCGTTCAGTGATATCGGAAGGTGTAGGCTGGGAAATAGGTGAGGCTGCGATAACAGCCAACAACCCGAAGACCCAGACAAGTATGGTGGAAAGATGAATCATGTTGATTGTCTATTGCTTGCAGTCCGTTATACTTGGCAAGCCGGAAGGTGGGTGTTGGTGGAGTAGAAGGAGAGCAGAGATTTATTCGGGGTAGACCTGCTTATATAGAAAGAGAGCGGGGTACCTGGGTCTATCAGCGGGGACTCTCGCCAGTGAAAGGCGGAAATATTACAGTGGTGAAGTGAAGGCTGCCTGGAGAACACATCGAAATGGACAAGACTGTTTCACTTATCATTCTGGCGATTCGCATACGTAACGATATCAATCTGGAAGACTTGTCGCCTATGAGTTTATTATGAGGGATGTTTGACCAAGGCAAGTGCGCGTATGATATACCAGTAAGAATTGGGTAATTTGGTCATGGGCACGCACTTTCCGAGCTAGGTTGTCCTCGATCCAGCTTCAGAGATCAGCCGCTCTTAGTACCTACAAGAGTACATACGATGGTAAGACCGACCGTTGCAATTGATAATCCCCTTGTAGTATTCCGGATCTTGCTCGCAGGGCATGATCATCCAATCGCCACAAATTAGTTCCCCAACATCGCCGTTACCGTGCGTCCTCCATACGCAATCGTCATGGTCCATCCACTTGAGGAGTTTGAGGTCCATCTAAAGACTCGTGGTTAGCAACTCCGTATAACCACCATCTAGCAGAATCCAGTGCGATGGATATGAGAATTTACAGCAGGAGCACTCGGGGGATTGTCGATGGCGTCTCGCCCGTAATGGTAGGGGCCATTGATGGAGGCAAATTTGAACGGATCAGGATAGGTACAGGGCTGAACAGCTTGCCAGATGGGCCTTGAAACATTTCCCAGTAGTACTCGGTACCCGATGCTCGGTTAAGGAGGACCTGGATGGAGGCATCGTAGAAGTCCTTTGGACTGGATCAGTGGGTAAGTTTTTTTTCTAGATGTTTGGATTGCTAACCGAGGGAATTTTGGTATCATTGCCCGGTACCTGTGTGACGGGGTCCTCGGTAGGGTAAGCGGAAGCCGTGCCCAGTAAGAAAGCGACTATGCTGATGAACAATGAGAACAGCATTTTCGTATCTGTTGGTGCAGTCTTCAGTCCAGTATGTGTTGCTTGTTTCTACGAGTAGTGTGAGAAAGAAAGCATGATATCACAGAGCCAGTTCTTATAGTAAAGACCTTATAAGCTGGGCGAAACTGAGGGGCTGACACGTAGACGGCAGACTGCTCGGGTGTCAAACAACGCAGGTCGGATCAAAGCGAACAAACACCGCCCTCCTAGTGAGGCCTTGCCAGAAGTAGACAGATGACCATGATATGGATCGTGAACCTACCCATCGTGTAGGTTGGTAATCATCTATTTACTAAGAAGAAATCTGCTACTTCAGTAGTTCTACCCGTTACGGTGACGATCCATCTAACTTCACCATCTTCAGTACGCTCCTTGGGCGAGAAAACGACTCGTTTGCTGAGTTCAATTCCATGGCCCGACCATATCAGTCTACCAATTACAAGCCCAGCCTCGATGGACTGAGAAGCCATGGCAATTGATAGCACCGTCGTTCCAGCTCGCGTCTCGCTCGCAATCCATAATCATCCAATCGCCACAGATGAGTTGACCGGGGTCACCGCCGCCGTCGGTTTTCCACTTGCACTCGTTCTTGCTATTGTCTACAAAGGAAAGCTCCATCTGCAAAACCGTCAGTCACCCATCCATTTTATATCTCTAGGAACCATTTTTTGTGTATATTGAACGAGTTTTACTTACCGCAGGTGGGTTCGGGGGATGACCGATATCATTTCGTCCGTAATCGAAGACACCGGACATGGCCGCGAGACGGAACGGTTTGTGGTTTGTCCCACAAGGATTTGCTTTCTTGCCGTACGGACCTACGAACAACTCCCAATAGTAGTCCCTGTATGATTCCCGATCAAGCATGATCTGGATGGAGTTGGTATACCCCTCGGCTTGCTGTGATTGGTTAGCAACACTGAGCGACTGGACAAACGCTGGAAACTTACAAGGCCGTGTGTGGTGCGGTTATTGTGCAACTCCATGCTCAAGTTCTGCATAGGTATTGCGAGACTGTAGCCAAGCAAGAGGCTTGCGGACACGTATATAAGGAAAGTGAACCACGCGAACATGGTGAGTGGTTTGTAAGTTTGCTCGTTCGAGTGGTGGCAGTGCAACTCGGTGGTAAGGTAAAAGTAAACGAAAAGACTACGTTGAAGAGCTTTTATTCTTTGTGGTACTAGGCGAAGCTGACTTATCCATCTGGCGGTAAAAGGTCGGAAAATTTAGGACGTTCGTAGGACAAAATGAGGTCACGGATCTGCACGTATTCAAGCACATGAGAACAAGGGTGAAAGAGAATGCAACTGTGACATTTTCATTCATTCTACACAGAACAGTGTATGGTCTCCATAGCTAAAGGTGTAGATCAAGAGTTCCAATCATGGCCTGAGAAAAGCCTGGTCCCCCATCGCCATCACTCCGCGGGTAAGCGCTTGCCCATGTTCAGAATTCACAAACCCAAGCGGCAGCATAGCGGGGGCGTGGGTTTCCGCAAGTGGTCTGCTGCCCGTACCTAAAATCTTTTTTGCAGTCGACTATGTACTCGTCGCCGCAATGGAATTGACCAGGGTCTACACCAGTAGCGTGATAGACACAGTTATTACGGCTGCCGTACTTGATCTTGACGTCAAACTGAAAAAGATTTAGCAGACGCGACGCATATAGCGTGTGGCAAATATCAACTCACCTCCGGAACGAACGGTTCATAGTTCTGGGGAAAGGGAGGCTGAACCATGTCTAGCTTGTCGGTATGCCATCCGGGCTCGCCATGATAGACCTTCTCGAAGCGAGTATCACCGCAAGGGTACACAGCAATGCCGCTAGGTCCTTGGAAGATATCCCAAACATAGTAAAAGGGCTTGACCTCCGAAACTTGGATCTGTAGAGAGTAGGGGTAAGGGCCCTGGCCTCGCAGCACGCCCTTCAGTGCGGTCAGTATGGAGCTTCGTTTCAATAGTGATGTGACCTACTGGAGTGACATCGCTTGCGGCTTCCTCAACGGGTGCGGCAAGAGCGAAGCCGAGGCAAGCGGTAATGCCTACAAGGAAGGTGAACCAAGAAGTCATCATTCTCGTGAATCTTTGGGTGCTTTGGTCGTATGATGTGAGCGAGTGTTGTGATATTTGATAGAATGTGTTGGACTGGTGTAGGAGATAGAAGATATCATTGGATCTAGTGATGGGTGTGGGCAGGCAGTCACGGCGGCCAAGAAAGGCTAGTGTCTAGTAGAGCAAACAGAAATTACCATAGTGAGAGGATCGAGTTTCATGAGATAGTCAGAGCGCAAGACTGGTGAGAGAGCTACATCTATCTCACGCGCTTCACCATCGCCTCACGATCGCTGGGCATAACCGCCTAGAACTCGCAATAATACCCTCGATGGAACTTCGGCAGCTGATCATCATCACACTTCATAGTAGCCTCATCATATCCAGGGTCCTTCGCGCAATCGATGATGTAGTGGTCTCCACATCGGAATTGTCCAGCATCGATACCCGTGCCTATGTACTTGCAGTCATCGTAATTAGAGTATTCGATCTTGGTGTATACCTTTTCAAGAACTGAATTAGCATGCAAACGCAGCAAAAAGGCCTAACCCCAAGCTCAATGGGTGATCAAAGTACCTTGCGATCGGGAAATGGGGGATGGTTGATAGCATCATCCTCATCCTGGAACATCGAACCATAGAATACGCGCTTGAATTCCGCGGGCATCTGCCCGTCATGATCCTGACAGGGATCGACAGCGATACCTTGAGGGCCTTGGTAGATGAACCAGCGGTATTGGTGGACCCCGGCGACGCTAAGAAGGAGTTGAAGGGAGTATGGGTATTGCAGTGCCTGATGAACCTCGTTGTTAGTAAGATTGCTTTACAATACTACGACCTAGGTGAGTTTGCTTACATTTGTGGTGCCACGCCTGAGTATGGAGGTGTCGTTGCTGGCAAACACCTCGACAGGAACCGCTGAAACACAGCTCAGGCAGGCAAGGAGCCAAAGAAGCGAAGCCATCAGCGTTGTCATGATGGTCGGCATGTGGGCGAAGTAGGAGTGTGTGTTTGAGGTCGCAGGATGAAGGAGATGTTGTAACTCAAATTTGAGGACAATGGAGCGGCAGAAGGTCAAGTGTTACGGAGTAAGAGCGGTAGTCAGTTATGGGAAGTGGTCAGTGTGATTCAAAAACGAGGTCTGCACAGGGCAAGAACACTGTGACACACGACCCTACACGTGCCTCTATCCTTTAACCGTGCTTGCAGCATGACTCGTCGACATCAATTAGTGACTGTGCGTACTCCATGCGCAAACGCGGAAACCCCACTGCCAAGGTGTTTGACTGTCTATGCCAGTCAACCGTACTTCCCGCAAAATTTTGTGCTTAGTATTAGCAAACAAATCCTCAATGATACTCGCCTTCACCACAATGGTAAACGGAGTCGTCCGAGACCATATACTACAAGTCTTTGCCATATCGCCCTCAAATATCGACAAGATGGAGAAACTTAGTATCATCATCCATACAGAAATGGGGTATAATAATTAAACATAGAGTTACCCTCCCTTGACAGGGCAGGAGACATAGCGTGCAACTCTTTCATTCATTCATAACAGACCGTAAAGCATAATCTAATCGAAACAAACTGTGCCCAGCCCTCTCTCTTTCACCGCCTTGGTAACGCTTCCTTTAATCCGCACAAGGGCGCCTACCCATTGTTCCTTTGGGAAGCTTCCCTTTTGTGCTTCGTCGCTGATGACATAGTCCATCCATTTCACCATACCGACTGCCTTGGTCATGTTCTTCTCCTCTAGGACTACTTTGTTGAGATATTTGATCAATGCAACGACGTCCTCGTTATAAGGCCCTTCATCCATGAAAGCACCAATCCATCGCCTCATGGCACCTCTCAAATCTGCCTGCGCTGAGAGTTTCTGAGTGGTGAACGTCGGTTTTGCAGGGCGAGAGACTTTAATCTTAGGTTCTTCGTTACGTGCTTGTGGTAGGGGTCCAGATTTGATCTTTCTGGTTACGGCGAGACGAAAGGAACTCATCTTCTCGGCTTTGTGTTGCGCGAGAACTTCTTTGCGGACATCTTCAGGTAGCTCAGCGAGGAAGTCTAGGTCCAGGTCATCTCTTTCAGACGGCTGGGTAATATCGCTTGTTTCGAAAGCATCTTCGCTTGGACCAGCGGAGTTCTCCCTGCTCACACTTTCTCGTGCCGGGTTCTTGAGTGAGATAAAATTGGCTTGAGTGAGTGTCTTGCCAGTCATACTAATGGACTTTGCTTGTGCAGCAGCGGCGAGCATTGCGGATCTTGGCGGACGCCCTCTACCACGTTTGACTGGCACAATGGGTTTCTTAGCTGGGATACCTATGATCCTATTCTTGCGTGGCGATTGAGGTAATAACGTTTGGTCCACGCCCTTTGGACGGCGAGATGGGGAGAATGGCGTATTGTTGGCATCATACTGCGCAAGTACCTCGGCACGAACTTCTGCTGGCAGAGCAGCGAGGATATCAGGATCCAGTTGAGACTGGTTGGGAAGTGCTGTTGTGGCGAAAGCCATAGCTTTCGTAGGTGTGTTGGGGTTACCTCTTTTTTCTACAACTTTTGCAGGGGTGGGTGATGGTTGGCGCGTTTGGCGGAGGAGTTTTGATCGTATGTCTTCTGGTAGCTCGGCAAGTACATCAGAATCCACCTGCGTAGGCATGATAAACTGTGTACCTAACATGTTTAGCGGACGGCGAGAAGGTGTTGATGCATTGAGGGTCGGAGCGCCAAATGGAACATGTTCGCTTCCTGACGATGCTTTTGACTTTCGTGGGGTCTCTGGATCGTCTTGAATGGGGTCCTCTACGATCGCTTTTGCAATCGGGTTTTCAACAGGTTTTGGAGCTCGCGCGGCATGGGCAGGTCCGCCATGGCCGACTTTGAACTGTAATCTTCGCTGAGAGCCTTGAAGACTGCCATCTGTGGCATTCTTCATAGGCTCAAGCTTCGTCAACTGCATACCGAACCCTCGAAGCTCACCCGGGGTAAAGCCCAAGCCGCGCAGCATAGCTAATGCCTCTTTCGTGAGAATCTCCTTGGCATTAGTGGCGACACCCAGCATCACGCTCCTGCTATGTGTGTCGCATTTACCATGGCCAAGATGCTTGGGAGCGTCGAGAGGAGCATCCGGCGAGCGTCGCATAACCTTCATTGAGAAATGCCTGCCTTTTACTCTCTGACTCAACAATCGTTTCGACAGCTCTCCACATAAGCTTGCGATGAAATCATTGGCTTGTTGTTGATTCTCGAACCGAACGCCCCAGTTCACTTCAGCAGAGATAGACTTGCGAATATCTTGCTCACCCAGCTCTTGGTGGTCAATACCTCTTGAGTACTCGTATAACTTTTCTCCAGTCTTGGGTCCTAAAATCTGAACGAGTCTTTCTTTTGTGAGCTCGCGAATATCCTTGACAAGTTTCACTCCTTGGTCTTCAAGCTTGCCGCCGATCGACCAAGCAACACCAGGAAGATCTTGTACCTGGAGCTGGCCCATGAAGTCTAAAACCTCTTCGGGTTTGATCTGATACTGCCCAGCGGGCTTTGCTTTGCGTAACGCTACTTTAGCGAGCAAAACATTACTACCGATACCGACGGAGACATTACAACCAGTCTTTAACCTGACCTCATCCCGTAGATTCAACGCAATTTCCTCGGCCTTTGCTTGCTCGCGATGAATGCTGCCTTCAGAATGTTGCTTCCCATTGCTACCACCCGCAGCGATGCAAAGGTTCGAGACATCGACGAGCGCTTCGTCGATACTTACACTCTGCACCAATCCACCTGTAGCAATGACGGCCTCGTAGAACGTACGACTAGTGGCTTCGTACTCAGGAAAGTCATATGGCAAGATCTTGAGATCCGGACAGAGCTCCTGAGCTCGCCTCATCCACATGCCATTCTTGACACCGTACGTACGCGCTGGATAGTTGCAACTTGCAATTTCAGAGCCACTACCTTGGCCGTGTGCAACCGCTGCGGGTTTGTCTTTGTATTCTGGGCACTTCTTCAAGCTGACAGCGGCGAAGAAACTGTCGAAGTCCACGTGTAGGATGTAGCGCCGGGCGCCTGATGTGCGTTTTTGTTTGGCTTTCTGCGAAGAGCTCTTCTCGTCTGCTATTGCCTGCATTTCTGCTTTCAGGTCGGCTTTCCAAGTGGATAGGTGATGTAGGCGTGATTCGCGATAGTATTGCTCTAGAAAGTTAGGATCTACGACGGTAGATTTGCGAACGTCCGGGTCTCGTAAAAGTATGGCATTATGCTCTTCTGCAGTAAGCTCCCGTCCCTTATGCTTTAGGGCGTTTGGCGCGCGCGACGTCTTTCTCGATTTGGCTTCGATCTCATTCTCGTACTCGATCTGTTGAGGTAGAGGTGGGCTCGGGTCGGTATAGAGGCTGTCGTGGACATTGTCGATAATCTCATCTACATCCGCCGGGACCACCGCAGGGCTGGTCTTGGGTGGTGTGACGAGCTTCGCAGCCCTATTTGGCTTTCCAGATATGGGTCGGTCAAGCACGTTGTCCGGCTGGTGAGAGGGCGACGGATCCTTGATGTCATCCTCTGGTGTGGGAAAGCGCTGCTCATCGTTCGAGGAGTGCGAGCGTGTGCCGATGGCTGGTGTTGGCGTACTAGAAGGACCGGCCTGACTACCCCTCAACTGACTTGTGTACCAACTGGCATCTGTTTGATCCCGATAACCCCTCGTCTTGACGTTTGCCGTGCTGGTCATTCCATCCTTACCAAAAGCCAGGACGTTCTGCTTGTCGCCTTCGTCTACCACTCGGTATTCGCTCCATGGCAGCAACTTGCCCGCTTGTATGCTGTCGACGACCCACGCGGGCTTTACGATTCGGTATCGCCGGAATTCAACAACCTTCTTCGGCGTTAGACTACTGGCGATGATGTGCGTCACTGTAGTCTTCCCGTCCAGGTATTGCATGAAGCCGCCGCCATGCTGTACTATGAGGGTATGCAGATCGTTGAGCGATGGTTGGGTGTAGCCGTTGACATGTGCCACGACCCCTTTGAATATCTGGGGCTTGTCACCGGCCTGGCGTCGGATATCGGCATCGAGGTTTTGGAGTTTGATCTTCTTTCGCCTAAAGTAGTCGTTAAAGCCGCCAAAAGCCGAACCCTTGTACTCTTCCCCATCCTCGCCGTCAAACTTGTGGCTGGCGATGCGCTTCCGGACCGACTCGGAGTTCTTCTCTAGGCGTGAGCCCATGGTGTCAGTCGTATGGTGGGTCAAGAGCGTTCATCGGGGCCGGGGTCATGATTGAGCGTCGCGAGGGTGTGTCGGCTGCGACATGTCGATATTGGTGTTGGTGGTGAGAGGCGCGTCGTTGAAAGCGCGATAACGTCACGCTAGCAAGGCTAAGTGGATCGTTCTGCCGGCGGTGAAAGCACGCTAAGAGAAAGCTGCAGGACTTGGCGAACTTTTTCTACCTCTCCAAGTCGCTGCTCTCAAGTTTCTCGCTTTTCACTACTATCCTGCTCTACCAGCTGACCCCGAGCTGTGCAACTACCTGAGCAAAGAACACTTCAGACGACCTTCTCCTCCCACCAATTTCGTCAGCTTCTCCGATTACGAACATACGACCGCTTTGAACATGTCGTCCATTCCTGTAGGCGTCTACGGACGTCGCATTCCGGCTGGAGGCATTCCCATCCTGGCTGCTGTCGACCAGTCTGTCACTGTGAGTATTCTCGATGCCTCGTGTGGCTTGCTTGCCCATGCGAAAGTTTTGCGCCGAAATTTCCAAAGAAAATTCTGTCGCATTCGCAAATCGACAAAAGCGTTCTAACCATGACCAGTTCCGTATTACTATGGCCGCTATCGACCCAGATGCTGAGCCCCAAATCGATGATGAGCACAAGCACCCTCGCGCAACCCTTAAGCTCATCCGCGTGCCCTCAGACTATGACAGCGAGGATGATGATGATGAGGACTACGAGGAGGGCGACATCGAGGCCATCGCTGCTCGTCTGCGCGCTGCTGGTGCGCTTCCTGAGGCCGACTCGGATTTGTCCGACTCCGAGGACAGCGAGAACGAGAAGAACGGTGGCCCCAGCGACCCAGCCCGGTCAAAGAAGGCCAAACAGGCAGCCCTCACCAAGAAGCTGCAAGAAGAGCTCGAGGCCGACGAGATGGACATTGACGGCATGACCAACGGCAAGGGAAAGGCCAAGGGCAAGGCCAAGGTCACCGACGACGACGATTTGAGCGACGAGGATGACGAAGATGATGAGGATGATGAGGACGAGCCTGAGGAGCTTGTCCTGTGCACTCTCGACCCCGAAAAGGTATGCTTGAGCATCATGTTTTAAGCAATATTGACTAACACTTGCGCAGCACTACCAACAACCTCTCGACATCACCGTCCGCCAAGGCGAGGAAGTCTACCTTGCTGTCAGTGGTACTCACGATGTTTACGTTACTGGTAACTACCTCGTATTCCCCGAGGAGGATGACGAGGAGGATGACGAGGACGATGGTCTTGAGGGCCTCGGTTACGACATGGGTTCTGACGAGGATGAGCTCGACGAGATGGACGAGTCTGAGGACGACGAGCTCGACGGTATGAACGACCCCAGGATCACTGAGGTTGAGTCTGACGAGGAGGAAGCTCCCAAGCTCGTTGATGCCGGCAAAAAGAACAAGAAGCGCGCTGCCGAGGAGGATGCCACTCTTGATGACATGATCAGCAAGACGAATGGTGACGCCAAGCTTAGCAAGAAGGAAGCTAAGAAGCTGAAGAAGAACGACGGCCAGGCTGTTGCCAAGGCTGCAGAGCCCGAGAAGAAGGCTGAGAAGGTTGATACCCCCAGCAGCGACAAGAAGAAGGTTCAGTTCGCTAAGAACCTTGAGCAGGGCCCAACTGGCTCCCCCAAGGTCGATGCCAAGCCAGAGGCAAAGAAGGAGGCCGCTAAGGGACCTCGCAACGTCAGCGGTGTCATCGTTGACGACAAGAAGGAGGGTAAGGGCAAGGCTGCCAAGAAGGGTGACCGTGTCGAGATGCGCTACATCGGCAAGCTCAAGAACGGAAAGGTGTTTGATTGTGAGTTTCCCCAACTAATCGTGTCTTGACTCAAACTAACAACCAAATAGCCAACAAGAAGGGCAAGCCATTCTCTTTCAAGCTCGGTGTCGGTCAAGTCATCAAGGGATGGGACGTCGGTGTCGCTGGCATGACTGCTGGCGGTGAGCGTCGTCTCACTATCCCCGCCGCGATGGCTTACGGCAAGAAGGGTGCTCCCCCGGACATTCCCCCCAACTCTGACTTGATCTTTGACATCAAGTGCATTTCCGTCGGTTAAATGTCGCTGTCAGTACTTTGCCTACGCGCAATAGGGTCCACTCAGCCCCCACCAGGATCCGACTCCACTCCTGTGCAGGACTCCACTGGCCTGCGTGCGTTCGCGCCTCTTCCCGTTTCCTTTTCCGTCTCTGTATCAACTGCATAGCGCGTCGTCTGAGATATCCGACTTGCATAATCTGGGCTGTTTCATTAGATGCGTGCAAGGAGGAAGGATCTCTCAGTCCTCTTCGCCAATGTCTTTTCCTATAGCGGGTCATCTGTAAATGATATAGCGAGGCGATATTGCCAAAGAGCCAAATTTCGCTGAGGAAGCTACTTTGAAAAGTTCTACGGTGTTCCGGTTGACATCTCGAATATGTAGTAATACATAATCTGCAAGTAACATGTCTGGTGTCTAGATATGCTTCGTATGCTCCCAATTGAAGTGATTGGTCAAGCCGTTAAGAAAGGCTTTCAATTCACATACCTACAGAAATAGTGGCTATGACTTCACGCGCAGCCGAGGTGTCCGAAATTGCGAAGATTCTAGTGCTAGCGGCCCACCACTCACATCGCCATCTGTGTGCACGAGCCCAAAGACCCCACAACGCTTTAACCCAACTCCTCTTTCATCCTCGCCCAACTTCAACGTCAACCTGCACTCGAGCCCTTTGTGACACCAACGACAAACAACACCGTGATCACCTCAACCAACAACCTTGCTTAGGCATCATCGTCCTTCGAATATCATCAAACCTACACCGACTACCAAATCAACCGTGGCAATACTGTAGCAATGGCGTCGAAACGAAGCAGTAGTAGTATGAGTAGTAATAGTAGCATTCATTCGTACTCGTCCGCGAGCAATGTCCGCGCTAGCTGCTACTCGGTGAACGCCGCTACCGCCAGCCTCCAGGGCTTCCATTACTCCACTACCCCGTCTTCCGGGGCTGGGTGGTGTTCCTGAGGTCAGCTCGGTATGTCCTCGCCTACTCTCCGAACAATACCGTCTTCTCTGTAACAGAGATGGATAGTATATGCTCGCGGTTCTGTGGAGAACGTATACTAACTTTCGCAGGGAATTCCATCACCCCCTTCAAGTCCCCCCCTCGCCGCCAAACACGCGTCCGCCACTCGAGGTGGAAAGGCGCGCAGAGGGGGGGCAGCATACACCATCACGGGAGAGTGTGAGAGACTCTTCTGCGAGACACTGCGATCTGTATTTCTGGGTGAGGGGAGCCAGCATCGCCAGAACTCGCTAGTGATGGGTATGCCATCTGACAACGCTACGACTGCAACCACCGCCATTACCAATGACTACGGTATCGATGCACGTCGCTACTCCGACTCTTCGACTGAATCTGATGTGCCTGAAATGGTGCGATTCGAGGAAGAGAAGGGTGCGATATCCGACTACATCGAGATGTGGGATTACGTTGGTGGGATTAGGTTCCGGGGGTTCGTTGCTGAGAAGGAGGACGAGAGGGCCATGTTCATCTTCTTCGATGAATCCGTCATCAATGGTGACCTCAAGGCTGGGTGCGTCATCATGCATATTGCTTTTTCCCGATATCGGTGTACTAACATTTTACAGTCTCATGGCCCTCCTCGAACTTTGCGAAGTCGATAACTTCTCCTGCAACCGTCTCGCCCTTTGCATCGACCGCCACGCCGATCAAGCCGCCCTTAACAATCTAACCAAAGATCTGGGCTGGATCGGCTTCGGTCTCACGACACTCGACGAGTTCAGCCAAGGCGAGGAGTTGACAAGCAAGAAGTGGCTGTTCATGGATATGGAAATATAGATGTTGGGCAGATTGAGGCATGATCAGGGTTCTTGGTGTCTGTCGTTACAAAACAGCATATGGTCCGAGTTTCTCTTTTCTTGGGGATTTCTGCATAGTGGATTGGGGCGTTCATCCTTAATTTGAAGTAGCACACGAGGAGTCCGGTCGCTGATCTATTGTGCGTAATTTCCTAGTAAGGTGTTCTCCGCTCACCGGTCAATAGTTGAATGCAATGTTCGTATTTCGATTCCATTTCTGTATGCTGTGAAATTATGGTGAACAGCTTGCGTCTGATAGAGTTGTAGGCAGGAGCAGGTAGACGCATAGTTTGTTATGAGTACAATAGTTAGGAACATGGCACAGCATGTGCTTTCATTGTCTATTTTTTTTTTCGTATCCAAGATCGTATTATTTCACCTCGGACGCGTAGCCAACTACCTGGGAATATCACTAATACCACCATGCATAAAGTCCATGCATTTTCTGGGTGGTGTTATAGCTCCGGAGTCCTATTCGTCGGCCAAATCAGCCATCTCAGCATCAACGTCCGCCGTGCCCCCGAACTCGTCCACTTCATCAACCTCCATACGCTCAACTTCGGCTCTTCCTTCCAGTGCACGCATAGCTGGGTTGTCTGTACCGCTGATACCATGGGCCTCCTTCTTACGCTGATGAGCTTCAAGATCCTCCAGCGACCACGACGAATGACCTTCTTGTTCTGCTCGGCTCCACGGCACACTCATATCCTTCAAGAAAGCCTTGGCTGCGCCGACAGCTTGGTCGATAGACAGCTTCGTGCTCTTGGCGTCGAGGCCTTGTTGGATCCATTTGGGGAGTTGAGTTTGTTTCTTGTTGAAGCGTTTGTCCGCTAACACCATGATTCCGTAGTCATCTTTACCGCGAATGACACGACCAAGACATTGGGCTGCGTGGCGCATGGCGTCGAAGGAGAGGAAGTCTGCTTCCTTGATGCGGTAGGTTTCTCGAAGGAACTCTAGACGGGCTTTCAAAATCCTTGATTCGGTGTATTGGTAGGGTACGCCCATACACAACACTGTACGGCCGTAGTGGTGATCAAAATCGATTCCTTCGCTGACCTTTCCTCGTGCGACACAGAGTAGGACAGCGCCGCGACCGTTGTTGCAAGCTGTGCGGAAGGTTTCTAAGGCGAGAGCAGTTTCCTGTGCATCAGGAGTTTCGACAAGAATGAGTTTGTACTTCCAGACTGTGTCTAGGATCTCCATGCCTTGCCATGCTGAAATGATGCTCTCCATGTAAAGATATGACGGGAAGAAGACGACGACGCCATCTGGAGTCAGTTTGCAGAATTCGATGAGCAGGTTGCCAAAGTTTCGCTGTACTTGCAAGTCGTTGCGATGTTCGAATTGCGAGGTAACTTGGTTCTGGTCATTGCCTCGATCGACGATCATGGGCAAAAATGACTTGCGTGTCAGCGTCATGGTGAACGATTCTTGAACCACAGTGTTGAAGTTAAGCATGCGTGGGTACATGTCGAGTGGAGACATAGTTCCGGAGGTGACGATGACGGAGTAGAAGCGTTCGAAGACGGGCTTGATGGCTATCGCAGCGTCCAGACAAGTCAGATGCAACACTGGGTTCGGGACAGTGGCTGTTGCTGATTCGAAAGGCTCGATGATCAGGAGGAACCCAGTCTCGTAGGTAGCTACTAGTGTAGCAAACGTCGCGACCTCTTGGAGGGGTTGGTAGTCTTCGATGTTTGTGAGTTCTAGAGTTCGGACAAGTGATGTGAGACGCTCAGCGCAAAATCGGAGTGGTTTCCTCTCGATGAAAGTAAGATCCTTCAAATGCTTCAGAAATTCTGGCGGTGTGTCTGCAACCACATTGAGAACCTTCATACGGGTCTTGAGATATTCGATGAAGCGCTTCAGGAAGGCAACGAAGTGTTCAGCTCGCCGTATGTTACCGGGTACGGCCTCTGTGAGAAGATCATCTGGTAATGCTGGGTTAGCCATAAAGGCCTCTTCGTTTCGTGCTTCGTCGGCAGCTCGGAGGCCTTCGACAAGTTTTGCGTATTCGTTTTGCAACTTCTCTGCATCACTGCTCTTCATTTCCGTGATTTTGCGATCGAGATTGTTGACACCCTTGGTAGCTTTCCGTAATACATCCTCTGTAAGATCGATGCTGAGAGATTCGATGCATACGTTGTCGATGTTGTGAGCTTCGTCGAAGACGACGATGCAGTCTTTGGAAAGCTCTTTCGACACCCTGTCTGCGATCTTTGGATCTAGTAGGTAATGGTACGAGTAGATGATGACGTCGCAGTAAGGCATCATTCGCCGGGCTGTGAAGTAAGGACACTGCTTCTGCTGCTCACCATACTTCAGTATGCCATCGAAGGTCCATACACCGGGCGGTATGAGATTGTGGGGTTCTAGAAGATCCAAGTTCTCGTGATATACACAGAGCTCAACATCCTCGCCTCGCTCTTTCTTTTCCTTCACAAAGCCCGCTGTCAAGCTGCGGCATCTGGCATCTACTACTGTTCCACTCTTCTCTCGCTTGACGGACGGATGTAAGCAAAGATTCTTGCGGCTCGTTAACCCAAGACCTCGAAACGGTTCCTCATAGCCCAGCTCAGTAGTACGGTACTTCATCAGCGCTTTCAATTCAGCCAGGGCTTTTTCGATTTCGGACATGGTACGCGAACAGTAAATCAGCTTCCGTTTTTCAGGGTAGTGCTGCTGGTAAGCGACGATGAGCGATAATAGGGACACGGTTTTACCCGTGCCTGAAGGCATCTCGAGGACGCAGTGACCGCCCTGGTCCAAGGTGCGCTTGAGATCGCACATGTAGGCATATTGCTCTGGATATACCCTCGGATACGGGAATAGCACTGGAAGGTTATCGATGAAGAACTTCATGTTGATGATCCGCCGCCCGCGCGGTTTAGTTGTAGCGGAGGGGAGTTGATGGTGACAAAGTTCAGACGAGCTTGGGCGTTGCCTTCCAGTCGACGTGCAATGTCGACGCGACGCGCTACTACCAGATAGCTCTAGCGCACTTACAGGGATATGCCCCACCATCTACCGCCTACCCACAACTGGTGCCGTCATCAAGCAGAGCCGCATATTTCGCGTAATCCGCAAACCTCTGCTATGTTGAAGTGCATGCGACACTCTGTTTCTTTGGTGTGTTTACGCAGCTGCAGCTAGCCTTGATTTGTCACCTTGCCACGAGCATCCTCCGCCCACACCCTATACCTAGCCGACGAGCACAGCGACATTGTGCAGTCCCCCAACCCCGCCATGTCAAAGCGTACAACAAAGGCGCAGGCGAGCAGTGCGCGGGCAGCCACGACGTCTTCCTTCGGCGCTTTCGGCAGTGCGTCAGCGGCATTCAGCGCAAGCACATCACCCCTGTCCTACGTGACCGAACCCCCACATCTATCCGCCATCTCAGACCCGAACGTCATCGTCTACTTCCGGAACCTCTCCAAGAAGGACAGCACCACCAAGGCGAAGGCGCTGGAAGACATACAATCATATCTATCGTCACTGCAAGAGCCAGTGGAAGAGGGCCTGCTGGAGGCATGGATCAAGATATACCCACGAACCTCGATCGACAATGCGAAAGCGGTTCGCCAGAATGCCCACCTCGTCCACGGACAGTTCGCCGTATCCGCCGGCAAGCGCATAGCAAGACATATGCCCAAGAGCGTCGCAGCATGGCTATGCGGTCTCTATGATAGCGATAGGTCCGTAGTAGACGCGACGCAGACCTCCCTCAGACAGGTCTTCAACACACCCGAAAAGCTCCAGAGCATCCGGAAGGTCTACCAACAATTCATACTAGAGTATTGCCGGGATGCGATAGACAAGGAGAGCACAGCGACTCTAAGTGACGAGCGAGTAGTCAGCAAAGACGACGCCGAAGCAAAATACAGCCGCGTCATCTCTGCATGCATATCCTTGCTGGGTAGTTTGTTGAACAACCTACAACCTGAGGAGCTATCCAAGTACCAGACCGACTACGAGTCTCTCATTGGAGATAAGAAGCTCTGGCAGTTCGCCTCATACAACGACGCTGGCATACGGCGCTCAGTGCACCGTCTCCTGAGGACATGCCTCACCAAGGAGGACGTTGCTGTTCAAGAACACCTCGACACTCTCAGCAAGGCCTTTCTAGCCGAGGCCTTGAACTCCGATCAGACCGGTTCCGTCAGCGATTATGTCGAGTCCCTCACAACACTCACATCCAAGCATCCCTCCGTATGGACAGACAACTACAAGAGCAAGACTGGAGTCGAGAGGCGCCTACGGCAGTTCTTGAAGAAAGGCTCTCAACTAGGACCACGCGACACGTGGGCACGGGTGCCTGAGCTCCTGAAGATAGTTCCGAAAGAGATCCTGCCACAATCTAGTGCTGATTGCGCAGAGCTACTCAACGCCCTGCATGGCGGTATTATTCGCAAGGACGAGCCCAAGTACAATCATGAAGCAGGATTCAAAGCCTACCTCGAAATAGCTGGTCAACTCACCCAGCCGTTGAGTGATGATGAAAGAACTAAGCTCCTCGAAGAGATGGTGTTGCCAATCATCACGCAGTATCTTCGCCCATCGTTGGAGACATCAGACTGGGCTGTGCCATCCAACGCGTCAAGCCTAATATCTAAAGCACTAGAAATTGAAGGAATGAAGATTGTGCTCGAACAGCGTTGGCCTTCCTTCTCACAGCAGTTGATCGATAACATCAAGACTTCAGCCCCAGAGCAGTCAAAGGATTACGAGAAGTCTCAGACGAATGTCATCCAGCACGCCACACGATATGCGACCATGCAAGAACAAGCGCTTACCATCGAGACTTTGGAGTCGTTGCGATCAGTCCTTTCCCAGGCGTGCTCTTCAATAGTAGCAGAAGCTCTCGAAGTACTCAAGAACAGAAATGGGAAACCGTACGCCGCAGCAGGTACGATTGCGGCCTTACTAAAGCGCAACCCAAGTTTGATATCGTCTACCAAGGCTGAGCAGAATCTAGAGCTGTTTATACAGCAGGATCTTCCAGAGCTGGTGTTGTCTCCCTCGTCCTCTTATCTGATCGATATACTATACACCAAGTCGGACCGCACGTACTTCAAGGACGCGTGGAGCGCGTCTCTCAAGACTGTTCTTAGAGATGCAGACTCTCCAGCAAAGACAAAAGCTCTCGAAGCAATCCTCACCTCATCGAGAATACCAACGTCATTTGGCCTTGCCACATCGGATCCTGAATTGCAGAAGTACATAACCACGAATGTACGCGAGGCTGTCGAGGGCTCAGCCGAATGGGATTCGTTCAGCCGCATGCTTCAATCACCAGCAAGGATACTTACTCCTGAAACAACTGATGAAATCCTCGCTTACATGACGGAAACGCTATCAATATCGAACCAGGCCCCCTACTCGTTGCAAGGTCTACGCCAAATTGTCAAATCGAATCCAACAATGCTACGAGAGTTTGTCGCTAGTTCACAGGGTGCTGGTCTTCTCCAAGGCCTACTTCTCGCTTCAGAATCCCCAGATGATGAGGTCGCGCAGGGCGCTAAAACTGTTAATGCCTCGATCCAAACCATACTGTCATCTGGCTCGGACTCCAAACAATCCATATACAATCTCGTTCAGCAAGGCCTGCGCGACGCTACCCCGACATCTGTCTCAGTCGAAACTTTGGTCGACTTGGCGAAGCAGTCAGTCAAAGCCGGTAGTGATTGGGAAGGAATTTCCCTCGTGTTTCCCAGTATCGAAGACTGGAATGCAGCTCTTGATCCGTTTCTCAATGCTGCGCCAAAGTCGTCTTTGGCTATCACGAATCCACTTGGGGGCGCCGTGTATCTCGTCAAAGATGGCCAATTGCCTTCTAAGATCAGAACTATGTCTCGCGATGCTGACGGCTACTCTGCTGCATACCGTATCACACAGTATGTCACAAGGCTTTTCAAAAGCTCAGACCTTTTCTCTGTTGACAAGGTTCCTTCTGCGCTTCGAGCTGCCTACCTTCGTAACATTGCGGTTTCTGTGCAGCTTGCAGATGACAACCTTGGACTTGCCGGCGCGAATGGCTTCTGGGCACAATACAACTCGGACGTTGAAGCTGAGGCGATGACCTTCATGTCGGATGCGCAGTCATTCGTGACACACGAGCTGAAGAATCTTGTTGAAACGTGGTCGAAGGACGACGACAACGCCCCGCTGTTGTCTTGGGCAACCTCACTATTATCGGAGATAGATGTCGGCGCAACTTCTCCAGCATACTATTACGCCCGAGCATATGCTGTCTTGATAGCCGACGCTATTGAGATTACTGGCTGGAAAAATTCACAAACCGCCAAACTTCAGGAAACGCTGAAAACTACGCGAAGTTCGAAAAACGTCCTCCAGCTCCTTGCGTTCTTGAACGCTTTCAAAGAGCCCTTGTCGTATGCAAAAGCTTGCGAGAGAATGTGCAATGAGATCGTCGCCGATCTGACAGGCCTTGATGTCCAGCATAAGTCGCAAGAGGCACTGCAACAACTTGTGCTGTTGAACAGTGTCATGGGCCAGGAAGGTATCTTGGAGAGCATCGCCGGTCCTCGACTGATGCGTTTTATCCAGCATGTCATCCCGTGGCTGCAAGAAGACACAGTCAACCGTTCTACTAAAGCAGAGTTGTGCCGCGCGTTGTCGGTACTGGTTCCCCTGATCTTCGAAATGTACGGTGAGCACTGGGTCGGTATTTTGAGTGCGCTTTCCACGATTTGGTCGGCCACAAAAGAGCTGGAAGCGAACGAGTCTGGCATGGACACTCCAATCCCCCTCGTACACGCATCGTTGAAGCTCTATGCACAACTGCGGGCCTTGACCCAAGCCGAAGAACCAAACGATGATCTTCTCGATGCATGGAAAGAGAACGAGCAAGCTGTTGCTGATGGGCTCATCAACATCCTGAAGCATTCACAACATTTCCCAGACGAATTTCATCAGCCTCTGAAGATGGTCAACGATGTGTTAGCGCGTCAGATCTCCAAGGTGTCACTCAAGCATCTGGAGTCTACCGAGGAACTTTTCCCTCTTCTCTACGTGGAGTCTCAACCGGTTCAACAGACAGCTTTCGACATCCTACACAAGCAGATCCCTGCATCTCAGGAGCAAGTGTCCATTGACGCAGCATTGGAGAAGACGACTGCCCGATTACCTGAGGAATTGCTGTCATTGATCATCGATGCGCCCACGGTCACGGCACTTGCCGATGCCAACTTTGAGCGTAGTGTGCCCTTACCATTGCGAGGTTATCTATTGAGCTGGTTGCTTGTCTTCGATCACCTAGAGAATGCTTCCTTCAAGGTCAAGAATGATTATGTTGAGCATATCCGAGAGGGTGAGTACCTTCCTGGCCTTCTCGACTTCATGTTCGACTTCCTTGGCCATGCCCACAACAAGCCAGTCGATGTCTCCAAGCTTGACATCACGACGTATGAAGCGGACCTTGAACCACCTAAGCGTGATTTGCAATGGTTGTTAACACATCTTTACTTCTTGTGTTTGCGCGACGTCCCGTCTTTGACAAAGACCTGGTTTAAGAGCTGCAAATCACGCGCCATAGTCGTTGCGCTCGAGCCATGGACAGAGAAATACGTTTCGCAGCCTGTGATCGTTGCCGCCCTCGATGCAGTAAACACATGGTCGGAAGAGCAAGCCGCAGCTGAGCCCGACTCGGCCTTCGCGGTAAAAGTTGTCAACCGCGCGCGCGAGATTACTGCATCATATGTGGTCGATGAACAAACTATGGCGATGCGAATCTCTCTGCCACCCGCCTTTCCTCTCGCAAATGCTCACATAGAAGGCCTGAACCGCGTTGCTGTCAATGAACAGAAATGGCAATCTTGGTTGAGGACTTCGCTGGGAGCTATTACGATTTTCAACGGCAGCCTAATCGACGCGCTGACCACGTTTAAGAGGAACGTCGATGGAGCGCTCAAGGGCCAGAGCGAGTGTGCCATCTGCTACAGTATAGTTGGGTCTGATCGCAAGTTGCCTGACAAGAAGTGTCACACTTGCAAGAATCTTTTCCACGGAGTCTGTCTATTCAAGTGGTTCAAGAGTAGCGATAGCTCGAGCTGTCCACTCTGCAGAACCAGCTTCAATTATGCATAGATTAGAATCATGAACTGGGCACGATAGACTTGAGTGGCTGTCATAGAGAATATATACTGTGTACGATGAACTCATATTGTTGACTTGCATAGGCGTGAGTGTTCTTGTCAATCGGATGGACCTCGGCTGTACCTGCATTTACCCCACACCTACGCTAGAGTATACCGAGATGAATACTTGCTAGTCATTCACGCTTGCACATAGCTTTCTTCTGTCGAAGTATCTGTTCTGACCGTCGCTTCTATACTTCATGATATGAACTTACCGTCTTCTACTAATCAACTCTCGCCAATCATGTCGTCAACCAATCCTCAGCCGATCCTAGAGTTCAACTACGACATATCCTGTCCCTTCGCCTACATAGCCTCAACACGCGTACAGTCACTAGCCCATCGTACTCACGCTACCCTGATCTACAAACCCGTTCTCCTAGGCGCAATTTACCGCGCAACAGCCGCACCTCAAGGCGCCGGCGGCTCAGCATCCGATGTCTTCAACTCAGCCAAGAAGGCGGTCACAGCGCAAGGTATGCAACGTACATTGCGCAGATACAACATTCGGTACAACCCACCACCTCAGCATCCTCGCAAAACGGTGAATGCACTGCGTTTGTTGTACTGTGTCAAAGACCATGAACAGAGGAGGATGTTGACAGACAGGCTGTTCCAAGCTTATTGGGCAGAAGGCAAGGACGTGAATTCCAATTCTACCATCCTGCAGATTGCCAGGGAATGCGGTATCGAAAATGTGGGGGAAGAATCTTTCGCTGATGCAGGTGCGAGGAAAGGGTTAGAAACTTCTACTGCCGAAGCAATCGAGAGAGGTGCTTTTGGTGTCCCTGGATTTTGGGTCCCGGATGCTCTTTGGACGAACGCGAATGGTGAAGAAAAGCGAGGGCGGTTTTTCTGGGGTCAGGATCGCATGCATTTCGTTGAGGCGACGTTACTCTCCCTTTCATCATCATCATCATCATCATCATCATCATCGCGATCGCCATCTGGAAAACCGTGGACACATGTACCGGCACTCAAGAGCTTGATGCCGCGGTGCGTACCCAGTAATGATCCTCATGGCCGGGTAAAAGTCGAATTCTGGTTCGACTTTAGCAGTCCGTGGGCGTTTCTGGGGTACACACAATTGGAACGACTAAAGAAATCATTTGGCAAGGACTTGGAAATTGTCATGAAGCCGTTTCTCCTGGGTATCTTGTTCCGAGAGATCGGTGCGCCAAATCTGCCAATGGCGGCGGTTAGCCCGGCGAAAGCGCTGTGGTCGAGACAAGACCACGCGGACTGGACCGAGTACTGGAACGCGATAAGTCGGCAAGATGGTGGAAGAGAAGTCGAGTTCTATTGGGCAGACATCTTCCCCATCCGGACACCGACTGTGCTGAGGGTTGCGCTTGTGGAGCCGGATACCACAAATCTGTTGTGTGAGTTGCACGCTCTGTTTCACTTCCTGAGCCGCAGCATAAATCACAAAATAGACTAACGAAGTATAGTCGAAGCATGTTGGTCTCACAACCAAGACATGTCCAACGACACCGTGCTCCGTACCGTTCTCGACCAAGGTGGTTTCAACGGCGCTGATCTTATTGCTCGCGCGAACAAACCCGCAGTCAAAGCCAAGCTGCGGGCCGCTACCGCAGAGGCAAAAGAAATGGGTCTCTGTGGCGTACCCACGTATCGTGTGCTGAGGCAGGGGGATAAAGGGGAGTGGGAGGCGGTTGGTGGTCTGGTCTGGGGTCAAGACGAAATCAACGTTGTCGAAGACCTAATTGCTGGATGGAATCCTGAAAGTTCAGGACAAGCGGCTAGGGTGATGAGGAAAGAGAATGGCGTGGGTTCGAAATTGTGAGTACGGTTGATTCCAACCCACAACAAGACGCGATGACTTGGTCGAATCTACAACTGTGTTCAAAAGTGGTGAAGATCAAACTATCGTACTATTGTATCATGATTCGTAAGTTAGATACATGGAGAATTCGTTGCACAGAAATAAGCCTTTACGCCAAAACCATGCGCCTTCCCTGGGTATCGAAATATAAAAAGAGTGTTAGTCGTACGTTGAGTAAATGTTCGTACCTCGTGTAGAGGTGTAGGGTATATGTCGTAAAGGTGCCTAGAAAGTATGCGTGCCACGTGAACCTTGTAGAGAAGTGTCGACGATATCAAGCCGTCAGGTCAACATCACCATAGGCACGGCGCTTCCTTCTCTTAGCTGCAAGCTGAGGTGTCCAGATTCCGCTGAATAGATCTTCACATTCGTCTTCATCCTGAGAATCGAACTCAATGTCTTGGTCGTTCTTGTCTGGTACCATACCGTTGTCTTCTTCATTCATACTCTCATCCCACTCTGCACCCTTGACGATCCTCTTCGTTTCGAGTATGAACTTGCCGACCTTGTATTTCTGGCTGTCCTCGGCTGCATCGACATACTTCCATCCCAACACACTACCACAGCTACGGCAGCTGATGTCAGATACAGTATGGGCGCCCGTCACGAGTTGACGAGCATGAGCCTTGTGTGTCAATGTGTTTGGCAAATCACCTTCCTTCCATCCTGTCGCCGATATATCCCCACTAGCCAAGAAGCTCGATGTCGACGGCGGCCCTACAAGGTATGCGCGGCCGTGACGTCCAGTGAACCCTTTGCTTATGATGGATGAAGCAGGGATGAGGTCGGCAAGACACTTCTGGCAGCGTAGGTGCGAGGTTGGTCGCGCCGTGAGGAAGGAGGTTGGTTGTGGTGGAGATGAAGACGGAGACGTAGAGGCGGTCGAGGTGCTGATGGCCGAGCTTCGGCGTCGGCGGAAGGGCAGGCTAGGGAATAGGTAGAGAGGAAACGGTGTTGTTGGTGAATTCGGCATATTGTACTAGAAGCCCGGTTATCGGAATCGGAAGAGCGAAAGTCAGTGAGGTTATGTCCAAATTATAGAGTGGTGTATCGCGATGTGTCTACGGCCTCACGCTGGCGGAGGTGGTGGTCCAGTACAAGTCCGGCAATACCAGACCAGGTCAAGCGCTGTAGGAAAAAGGCCCTATCGGGAAGCGATACAGTGTTGCGTCGACGCAATAGCGCTGCGAACTGCCGACTATGCTTTTGTTGTCCGGTGTTGATCACGACTGGACAGCGGTTCAGTTCGTGATGCCTGAGGATCTCGCGGTATATTGACCTGGGGTGAACAGAAAACGTGACGACGCGTCTTGTCGATGACTGAAATTCAGTCGCCTAATATCTGAGCCCAGGGTGGGAAAGACGCTCACGAAGGAGGTCTGTCCTCCCTTTGAGGTGTGTCGACGCGAAGGAGCAGATGACGCGCTGAAGACGTGGAAATGTCGCGATAAGCGATAACACGGGCGCCACAGCCGAGGAGGCGGGGAGGTGGGGCAGAACAGACGATGCACCTCAAGTTCTCGACATCGACAGATGATTCACGCCGGAATGCCTTCAGGCTCTGGAAGACAGTGTTTGGTGAAGGACAAAGGCTGGATTAGAGAGAGATGGAGTGTTAATAGCGGTCAGTACCTGGTTCTTGCTACCAGCTGCGTGCTGGCCAATCTTGATGACTGGTCAGATCATGCGACCTCTCAAACCCGGGTGTGTCGTCACGAGATGTGCTGGCACTTTCCGATTGTGCCCGGGCAGTACAAACGATGCAACTGGGCCGCACCAGTAGATGACGACTGAACTTACATGCGTAGCCTTGCTGTAGTATATGCAAGCGCCAAGCACCATGCCGTAGTATCCGGAATAGGGTTAGTCCCTGGAGATTGCTCCTTTCCCAGGTGGAAGCACTGTTCGCGACGCGTTGATCATCGCGACATTGTATCTCTCATGCTTCGTCAAGCATGAATGATTAACAAATCTGAGGAAGTTTCGCCTCGCAAGTTACACTGCGCCATTACCACCAGACAACAAGCTTCAACACGATGAGATCGTCTTCTGCCAGTGCACCACTCACAGCACAGTATGCTTGTGATATCTGTAGGCAAGTCCCCAGCTAACGCGTCCCGCCGGATACGAACGAGCTTCAGCAATAAACGGACGTGATATCCATCAACGGATGAGTTCGCTAATCATCTGACAACCAGAGAGCGCAAAGTTCGGTGCGATCGTGCCCTCCCGAAATGCAGGTTCGTCTTTCAGCATAGTTTCTTATCCTACGAGTAGCGTGAAGCAAAAGGAATACCTTTAGCCACGTTCCGCTTGGGTACAACTCAGAAATACGACTTTCCCTGTAGTCGTCTCGCAACTGTGTAAAAGTGGAAACAAGAAGCTAATTGCGATGCGTATCTTGCAATGAAGACGTTGCGATCGTCTAAATCAACCATGCAGCTACAACCAAGCACATCCACGTCGCACACGCGACGATCAACTGAAGCAGCTTCAGGAGCGCCTAACCAAAGCTGAGGCTCAGCTTGCGCTTACCACGCCGGATTCACAGTCAAACCCTGCGATATCGGCCATGAACACTCCGATAGGTTTGGATCATACAACAGGACTGGATGCAGCCACCGATACAGCGGTGAATGGCTCTAACATATTTACTTCGTTTACTGATGGAGTGGATACCAATATGTTGTTTGACTGGACCAATGAGCCACTGGCCGCGCTCGAGCCATTGGACGATGTGCTCCTGAATCAACATCAGTCATGTCTCGGAAGTGGGCCTGAGGAAGATCTATCTCCGGCAGATCTGGGTCTACTGCACGATCACTACTTCAATTCCGTCTACTATTCCTTCCCGTTCGTGAGCAGAGACAGATTTATAACGGATTCGACGAGTGGTGGCAGTCCTGCGACAAGTGCCCTGGTTTACGCTGTTGCTCTCGCCGGCTGCGCCCACTACCTTGGAGATACAGAGCGACAGGCGACGTGCTACAACCTTGCGCGTGACTATGTTGAAAGGTGTGAACGAAAAGATCTTATGAAAGACATGAACTGCCTCCAGGCTTTGTTACTGATAGGCCGCTTTGAGGCCATGAGTCGGAAATTGGAGAGAAGCTGGTTGACGCTAGGACGCGCCGCTATGCTCTGTAGGCTTCTGAGATTGCATCAGATGGATGCAGTTAGGCATGATCAAGGAATTCAAAACGGAAAGAAAGATAGTGGGATTCTATCGGGGTTGCCATATACGGAAGACGTGGCTCTGTTAGAAGAGCGACGAAGGACTTTTTGGGCCTTATACATTCTGCAGAGCTATGTCAAAACACGGACAGGCTGGGATTGTCAATTGGGAGACGTCAAGGTTTGGACTACGCCATTGCGACGAATTACGATACGCGGAAACTAACACGATGTTCAGGACTTCCGTGTCTGCCTGCCATCGCCAGGGTTGTTAAGTTCCGACCTAGAGCCGCTCAAGATGCCATATTTGCTAGATGTGAGCACCGAGTCCGGCTTTGAGATTACGTCCTACGCAGGCTGTGTTCTCATGGTCGAGCTAGCTTTGTCCTGCTTCGACCGTGATCAACAGCACGGCATTCCAGGTTTCTGGGACGGCTATTGCACCCTAGTCAAGAAGGCAGAAGACCTTTCTGTTATTCTCAAACATCATCTTAACGCCACATCCATTCGCCAAGACCCAATAGCTTTTAGCCTTTACATGAACTTGCGCGCTACCGAGATCTTCTTACACGATATGGCCATCATGAAAAGCGAAGAGCAAGGACTTCCACCATATATGAGAATCGAGAACCAACGCCGCGCCACTGCCGCTGCATTCCAGATATGTAACGCAGTAGGCCTCAATTTGCCGTCACCACAGAAGGCAGATAGCGACATTATCATGCTGCAAGCGATCTTCATTGCTTGGCCCTTATTCATGGCATTGAAAGCGTTACATCGCGAACTCAGAGATGGAGAGGTTCAGAAAACTACAAACGGCGTCGTGGCCGCGTCCAAATTGCTCTTCGTAGCTCTAGACCATATTGAGGAATCGGACGGACACTGGCACCAATCGTTGACCCATGTTGGTACAAAACTGCAGGAATGGGAAGAGAAGACTGAGTTCAACTCATCGGCTCTGTGATTGTCCCTGCAACCATGAGTTTTGCTGTTGTCACTCGGTTGTAAGATTTTGGAAATCATCGAATAGCATCTTGCCAAGGCCATACACTTCGACGATCAGTTACCGCAAGGGTAGACCACCGGACTCTATTTTTCAAGAGCAACCTAAAAGAACCGAGTCATCTTTACTAGAATAAATATCCATCTCCGTCGTTCTGCAGCAGCGTTGCAGGGGGAAGTGGGTCTGTCGGCCTCCGTGTCCGTCCCCGTGTCCGTCTTACCTCTGAACCGCCCCTTCGATGATATAATACTGCTTTAACCATGAAGTCCCATCATAACTATTTTGGTTTCTTTTTGATCTTACGAAAGATTTACCAAATCAGTTATCAATCGACCGATGACCGCGAAAGCCGTACCTAATTGAGAACCAGTTGAACTAGCCGAACATGGATGGATCAAACATCACGGAGCATGTAGAAGCAGCGCAAGAGGAGATTCGGACCACACCAAACGAACGCTTCGAATGCGACGACGGCGTCAATACGGCCCAAAAGCGTAGCGCTCGCAACATCCATGGCTGGAAGGTAAACAATCCACAGCAATGCTCATACGCATGTATCTTAGTATTAGATTGCGATTATGCTAATCTATCACATTTATTGCAATGTAGTGGGCCACCGCTTACGTTTCTATGCTATCTACCACGCTCCTCTTCGCTCTTGACAACACCATTGTCGCCAACATCCAACCAGCCATTATCAATGACTTTGGGCATCTCGAGTTACTTGCATGGATCGGAACCAGCTTCGCACTCGGCACCATGTTCATTCTCCTTTGGGGAAAGGTCTACGGTGTTTTCAACATCAAGTGGGTTTACATCTTCAACATCTTCTTGTTTGAGGCGGGCAGTGCTCTTTGCGGTGCTGCTCCGAACATCGAGGCACTCATCATTGGCCGTGTGATTGCTGGCGTCGGTGGCTCAGGAATGTACTCGGGCACTCTGACTTATGTTTCTGTTCTCTGTAACAGTCAGGAGAAGCCAGCATATCTTGCCGGTAGCACCGTGGTTTGGGGTATCGGCAGCGTCCTCGGTCCAGTGGTCGGCGGCGCCTTTGCGATGAGCAGCGCCACCTGGAGATGGGTATGTATCTCTTCTATATCCTCTTTTGACCTCTGGACTTCGATATTGAACAAATAGTAGGGGTTTTATATCAATCTCCCCATCGGCGCCATCTTTACGCCTGTCTACCTCCTACTCTTCCCCAGCATCGATCCTCACCCATGCAAGACGCTCGCGGATAAACTTCGTCTGATCGACTGGATCAGCGCTCTTATCTTCCTTTCTGGCTCCACCTGCCTGACGATCACGCTGACCTTTGGTGGAGTCATCTACTCGTTCCTTTCCGGCACTATAGTCGCACTATGGACTGTTACAGGTGTTCTTTTGATCGCCTTCATCGTCATGCTGAAGCTACACCCCTTGGTCACCAAGGAGAATCGCTTGTACCCTCTGCACTTTTTCAAGCAGCCAATATTGATCAATATGCAGGTACAAGTGTTTCTGTCCTCGGGTATCGTCTTGGCCATGACCTACTATGTTCCCCTGTACTTCCAGTTCGTCAAGGGCGATGGTGCGCTTGAGGCAGGGGTTCGTCTACTACCTTTGATCATGTTCATGGTCGTGGCGTCAATGTTCAACGGCTTCTTGATGCCTAAATATGGGTTGATTCCTATTTGGTATATTGGGGGCAGCACGCTTGCACTTCTTGGGACAGCTTTGATGTGTAAGACCCGTTCACTTGACGCGTCTTTAGAGTAGAGATGGCCTAACTGATCCCTTTCGCAGACACGGTCGATGAAAACACGTCCAACGCGCATATCTATGGCTACAACATCCTCGTAGGAACGGGTACAGGATGCTATATCGTTGCCGGATTTGCTATAGTACAGTCTCTAGTTCCTGCTCACGACATAGCCAACGCCATTAGCGCCATGGCAATAGCTCAAGATCTTGGGATGACATGTTTCCTTGCCATCAGCGGCACCCTGTTCCACAACATAGCCGTCGAAAAGGTTGGTAAAGCTCTACCAGAAGTCGCCTCTGCCGAGGTCGGCAACCTCATTGCAGGATCAAGCAGTAAGGCTTTCAGAGGATTGTCTGAAGCGGAGAAAGCTTTGGTCATCCCGGAGATTGCGAGCGCCATGAGTAGCGTATGGGCTTTCTTCCTTGCTGCTGCTACGCTCAGCGTGATATGCTCTGTGCCTTTGCTTGTGAGTAGTCTATAGAGCCTCCCCCCCTTCGTTCGCGTCACTTTTCTAACGCCCGTCGCAGAAAGCTAAGCTTGGTGGACAGAAGACTGCAGCAACAGTTGCGACGTAGAGCGAGTTGTGGTTCCTCGGAAAAATGCCTGGAAGCAACCATCTTAGATTGGTTCCAATTTCCCCATAGGAACATCATTCAATTCATGATCAAACACTCCGACTTGCTGTCTTGATTTCCTCGAGGACTTCTAGGAAGTTGCATGTGCTGTGTATATACGCTTGTTTACATGTATCAGATATAAAACCTTCTTTTCATGCCTGGCTCATCGATGATATCGTCTCCGATGATTCGAATGCCATCTTCAATGAGAACGCGTGATCTAGCTTGACGGAAGAGTAACAGTACGAATTTGGGGATCGACCAATGGGAGGCGAGCGGCCGCTCCAGTCCGTCCCCACTTCGGAAGCGGCGCGCACGGCAACCACCTAACGAATACTATCGCTACTTAGAGTTACACACTAAACCCGGATTCTAGACGGCAGTAAACTTGCGGCACTTGTGTATAGCGGACTGAACCACGTCTTCACTCATTGATCGTCGTTTTCAGCTTCGAACTCGAATGCTATATGGATATCAAATCTTATATAATCTTATGCGACTCTGTCATCGATCGGATTACTGACATGACTTCTATGAGCAACAATCACATTGGTCTTCCTCCAAGTCGTCGCATGGGCAAGGAAACCAACATTGTGTAACATCCTCCACACGGTTACCAAACATGTTCGATCAGTTCCACGGGGTCGTTCGCCTGATGATGAACAACGTGTATGTGTAGTGCAGAAGACAGGTATGAAAATTTGTTGTGCGATATCGATAGGCGTCGACAAAGTTGCATGAAAAGATGTGATGTTGAGCACGGGCGAACAGGAGAAAGAGAGTGAGGACTATTTGTATTCAGGAGAGAAGATTAGGTTACAGGGACTGCGTATGCGACGGACGCTCATGTTTGCCTTTGCAACGTTGAACCTCAAGTCGTGATAAACGTGTACCTGGAAGGGCTTTGAGATAGCACACCCAGATATTTCAAACGAATGCACAGGGCAACATGGTGGAACGATCACAATTACCGGAGCTAGTCAAAACGCAAACCCACTAGGTGGCAATCGCGCTCTCGACTTGTAGATGCAATTCTAAGACTAAACCTACAACAGAAGCTGGGAAGCGATGATTTGACCCTTTTCCTGATCATAACTAAGTGAGCGACATGATCATAGCAGGTTTATGTACAAGTGGCGGCTGGTAGTGCTATGGGACACGGACGACGAAGAGGCACTAGCAGCGGCTTTGGGTTGCCATCAGATGCATCATGAGGCTGATGCGGGCTGCGCAAAGGTGCTACCGATGGGTCCGAACTTGATGTTTGAGAAGACTACCTGCGCGTTGGGGCTGGCGCTCTCGACATCGGCTGGCACGCCACTGGTGATGTCGCACTCGCCGCGAGCAATACCAGGCTTTTCCGGATCTTGGTCTGTCGGGTAGTTGCTGTCCAGCCAGAGCATGTTGGCGTAGTGGTCGTCCCAGAGACTCATGACGAGTACCATACCCAAGTTCATACCCCTACCCATGGATGCCATGCCACCGAACTCGTTGAAGGGGTAGATCTCCTCCTGGAAAACTTCCTTCTGCGTGTTGCACCATTCCTGAGTGATGGAGTTGCCTTTCTAGTAGAGATCATTAGAGGCTGTTTCGTGAAACCTTGGAAGATGATCACATACCATGCCAGGAATTGTTGGTTCGGGGTTGCTAATGACCTTGCCGTTCTGCACATAGAAACGCTTGATCTCAGTGAGTTGACCGGAGCCCAGGAACTGCGTGACCACTGTCATCTTCTTCGACGTGTCCACCCCGGATTTTCCCTTGCCGTAGAAGTCTTTCACACCGACACGGTATGGGTTGAAGTCACAACCATTCGCATCGCAGGTGCCAGCATAGCGGTCGAGCGAGTACGTACCACCGCATCCATCATCTGTACAGACATTGTACCCCTCGGGCTGGCAAGAATGCGGGGTCAAAGCCGTGGAAATGGAGTTCGCCTCCCAGATATCCATCTCGGTGCTGGGCTGCATCAGATTGGGCAGTCTAAATAGGCAATTCTACTCACCAGCATGCGCCCTTCTTACCAATGCCTGCGTTAGGATCAGATTGGGATGCCTGCCAACCTTCGGCATTGGCTTGACCGTCGATGTACTTTAGGTCTCGAGCACATTGAGCGTCGCAGTATCCTGAGGTCAATTAGACTCTGGTCTATAAAGGTACGACCAAATATCCTACCAGTTCCGTACTTTGCGCCCGGAGCTCCATGGCCCTTTTGTGGCATGGATACGAAGTACAAGGCTCCGTTGAGGCCGCATGGCAACTGTGAGAGATCCACGTCGAAGGTGAATTCATTCCCGATAAGGTTAAACATCTATGTCGCGGAGAAATTAAATCATTAATTCGTCGCCATTATGCTTGAGGGTTTCTCTTACCTCGTAGTTATTTGCATCCTTCATGAGATAAGTGCGCGATCCAATGTTGGTGGAGTACTGGCCCTTGGTGATGAACTTGAGAGTAAGAGAGTTACCCGAAGTCGTGATGCCATATGTACCACGGTAATCCGAGCCCTCAATGGCACAATTCTTTGTACAGGCTGCGTTGTCTGGACAAGCAGTGGTGTTCCACTCGTTTCCATCGAAGCAGTTGGTGTATCCATTCACAGAATGGAGCCATCGCCAGTTGGCATCGATGACAATTTCTCCGTTGACGTTGGTACAGCTACTACCGCCTTTGCCTGTGCAGCGCTGCCAGGTCATCTTCGGATGGGTCTCCGTCTGCTCCTTGCCGATGACCCAGCTAGATGCGCGATTGGCGCAAAAAGCCAGAATTACCGCCACAGCAGAAGTTGACAACATGATTGGGAACAAAGGTTTGAAGCACAATAAATGATTTGGGGTGTTACATCATGCCTGAATGATGCGATGCTGTCAACTTATACGACAAGTGCACAGCATCAACACTATCCATCCTCGAGTGCCCAAGAACAGATCGCATATTGCCCAGTCTTGAGATGGCCAAAGATGAGCTCATTCAATATAAGAGCTGATCATGCGATATTCTTCCAACGAAACGATAGAGTCTTCACCCGCCTTAGGTGCTAAAAGGTCATCAACGACCACAGTCAAGCAGTCTCGTCGTCGCGTGGCCGAATTTCGAGAAAGCTGCTCAAATGACTTCCGTCTCGGCGATGTGCGATTCGTGTGGTCGTTGCAGTGAAGCCAAGATACCGTCCTTTTGTATATGGGGTCCATAGCCGTGGCGCTAGAAGTTGGGTGCGGGGTTAGCATGCGGTAGACGAATCAAAGGTAGTATCTCATTGTATCAAGAGCGCAATGATAGCTTAGCATTCTTGGTGTCTTCCCCGGATTATTTGTAGTCTTGGATCTTGCTCAGGGTAATTTAGAGGCAGAAAATGGGCAAGGTATATCGCGCACGCTGCGATGTGTGGAATGCGGGGTTGTAGATGAATTGTGACTATTTTAATTCATTCCACTGGTTTCATTGGCGGGTCAAATACCTACTCGTTGGCATTCAGATCATGCCCTGCTTTGGTATCTGGGCGGCTTTAGTATGGGATCCAGCTTGGAATCTTGTTCCGCCATAACTCCACGATGCGATCCTGAGCCGACGAAGTGCCGCGACCTCATACGGGGAAAGATCCAAAGTGCCGAGAGCTTGGACTCCAGTGTTCGATATGACAGCTAATATGATGACCAACCATGACACCGTGTGATCGCAGACATCTCGTCGTATCCGTAACTCAGAACGACAGGCTATGCAATAACTTTCGAGTATGGGAGTGTGCTACCGTCGGTCCTCATAATGTCGTTGCTGTCGTGCACCAAGACGGGATGGCACTGAGCGGTACACGTAGGTCGACTGCGATCGTGGCCAGAGATTTGACAAATCACAATCGCTATTTGTTTTTTGAGCTGGAGTCGCGATGTGTATGCGCTACACCGATTCGTGAGAGGACGCCTAGAGGGTTCGTACTGAGATAGTCCATCGCAGAGTGGGTTACGGCGCATTCCACATGTGAGAGAGATCTGCTATAGAGGTAAGCTGGAAGCTACGAGACTGTTACGGGATTCAGATGTGTTGCACTGTCGAACCTCAACTTAGGTCGGTCGTCGCGTTGTGTAGGATCGGTGGCCAGTCGTCGCGTCGCAGGAGATGGGCCTTCGCCCGCCTTGGCGCGACGCGTGGCGTTATCGTTCTCTTCATCATCACCTCTTTCCGCCACAGAATCTCAATCGTGACCCATTCATCTCGTGCCCACGGCTAATATTAGTGATTCATGTTCTCGACGTTGATACAGGAATGTATAAAGATAAGCGCTTGATGCACCTACTACAGCCGGTCACACATGAGCAACTCCACGGATGTCGGAGAGTTACTCAACAATCGATATTCGTCGCCAAACACTCTCAGCAGCACACCAGCTATAGCGCTCATATCTGTGGTCGGAGCTGAATGTCACTATCATCCGACGGCTTCGAAAAATCAATAGACATCGCTTCTGAGGGACATCCTCGAATCATGGGCTATAAGAGTGTATTGACCGTCTCCGGGCATGAAGCCTGATCTCGGACGTATTGGAGCGAGATCTACTGCAATCCCAGCTGCATAGATGTCTGCGTATTAGTATCAACTCGAGTGGGGGCAGCTGCAATCTCCTTGCGATACCTTCGCCTCTGAATCAAGCCCCGCATGTCACCACGGTTCTCCACAAATATGGTCGCATCTTGAAGACTGCGCCATGTCTCCATCCTTTTACCTTTCCTCCATGCCGACCGTGGCGACCAACACTCCCCGGTCGTCTCACGTTTCCACAGTGGCAATCATTATTGGCTACCGAGTCAAGCTGATCTAACCCAATACAGCAGGCACACTATGCATTGCGCCCCTAAAGACGGTTTTGCGGACTTTTCCTCGAAACATAGAAACTTCCGAAGAGCTATGGCGACCGTGTGCTGCATGTTTCCAGGGATTAGCCGGAAGCCTGGGTTCAGTCCTGTACATGGAGACGGGCCAGGATATAAGACGCCCTCCATCACCATGATTATGAGGATAGGCCGCCTTCGTCAATCTCAGCGACATCTCCCGTAAGATGAAGACCCTCACTAGATGCCTCACATGGGCAGGTGTGATAATTCCCTTCGTCGCAGCCCAGAACGCGAATGTTACGTTGGTCCCAGCAGCTACCGGTTTCGAGAACGATAACACCGACTTCATCTACGGAAAATCGCCTCTTTTGGTTTCCAACGATGGAAGTGCTGCCGACGGTGGCTTCCGGACGTTCTCAGTGTCCAATACCTCGAGCTTAACTGAGAAATCCCACCAAAAGACTGGCCGCTCGAAGATCGCTGTAGCTGTCCAAGACGTTGGTGGCCGGGACTTGATCGTCAATATCCCGGCACCCGATTCGTTAATCAGGATCTTCGATGCTAAGAACGGAACAGAAGTCAAAAGCAACGATAAGAAGCAGCTCGGAGATTGGAGCACCGCGTGTGTATGGCGTAGCCAGAAGAGTGGGGAGAGCTACATCTTCATGTTTGGAAAGAAGATGGTTGTACAGTTTTTGATTCGCAGTAGCAAAGCGCAGGTTGAGATTCTGGAGGTTTGAATGCTCTTTTGGCCTGTTAAAAGATGAGTACTGACGATGACATAGGTTCAGACATTCCCTGTTGCTATTGAAGGCGAGACTTGCGCCGCGTTTACGGATGGCCAGATCTACTTTTCCGCTGAGGACAGACCTCTGTACTCGTTTCAAGCATCCGAAACTACCCAGGCACCCGAAATCAAGACTGTGGTTGAGGACATTGAAGTAGCAGGACTTGCTGCTTACCACAGTGCGTTGACTGACTATTTGTTCGTAGCTCACGACGATGTCATCGATGTGTACGATTCCGACATCAAGCAGAAAGGAAGCATTACATTAGGCGGTATTTCTGAACTCTCTATTAAGGGCTCGCTTGCCATACTTCAGTCTTCTGTGGCCGGTTACCCATCTGGCGCCTTCGCATTTGCTTTCGAGGGAGAAGATGATACTGGGGTGGTTGTAGGCTCCCTGGACGGGGCGCTCGCTGCCCTGAGCATCAAGCCAAACACCCAATACAGTCCCGCGAACAAAGCTTGCAAGATGTGCGAAAGCTCCATCTCCAAGACGTGTTCTAGCAACGGCTTTGCATCTGGAAAGAGCTGTTCTTGTTTCGCCGGCTTTGCTGGCGACGACTGCTCCAGGTCCACCTGCGAAAACGATTGTTCAGGCCATGGCAATTGTGTTGGCCCAAATGTCTGCAAATGCAAAGGCGCTTGGACTGGTCCAGACTGCTCTTTCGTTGCAGTTAAAGCAAAATACGAGACTGAGGCCAACGGCGGAGACGGCGATGATCCCGCAATCTGGATACATCCCACTAGGCCCGACCAAAGCAAGATCATTACGACGACCAAGTCTGCAGAGGGCGAGGGTTTCGGTCTCTTCGACTTACAAGGAAAGCTTCTTCAACATTTGACTGCTCAGAAGCCAAACAACGTCGATGTCATCTACAACTTCACTCTTGGTACCCGGAAGATCGACCTCGCGTTCGCGGCGTGTCGCGGTGACAACACTATGTGGTGAGTAGCGTCGTAAAAGTTTTTAAATATTTGCTGACGCACCGTTAAGCCTCGTTGAAGTCAACAGCACAGGCTACCTTAGCGACATCCCTGGCGGTGTTCAAACGTTGCCAGATGACTATGAGCCCTACGGCTCCTGCAACTACCGTTCTCCGACCTCTGGCAAAGAGTACCTCTTCGTCAACAACAAGGAGGCCCAGTATCTCCAGTACGAACTCAGTGCCACCGCTAACGGCACCTTGCAAACCACCCTCGTCCGCCAGTTCCAAGGTGGCTCGGGCGGCCAAGTCGAAGGCTGCGTTGCTGACGAAGGGGCTGGCTATCTCTTCATCGGCGAAGAACCACTTGGCATCTGGCGCTACGAAGCAGAACCAACTGGCTCCGACACAGGTGCTCAAATTGCCCAGGTAGGCGATGCGAGCGGACTTCATGCAGATGTTGAAGGCATCACCCTTGTGCCAGCCAAGTCGGGTCCAGATGGCTACATCATCGTGTCCTCGCAGGGTATCTCAGCGTATCTGATCTACGAGCGCGCACCACCTCACAAGTACGTCGAGACCTTCACCATCGTCGACAACAAAGAGAAGGGTATCGATCACGTTAGCAACACAGATGGATGTACTGCTGTCAGGAACGCGCTGAACAAAGACTTCCCGAATGGGCTGTTCGTCACGCATGACGATGCTAATGAGCTGGCCGAAGGAGGTACAGCGGCAGAAGCGAGTTTCAAGTTGATCAGTCTTGTTGATATCTTGGGAAAGGAAAGGGCAGCGAAGTTGGGGTATTAGAGGCGGACAGTCTTCTTAACTATACCATACAGACATTTGCTTGGCGATCCGTTCTATAAATACCCCAGAGTACAGCCTTCGAGAAATGATAGCTGATGCGAAGATCGCCGTCAGCCTATTCTTTAGGTCAACAGTGCAGCCATCCTAACAGTCACCTGATCCACTCATTCACCACAATGTATGACCCTGTTGGTTCAACTGGGTTACGCCTCCCGCTCATCCAAGTCTTCAGACTCTCCAAGAGTCGAGAGGCCGCCCAAGCGAGACTCAAGACACTTCATCTCAGCCTGGGCTTCCTCTTCCTCTTTCTTCTTTTGTTCACGCTCCCTCTCAGCCTCCTCATCCCTCATCTGCAACTCACTCAACCACTGTAGTCGTCGCGCACGATCCTTGAAGGTGGCTTCCAAGGCTTCGTCATTAAAGTGTTGGTACGGCATCTGTGCTGCATTGTTGGTCAGCACGAGGACAGAAAGACTGAAGTATGTTACTTACCACGATGACGCTTTTGGTAGTGATTACCCAGCGAAAACTCGTACTCCCAGGGATCAAAATGCAGATTCGGCCAGAATTCGGTAACTGGACTCCGGTGCCTGGTTACACTGTGTGACTCATCGCCAAATTCCCACTCCGTGTGGTCTCCATACATCTCCGCTACGATGGTTATGTTGCCGCGTCCGCGCGTGTCCGCATAGCCTCGTAGCTGCGCGAGTTCAGTATCGCGGATCAAACTAGCCATACCTTCTTCGTCTGATGTGGTTCCATAGCTAGTTTCTGTACCAGCTTGGCCGGTCGGGACATAATAACGAATCTGCCAGTTTGTCATGGTGTCTTTGGCGAGCAGGTCAACGAGATCGCGCATAGCAGCGATAGGTACGCAAGGATGTTCGACACAGATCTTCGGCCACAACGAGAATAGATGGTCCAAGTGCACTGTTGCATGTCGCTTTCCTAGCCCATGTTTAATGTATAGGTCCCGTGACTGCGGCATGTATTGCTTGATGGCTTGGTGAAGGGTGTCGAGCAAGGTAGAAGGGTTGTACTCCTCTCCATTCGAGTCATGGAGACCCTTAACGCGGTATCGGCGCGCTCCAGGACCATGTTGCAGTTTACATACCTGTAAATCCATCTGTGCCGATAGATCGATATGCAGATGAAAGTGGACGTTCATGAAATCCATCACTGACGCTGCGATGGTGTCTGTGGTCTCTTTGCTTAAGCCGTAGTCTTCCTTCAGGACGCCTCCGTAGTCAAACTGCATCCCAGCCATAACGGGAACATACGCGACTTGCTTCTCGACGATGTAGCTCCGCGCCTCCTGGTAGACTTGCGAGCATGTTTGTAGAAGAGTGACGAAAGGGTCAGGCTTGTTGAGGTGGTACCGGTTCAGAGGCACACGCTGGTATTCCTTGTTGAGGGCGAGGCCGTAGATCTCGTTTCGCAGTTCGCCAGAGAGATCGAAGAATGTCTTGCGACCTGGAACGAGCGGTTTTGCGTCTTTGTGCACGATGGTCAAGCGGCCGACTGTGGCTGTAGTATTGACCGGCATCTCGGTTTTCTGGTCTGTCAAGTGCTGTTCCGTGACGAAGACTGCTTTGCTACCCATGATGTCAGCAAACTATTTGTAGGTTTACATTCACGAGCAAATTTGATCGCAAAAGAGGTTCAGTTTGGTGTTTCAATGGTGTAGTGGAATTCGAGCAGAGCTGTAGGTATTGAAAGAAAACTCTGCCGATGAAGTGAATGTTGAGAGGCGAATCACTGCGTAGCCGCATGAGGCCCAGTCTGAACAAGGAAGCGCTTAACAGTGAGAAGTATTCACGCGCTGTAAGACGTGTCATCACAAGTCAAGCTACAAATCACCGGCTCACAAAAGCTTTGTTGCTAATAGGATTATTCTTGCGGTCGCGCCTTTGAGTTCGCGTGATGATGGTCTTACCCTAGGTGTGACACTTATCAAGAGTCGTAATAGAAGAAGGATCAGTGCCGGACGCGAGATATCTCACGCTAGTGTACCAAAGACACGCCTGTGAAATAGGCCACTAGACGTGTCTTGCTGGCTCTATCAAGATAATCAACGTACTTACTGCTTGGACGCTAAATCTCTATCTGTGGGTCAGACATTCATCCACAAATCTCAACCGCTAGCGCAAGATCTACTAAACAGGAAATGCCTTGAGCCCCGCCTAATTGCTAGCCAACGTTGCTGTTCACACACAATCGCTACAAATCTTTCAACGTCACCCCTGCCACGCCCACCTTTCACTTTCCACCTTCACCTCATCCCGCACGTACCCCATGACCGGCAGAACCACGGGTCCCAGCGTGAGCACAGATATCCGGCCCAGCTGTTCTTCCGATCACGTGCTAGCCAAGCGACAACTCCCTTCTGCCTATATAATCAGCAGATCCTGCCTCCCTCTTACACCCCACACACCACTTCTCTAGGCCTTCTTTACATTTCCCGCTTGGAAGAGAGACTCACCAGCAGTGGACGCATTGCTGGGTATCGCTTGGATGCGAGTCATCGGACGTCGCGAGGAGGGGCGCGTCTCACGGTGCTTGGTCGCCGTGTTCCCATAAGCTTTTTCATTGATGCATCTGGCTTGCCAAGACATTGAGGAAGGAGGGAGCGGAGTGAAGTGAAACAAGGTTACATAACCTTTTGCGTAGTGTGTCTGAACATGGTCGAATGAGTCGAACACAAGCTCAGTGGATTCTATTTTGGACATCTTTCTCCATGATGTAGACCCTGAAGAAAGACGCGTTACCTAGTAAAATACTTTATCGCTGTCATCCAGATAATCCATGGAACGTGGCTCGTCTGTATACTCCAGATTATTCCAGAGTTTTAAACGGGCTTCATCACCATCGCTACCAGCTAAACTCCTTACTATCTCCTCAATCCTCCCCTCGTTGAGTCTTGTATCCCAGTCTTTGGCCGAGTCGTATTCCTTACGAAGAAACTCAACGGTAGAGTCAGGTGCTCCGGTCCTCTCTTGCCATGCATCTAATTCTGCTGGCACGTGGTTGTATGCGGCGATATAACTTTCATACTTCGCGATCCAGTGGCTTGCGAGGCCCTCGAATGATGCAGGAGGGAGGAGGTGTTTACTGTTTTGGGCGCAGTAGGCGTAGGCGTCGGCACGAGATTGTTGATATGCCAACTGCAGCCAGTATCGTTCGAGGTTGAGCTGGGAGATGCACCTCGAGAGCAGATCTGGATGCAATTCACGCTGCTCACACATTATCGTGGCGTTGGGCTCTAGTCGTGCTTTTGCGTATGTATTCTCCAGTTTCCGGAACTCCCATAGGATCAGGTCTTCTTCTTTAACACATACATCGTTTGAACATAGCCGCCGGATGAGCTGTTTCGCGTCTTCGAAGTCGCTTTCTTGTCGGTCGACCTCGCGCCTTAAACTCCCTCCGCAGAGCATATTTGTCCACAGCGAGGGACCGTCGGTTAAATTTCCGGTTTCGAGATCTCTGAGTTCATGTTCATATTTTCGTAGTTTTCTTTTTCCATGATAAATATTGAATGGATCATCCGGATTGTCCTTATGGTCCTTGATTTCCCGGAAAGCACCTTCTGCCCAGCCTCGTCCTGATGGTTTGTGCTGCGCCCGAATGAAGTCGGATCTGAACTGATCAACGTCGAATTGATCAGGCCAGCCGTTTTTCAGTAATAGAGCTGATGTGATGTTGCTGGGCAGAACGTTCTGTTGATGTCGGGAGTCCATCCACTCCGATGTCTCCCACGGTGACCATGCTCTGCTCAGATATGCGTCTCTGATCCTCTTTAAGAACGTTGGTGCATCGGTCCACTCTCTCCAGTGACGGCTGTGCCTATCCACCGACAGTTGCCTTGTTGTGTTATCGTCTACAAAGATGGGCATGTCATTTAAATTATGTTCTCGCCCGTAACTAATGTATGGTAAGTTTGGCGAGAAATCGCTATAGTGATGACTATAGGGCTCCCATTCCTCACCCTCGTAGACTCTTATCATATGCTTTCTAGTGTCGTATTGTAGTTTCCAGGTCCTGTAGTGATCCCGGTCCTCCCAGCCGCCTTCGGTCAAATGGACTATTCCCGGTCTCATGACATATGCGAAATCGTCCTCTACCCAACCCGCGTCACAAGCGATGTTCAAATCACGATCCTTCCGAAAGTCGATGAATGTACCGCCCCAAAGCCAAAAGTCGTGCCCAGATAGGCTAGTGTTGACGTATGGGAGGATTTCCATCAAGCGGAAGTCGGCTGCGTCGAGCTTGCACGGACTGGCTGTAGTGTTGATCTGATGAGGACCACGCTCGATGGAGTCATGCGGGATGAAGGATATTTTGGCCAGGACGGTGTAGATCTCTTCCATCAAGGTAGCGACCTCTTGGAGCTGGTTTTCATCGTAGGTATCAACGGTCTGGATATCGAGGTCGTTGTTATGGACTGACGCTAAGCTTGTGGCTGCGAAGGGGTTGTAGATGCAGCGTAAGCCCAGAAGCACGGTCAATACGACAACAAACACCACTAATGGGTCTCGATATCGTTTTCGCGTGGTAGAGATGCAAAGAGCTTCTGGATGTGGGTTTTCGTGATGCTGTTTAACTATTGGTGACGACATGGTGATTTGAGGGCTCGGAAAGCGGTTTCAGTGATTTATGACCACACATGATGAAATGGTGAAGGGATCCTGCCAACATTTTGTACGAGTTTTGAGGACAGCTGTAGAGAAGGTAGATGGCAGGAGGCCTGACGCGGTTTGACACGCTTGCACGTGCGCGCGCCCACATTTTCGACGATGAGTGGGCGGGAACAGGGCAGCCCCTCCACAGGCAACAGTATTCCGAGCTCGATACGACACCTGTCACCCGATGTTCAACCTGGAAGAGAGGGCCTGGGTCTGAACAGCTGGGCAAATTTGGTAGCAACATGTCTGATGGGGCCTCTGTAGGGAAATTGGATCAGTTACCGGCTGAAATGCTCGAGTTCACGCTCCTCAAGACGTCAGGCTCGCTTGCACCACGACTCGGCCGCCTGTCGTTCCCCGGACGCAAGAGCATTCTTACACCCGCCTTCATTGGCAACACGTCACGGGGCGTCATCCCTCATGTGTCGCAAGACAACTTCCGGAGCAGCGCCGGTGTTGGTGGAGTATATGTCGCGCTCGAGGACTGTACGTACCTCTGCGGATAGCGCACGCCTTCTCTAACCGCTGGCAGTCATTGAGAAGCATCTACACAAGACTCCCCCGATCTTGAAGTATGACGTCCCGGAGCCTTTGCGCAGGTTCATCACCCTCCCCGACGACACGCTCTTGGTCCTAGGGGCGCGTCGCAACCCACCCATCCCGAGCCCTCACTCGAACTCCAACACGGAGATACGCATCTTGACGTCGGTCGGCTTCACGACTGTCAGCTCCGAATATTATGCTGCTGCAGCACGGAAGCTGCAGCCAGACATCGTGGTCGGGCTGGGGGACATAGCATGCGGGCAAGAGGCCATCAGTTTGAAGCGGAAAGACAAGATGAGCGACAGGACCGAGGTATGGCTGCGCGACATTGTGGCCAAACAGGGTACTATTGAGAAGGGAGAGAAGGCATGGAGCATATTCGCGCCCATACTGCCCATCGAGCGCGATTTACAATCATGGTATCTCGAGCACTTGTTGGATGACATGGTGGACAAGATCAGCGGCCTTGCCATATACGACGCATATCTGCTCCATGACCTGCCCGATCAGCTTCACCACCTTCCACGGCTATCTTTCCACGTCCCTGCAAGCCCACATGAGCTTCTGCGCCATGTCAGCTTAGGCGTCGACGTCTTCACCGTGCCCTTCCTCGCAGACGCGACCGATGCAGGCATCGTCCTCGACTTCACCTTCCCACCGCCCGCCCGAGATACAAACACAAGCGCGCGCCACTCCCTGGGCATCGACATATGGAGCGGCGACCATGCCCTGTCTGTCACCCCATTATCTCAAGGCTGCAAATGCTACGCCTGCACCAACCATCACCGTGCCTTTCTTCAGCATTTGCTTGCTGCCAAGGAGATGCTTGGTTGGGTGCTTATCCAGCTGCACAACCACGCCATGCTCTCTGCCTTCTTCGCCGGTATTCGCTCTTCCATCGAAGCCGGCACCTTCGACGCCGACGCCGCTGCTTTTGAAGCCTACTATGAGCCTACCCTCCCCGAGAAGACCGGCCAAGGACCGCGCGTCAGAGGATACCAATTCAAGAGCGAATCGCATGACCCCAATAGGGTGAAGAAGAACCCTAGAGCTTTCAAGAAATACAGCGAGGATGATATCCTGAGGTTGAAGGCAGCTCACGGACAACAACCAAATGATAAACCTGCAATGCGGGACGTGATTGATGATGAGGCCCTATTGGGCTTGGTGGAGATGGAACAGTCCCCAGTCGACGCAGACCCGGCTGTGCAATTGAATGGCTTGAGATTGGAAGACGACAAGAGAGGCTAGCTCATGCAGGTATTCCCTTAGATGGCCAAGTACACCGCCCTCCTGTTACAAACGACCTCCCACCTTCCGCTTGACATCCCGTCGATTGATCGCATATATGCTCACATTCGCAAGCTTCATACTTCTTTGTCCCGCACGCATCGCCAAGACACTGCCACCCTTGGTGTACCTGCGGCCATTGCATTTCGAATTGAATACAATCAGCTGGAACATGTTTCGTATGAGCGTCGTGTGCACTAATTTTGGATTCGGATCGAAGATGTCCACATGCATCCAAACAATTATGTCGTCGTCACTGGGAATTTCCTCCCCCCAATCTGTCGACATTTGATATATGCCTTTTTCCAGATCGAGCATGACGGTGCCAACGTTTAACCACATGTTATCCATTGAGAGGACTGCTTCCTGGCCCATGTTGCAGGTCACTTTGAATGAGATGTTGTCAGCGAAGGTTGTAATCCGGTCGTCGGCCGATGTTTGCTGGTCATGCGTGGCGTTGTCTGGTACCCTGGCATTAAGGGTTGTTACTGCCTGCGTCGACACGTCTTGGTCGATGTTCCTTTCCAGCTCTCCTATTCTGGCACCGGGAATGGTGTTGAATGACGATGGTAATTGCAAGGTAACATTGACCTTCTCCGCACCGTCGTGTCCGTCGGAAACTTCCGTCAGATATGATACGTCGCTGAGGCTGGTCGGCATTGAGACTGAGTGACTAGCCCAAAAGAGAAGAAAAAGATGAAAGATCATCTTTTCGTAGGATAGTAGTGCTAGGTGATCGAGTGTAGACATGTCACTGCCAGGTTTTATGTATCAACACACTGTGTTACAATCTCATAGCTATAGTGCTTCTACAGTACTCCAAATACTGCATAGACGTGCACCATACTCGTGTCATCAAGAGTGACTATCCTAATGGTGTTGACAAGTATGTGCGACACGTTAGAAGTGACGGTACAACGGTCAAAGTGACTTCTACGCCATTTCGGGTAAGAATCGACCATCGCAGAGGTCACTTGCTGAAAACTGTCACAGGCGCTGCTACTGCTCGATCATATGCTTATTGCTGCGTGTCACTTCCTGCATGCTGACTGGAAAGATCCTCCACTACTGCTTTACAACTGAGATTTGTCCAGGTGACTTAGTAAAAGCAACGAATTTTCAAATCTCGTATCACACAGTATCACTAGCGTTCTGTAAAGCATCCGAATGGAAACCCCTGAATCGGTGTTACTAAAAGATGATGCAGTGCGCATGTGCTGCACAACTTCCTTCGCGTAAGAGGCAACGATACACGTCGCGCGAGGTTCGAGACATTTGTGGCACTTACCACAGTCGTGGCTTAACCCCTTATCACAACTCCGAAAGACTTCGAGTTCAAACGTATCACAGACCCATGTATTGTAGTGGACTAAAGGTTGTCAACCGAACGTGAATGACAAGCTAACAATCTTTCGCGACGCAACTATGCGACAGCAATCTACCATTGATCTCCCTGCTCAACCTCGCTTTCACCAGTGTCAAATTCCGAAATCTCCAGTCGCCAGTTGCATCGCTCCGAGCGGGTATTTCATGCTAGATCGCATTTAGTGGATGATATTCTCGCACTTCCAGCAATGAAAATGCGCACACGATGTGCATTGGGCAGGGTGGTCGTTTGCAACATTGTCGTTACCGCATTGATGGCAGTTCCAGCTGTAAGCTACAAAGTCGGTCAGATATTCGATGAAAGAGCTGAGTGACATGTCGATCTTAATGCGATGTTGATTGTGTGAAAAGGGTCAGTGTTGATGTTTGTGCTTGAGGTTGAGGACAAACATTTTATAGTAGAGAGTGAACGATGTACTCATGAACAGTGTTGGTAGCTAATACAGTGTGATAGGGTCAAGCTCATGGGATGTGAATGCACCGTGCTAGTATATTGGGTGAAGATGCCCCTGAAAAAGAAGTGGACTATGAATTACTATTACCGTGCTGTGACAATCTTCGCGTACTTCTCGGGGTATCGTCTCATACATCCTCTGGCATTGGATTTTCTCAGCGCAGTGTTCTAGTTAGTGGTGCCATCTCTTTCAGGCCAGAGATTCGTTGGATTTCCTTGCTTCTGTTCTTTTTCTTAGACCAGGCAGCTGGAACCCTCGAAGTTTACTGAATCTACGCGTTGCGCTATCGCGCTCAGAAGGATCGCCCTGCTGCTCTTGGCGCACACTCGTTTGCGCTCCGTTGCGCTTCTCCCAGAACGTACGAGAAGTATAAAGGCTCAGGTATTCATTGAGTCTCTGCACGTTGATCAGTACAGTGAATGTCAGAAACAATGTAATGACAGCTGTAACCACCATTCCTTTTATGCTTTCGCTACGAGGGGATGAGTCGGCCATACTCCAGATTCCTGTAGCGAATCCAAGTGGCAGAAACACGGCAGTGAGGAACGTGAAATATCGAATGTTCTCTGCGTTCTGGAAGCTCAACTCGTCTCTTGTAGAATCGAGCCCGCTTGAGAGGGAGACTCTCAACGACTGGATGGTGGCTAGGCGATATCGCAAGTCTCGAATCGCATGCAAGTTCTCATTTGTGAGCTTCGTGATAGCAGCCCGATATCTTCCTTCGTCGTTTTTTGTCCATCGCGGCTCTTCGGGTCTTCGATCTGCTTTACGGGTGTTCCAAATGTCAATCTTCTCCAAGACTTCCTTGAGATCTTCCTCAGTAACTTGGAGAGAATATTGCAAGGCCGGCCATGTCTTACGAAACACCAGATAAGCACCGTTGTTCATCTGTCTAGAGAACAGCTCGTTCGAGATGGATACTATGTTCCCTTTGGCTTTCTCTTCTTTGATATTCTTGCTATCTGTTTTCGCTGTGTGAACAAACAGCCGCTCTAGCTGTTGACCTATCTCCCCTATAATTTCATCGTATCGCTGCGTTAGCTCCCGAAGCATTCGATCGAGTAAAAGGAGTTCCAGCACCTTCCGCTGCTTCCATGGCTCCTTGTGTCGCTCAAAGTCCAGCTTCAGCTCCCTCAGCTTGAGTATCTTGTCAAGCTTTTCTGTGGTTTCTTGCTCGTCCTCAGAAGCTAAGCCCGTCCATTTGATCGAGGGCGAAACAAACTCCGGTTCAGTCTCAAGAGCGTGACAGGTCCAATAGCGATCAAAGAAGTCTCCGACAAACCGAAATCCCGCACCTGCTCTTTCTATCAGTAAGTTGTTGTTTCCTAGAAACGGCATACCGGCTCTTTTGCCATTCCTTGGCTGATTAATAAGACGGTAGGATGAAAGGTGCAGCTCGGTCGTCCACAAGTTCGCAGTTGCAGTCACTTCATCGGAGAAGTATTTGGACTTGCTGTTGTGCCTTTCAAAGAAAAGGTTCAACGAATCTGACTCATCATCTGCAGACGTGATGCTGCAGAATCTCTTAGTATCTGTGTCGGGATTCGTGATCCATATAAGCCTTTTTTTGCTGTTGTGTACTGAACGCTCTTTTCTAAGCTTGTTGTACATATCTTCGTTGTCTAGCAGTTCAACATCAAGCAAAGGATCTTTATATTCCTTGCTACGGTCAGTCTTTGGAATGTCGATGATGACGCCATACGGTATGACAGTCGTGTCTTTGTATTTGGCAGTATCCTCGACAGGTACAGTGTCCTCGGCAGACAATTCAGGATGAAAAAAAGCTTGGAAACCTATAGAGCCATTCATCTGACAACTCAACTATGCTCTGTTGAACAATGACGTTGTTAAACGGTATCCTTTTCTTCATCGTCATTTGAGTCGGGTGCAGATCTGAGGCTAGTGAACTCGCAGGCAAATCTTTCTGACCTTGGGCGAGAGCATCATTGAATTCCTTCTGAACTTTAGAACGAATAATGCTCAGATTCCTCTGAGTGTGGGCAGGAACATAGCTAAAATCTTTCTGAACTTGGACGGGAACGTTGATCGATTCCTTTTGGACGTGAGCAGGATCCTTACTCAAGACGGATTGAAATAAGTCGGACTCTCGGCATTTCCAAAGTATGTAAGGAACTTCGAAAGTTCGATGCCAATAATGGTCTCTCCATTTTTCCTCATAGAACATCTCAGGCTCCTTAGTCAAAGGATCCAGTGCACCTGGAAAGAGCCCATTCGCAGACGAACTCTGGAGCAATATGTCTTTTGCAGCTGTGCGATCAATTGTCCCGCGCATGATATCGAGCGTGTATCGCAAGGGATTACCCCTGCCAAAATCTTCAGACTCCTCATGGAATTCCTGTACGTTCATAGTAGCTTTCCAGAGAGCATCGTGCTTGAAGAAGAATGCTGAGTTTTCCCTGTAGAGTAACGCGACATCTCGGGAGTGGAGATAAAACCTGTTCTCGACGGGTGATCGTGCTACAGCAAGCATCCTTTGTTTAGAGACAGGATTCTCAGTAGTGAACCGTCTCAAGACGTGCTTTTGAAAGACCTCGGGAGAGTATTCTGCATTCAACTTGCTCTCCACATTCTCGGAGCTCTCTTCCTTCTCAGAGCTCTCTTCGTATGCTCTACGCCGGCGTCGAGTTGATCGAAGCTTGAGATTTCCGAGCTCGTTGCCCCGGACCATGTCCCTGACTGCGCTAAGGGCTCTCCACATCCAAACGTGATCGTCCAACCGGAATTTATCTAGTGTTGTAGGGTCTGTTTTGGGGCGAGGGAATGCATAAAACCCTCGGGCGTTGGCAGTTTCGAGTACCTGAATCCAGTTGGTCGCAAGAGCCTTAAGCTCTGTTAAAAAGACGTTGTCCTTGTCCAAGTTGAACAGCCTTCCGTAATCAGCAAGCTTGATGAGTTGAAATGGTGTATCGGTCAAAGATTCTGCGCCCATGTGGGAGTTCGAATCACCTTTGATGATAAGTTTACCCGTCACCCAATAGTTGGCTCCAAAGCATCCATCGACTTTTTCAGCCTGTTTCAGCCAGGCTACATGCCCTCTGCATACTTTCTCAATGCGCTTTTGGAGACTTTCGATGCAAATACCTTTAAGGGCAAATTTCCGGTCCTCGCTAAACATTGTTGGTGGGCTTTGGTCCAACGCAGTTTGTTGGAAGGAACCTAGATGCTCGTACATCGATAAAAGAAACTGGAAAGTGAGACTGTATCGTCAATTACGTTGCAACGAAGCAGCTCAGAGTTTACGTACAAGCTTGCTGAGTTTACAATCCGATGTCCAGATATATCTCCACATGTGAGAGCTATCCCGTCCCGATCGGGTTGAGGTGTCGGAATACTGCAAACTGAAAGTATGTGTTCCAAGTTCCGTCTCATGATGAAGTCCATATGGACATTCCGCGATAATTCCAATCTGGTGAACGAAGTTTCTCTGAGCATCATGTGCATGGCGCAGAGGCTGTCTTGAGTAATGGGGAAACTGTTACCGTCCCAAAACTTGTCACGAACCAAGATCTTGTAACCCACCGTGATTTGGAGGGGATGACCTTGTACCACAAAGAATTCTGGAGAGTTGACAACTATGACGGGATCATCGTAGTTGTTACTGAGCTCAAGCGTTTGGGCTACACCATTAACAAAGATGGAGACAGCCAGGAAGACAGAATCAAATTTCTCCCATTCCTCGCACTCCTCGTCGCTCCGGAACAAGTCCTTATGTTCAAGTATGAATCCGTAACCATCTTCACTAATTCGATACGAGTAGTTTTCGCGAAATTCGTCCTCGTTGAATGAATACTAAGTATCGATAAAGTCCAAGTCTCGTATTCGCAGTTTAGCTGCCATAGTGATGTCTGATCCAGACGAATAATGGATAGGGTCTGATTTCGTGGACCACTGATACTGCTGGAAGATAGCACCTTGGAATGCGACATGTAGTATTTCGGCTGTGACGCGTTCATATTCCATTGTAATGAGTGGCCATCGGTCATAGATGAATTCGTGCCTTGATTGAGGAGACTCGTAGAGACTCAGGTCCGGACTGAATGTATACGCGCCCCCACTCGTTCCATTGACCTCACGAGCGCTCATGAGTTGTTCTGCCCGCCTTCGAACAAAATAAGGCTCGTATGTGTCAGGAAGATCTAAACATAAAAAGCCTGAGCGACTGGAACTGTGGGTCTGGGAGATTTGTATGAGATCTCCAAATGCGTTGAGACTCGCGGTTGTACCGTTATCCCCAAAGGATACCTATGGATGTGTCTCAAGGTAGTATTGTTTTTCGTGGGACTCTTGTTTGGGCATTGACGTGCAAATATCCGGGTTTAAGTTGTCTGGTCTCGATTCTTAGAGACTTTCACTCGAGTAGAAGTGTTCAAGCAAATTTACCAAGAAGGGAATTGCGGGTGTCAACTCTACTGGAGTGAAAGAGGTTTTGAGATTCCACAAGACGTGTGCTCTCGGAGTCATGTTCGCTCTTCGAAGACGCATGTGATACCGAGCTCGAACGAGGCTGGATTCGGAAGCTAGAATCTCTGTCCATATCTTCAAGTGCCATTGAAACGAAGAAGGACAATGGCGGAGAATCAACAAGACTGGAGAGCAACAGTGTCGTAGAGCAACGAGGCTGAAAAGCAACAAGGCTGAGGTACGGCAAGGCTTGGTCGTAGGCGACAAGATCAGAGGACTGACATCCATCTCCAAGTTGAATGCATTGCGTCCAGGTATGTTATTAAATAGACCGAAACCCAGCAATCTAGCCGGATCTGAGCGCCTGCCTTTCTCTAGCTTCGCACGTCTTGTTCGGCGTTTACTGACCTGGAAAAGGTGGTGTTCCAGGTCCGGCTTTCTTTTTCGCTAACGAATCCTCGAATCATGAAGGATTGCATTATATGCAAGTGAGATTGACGCTGCACTCTTAGCGCCTACACGCCCCACCTCTGATTGAGTTGACGCACGAAGCAGTGCGAGAGGTGCATTGTTTGCTGCGAATGGCTTAGCTACTTCTGCTTTCATAGCTGCCGTTGTGGGTACGCGGCTCGTATCGCAGATAGTGTATGCATACGAACCGGGGCTTGTAAGACTGAGTTGATTATTGGCAGATCAATACCAAAATGCTCGATAGTGTATGACAGATGCACAACAGGTGTTGCGTATGTGTTCGGCTGCGTACAAAAATGCAACAGCCGTTCAACAAATCAATATACTCATACTACATCCTGAAGGTATACGTTGTGTTCCATGTCGATGCAGTGAAGAACGCAACTTGATATATACCTGTACCGCAAAATCTGTACAGTCGGTACAACTGATGAAAGAAGAGCTCCTTCGTAAGTTTTTTGTAGTAAGGCGAGCAGAGTTCAGGCGTCCATATACAAGCAGGGGTCGTTGCATTGCTGACAGGCAAGCGCTTACTACAGGAGATACTAACCGTATGGTTAAGAAGCGATATAGCACCAAACACGTTGCCGTTTAAATTGCTTCCTCGACTTGCGCGTTCTCTTGTTGGGTCTTGATATCTTTTGCAACTTGTCTTGTACACCATGACTGATCTCATTTCCGTCGAGGAACCCACGAAATGGGGCAAAGCCACCGAGACCTCAGCAACTCGCTACAGTCGCACCAATGCACCGCAACATGGGTTGGGCAATAGCCTCAGCACCATGATGAAGATATCAGAAGGCCAACACGTCCTTGTAACCGCCTGCGGCCCCGGAAGCGACGCTCTCGCCATCGCGCGAATCGTAGGCCAGTCCGGCAGAGTCGTAGGGTTCGATCTGGACAAACACAGCATCGACCGGGCTCGGGAGGCTCTAGAAAAACACCCAGACCTCAAGCCATATGTGCAGTTTCATGTCGCCGACGCGCACGATCTCTCCATGTTCGCAGGACAGACGTTCGATGCCATACATTGCAACGCGTCATATCACTGGTTCACCAACAAGCCTCTTTTCCTTGCGCAAGTTGCGACTCTCGCAAAGCCTGGCGCTGTTATTGGAATCGCGACCCAGGACCGCAACTTCCAGCCGCCCATGCTGGATATTCGAACCGAAGTATTGGCGGAACTCGGTGAGAATGCAACCGACTTCATATTCCATCCGACTCCAACAGAAATGCGACGTGACCTAGGCGCCGCTGGATTCGGCGATGCGAAGCTATTAGGATACTACGGCACGTATGTGCTCGAGAGCGCGGAGGCCATGTGGAATTGGGTGAACGACAGCTCGGGCAATCGATTCGGTAATTACTTGGAGGAAGGGAAGAGGGAGCGGATGAAGCAGATGATGCTGGACAGGTTTGGCGGGTTGGCTTTGAAGGACGGAAAGGTGGTGATGCAGTTCAAGCACATTGTTGCAATGGGGCACTATGGTCGTTGATGTGTCAGTTTTTGGCTCAGAAAGATACTCAAAGCTCACTCAGATTCGAAGCTAAGAAACGTGTGCATGTGCGCCTCATGCGTTTGGCATCGTTGCATTTGGTGACATCAGCGTCGGGATCTAACAACGTGACTGCCTCCATAATCGCGGTCTATGCTCGTATGTTTGTAAGACAGCAGTTGATGCATAGTAACGCGGTATGGTCATGTTCCAATAGCATGATAAAACACGCACGATTCGGACATGGGTTTGTGGGTTTGTGATGGTTGGGGAGTGGAAGCCATGACGGAGGAGAGCTCGCTTTGGAATCGAAGCTAGCCTGTGCGCCGCGGCCCCGCCACCTTTCCTCTTCGCCAACCCGCCGCCGCATCTCTACACGACCTCACGACCCATCGATAGCGCACCTCTTGTCTTGTGACTAGCATCAGCTGCACTTTTTCTTCCTTAATGGCAATTTTGTAATTGCTTGCACGAAAAGCTGCAAATAGTCGCCCGGATGACGGACACTTTTGAAGTTTTGGATCAAATGACAAGCATAGTCATGGCTGGTGCGAAGCTGGACATCAAGTCCCCAAGATTTGTTTATTGATTTGGGGAGAACTTGGCCCTATTTCGTATGAGCGGGATATTTCCATCTTTCTCGGAACATGTTGTTAATGACCCAATTGTCTTAGTTTGCCCTACAAGGATCAGCATACCATTCTCCACACCTGACGAGCGCACATGAAGTGCAGCACATCGGAACATCTACCTTCCCAGAAGATGGCTTTGTCGATTTGCCAGCATAAACTATAGAAGTTAATGTAGTAGTTGGCCTCCACGCCTCCATGAAGAACTCCCTCGGTCTCTACGTCCTCGATCCTGCTGGACATCGTGCTGTCGGATGGTGTGATTCCAACAACATATGCCTGTCAAAACCGGATCTGCCCAGTTATTTCTTCCATGACAGATACCTTGTTCTTCGCTCTTGTTGTAGCTGTTCTGAAATCTGCCTTCAAAGCATTGCGATCATCATCGTTTTTTCTCAGCACATGCTCGATGTGGAGATAAGGCGATTTTCGATACTCTCTTCGAAGCCTTCTTCTTGTTGTACCATAATTCTCTACCTCGTCTATCATTAGGAATACAAGGAAGATGCGTCACGCACGTTAAGGAGCTGAGTTCACTTTAGTAGGCTTCACCTGCATCTATCTTGCAAGGTCAAAGCTAGCAATGCAGCTAGCAGATGAAGGTAGTCTTGAAGCGGTTTGATATGTGCAATACGAAGTAATGCTAAGCAGCCTGCAGGAGGAAGTCATGAACGACAGGCCTAGAAAGATACGTCTTGCGCGAACTCTCAGTACTTAATGATTCCAGATACGACGGATGACTTCACTAATCGCCTTCTTGCGTCTACACAACAGTAGCATTCTTCAATGGCCAGTTGATACCCTTATCCGCTGCTCCCGTGTTTCCCAACCCTGCACAGTTGTACAATCCGACAGGGTTGTTCTGCGTAGCCCTCAGATATTGTAAATCAACACACTGCTGGGTACCGCTGCTAGCGACGAGAGCAATACGTCCATCGGACATGGCGTTCCAGGTCTGCTGTTCGCTTCCCGCTACGCATTCGCGGAGGTAGATGTTAGCCATGTCTTTCCAACCGGACTTAGGCCCAGCATCCATGCAGAGAGTGGTGGATGCGAGTTGAATGGACGTAGCGTTGTTGGGCGCCTTGATATACCATGATTGCTCTGGAGTAGATGTAGTCCTTTGCCTGAAGCTATCATTAGAAGAGTCGCACAGGTAATAGGGGGTGAAAATGATCCTTGGCCTTACACTACCAGGGTTGCTCCTGCAGTTCGCGATTTGGGTACGACGACGAATTTGGTGTCCTGCGCAGATGTTATGTAGACCGCACGGTAACCTTCTGGTGCTTGTGAAAGGCCGGTGGCGGCCAACGCGAGGACGAGGAGAGTAATAGTGAGCATTGTTGAAGCTGTTGCCAGTTCTAGGGATTTGTTCTGGGCTGGCTAGAAACCAGAGGGGAAAAGAGGCTTTATATGGTCGTTGTCTTCATAATGTTTCGAGATTGGTGTCTAATTTGATATTGTCACCTGGTCACAGTATCTGTTTGAATTCGAGACTAACACGCATAGTAGATGCGGGGGTACAAGTGGTGCTTGTTCCATGTGGGGTCGTCTACTGGGGTATGTAGTTGAGAATCTATGGGTGGTAATTTAGCGTTTACCCGTCGCACGCCCTGCATTGTCGGTAGTTGGAACAATCATCAGGTCTCGGCAACCAAAATCATCCCCCGATCCCATGTACCATATGTCTCAACCGATCTTTGGGTGTCTTCGATGAAGCATTCTAGGCAGAACCAGTCCTGCCACGTTTCTCCTCTTGCCTTTTCTTGCCCTCTTCTTTCAGCTGAGCATCGTCCTTCCTTGACAGCTCCACTTGAGGCATCAAGAACCAAGCAGCGACGAATGCAAGTGCATTCAACACTGCTCCAACAATGAAAATCACTCGAAAACCTTGCTGATAGGCCGAGGCAAGTGCAGCGCGGATTAAGTCCGTACGCTCCTGGCCAACTGAATCGCGAAACATGTCTGGCGTATCAAGTAGCATTCGAATCTCTGGTTTTGAAAGCCCGTATGGAACCAATGAGAAGCGAACCGTGTTGTTGATTATCGTGCCGGAGATCGCGAGACCAAGAGTGCCGCCAAGGTTGCGTATGAAGTTACGCGTCGAAGTGACAACAGCCATGTGTTTGCGCTCCACGCCTGCCTGCACAGCGATTAGCGAAGATTGCAGCGTGTTTCCCAGTCCAAGACCAGCGAGTAGACCGTAGCCTATTTGTTTCGCAAGAGAAGGGCTGTCAAGTGTCGATATCAGGCCCAAGCCAATCGCCCATATTGCCCAACCCACAAGCAAACATTCCCTATACCGGCCAGTCCAGTGTACAACGAGGCCTGAAAGTGTGCTGAAAAGAGCTATAGCAAATTCAGATACATGAATTGTTCACCAGTGGTAGTCTTCTTACTTTGTGTGAGTGTGATGGGAAGTAGTAGTGCGCCGGACTTCACAGCTGTATAGCCATACACCAGCTGATAGAAGGAAGGGATGTAGTAAACCTGAACGAGAAAGTTCCAGCCATTCACGAACATCGTTATTCCGGCACCATTGACGACTCTGGATGTGAATATTGTCACTGCTTGGGGTCAGTACGAAGTTCTCCGTGTCGTTTGCAGCAAGCCTACTCGGTATCAATGGCACCTTGGTACATTTCCACTGCCATATAATGAAGAACACTGAGACTGCAACTCCGACTGCCAAAGTAGCAACGACGTGAGCAGAATTCCAGGCGTACTGTCCACCTGCCCATGTCAAGGCGAGCTACAACAGTAAGTTTTGACCGCATGTATGACCAGTGGTATCGAGCAACATACCACGAGCAAGGCGGACCCAGCGAGAGCTAGGAATGCCCCAAAGAAGTCGATAGCTGCTACCTTTCTGGTCTGGTTAGCGACCCTCCGCTGCGTGTGATAATACTACTTACTTCTTCCATTCACCATTGACCTTTCTGAGTGGCATGAAAAACACGACAGACCCAGTGGTCAGAACGCATAGAAACAGATTCAGTCGGAAGATCCATCTCCTTCAAATGATTTAGTATAGTACTGATCTGATCTCAATACGAAATCCGTACCAAGAATCATGGCTTTGAGAAGCGAGTGCGCCACCTATGACTGGCCCAATGCCATTTGCCAAAGCTACGACCGAGCCCTAAGAGGTTGTTAGTATGACACAGCAGAGCGCACTACAATATCACTTACGAGGATACCTTGATACTTTCCTCTTTCGCGAAGAGGTACAATGTCCGATACTATCATCTGGGCCACCGTCATCAATCCTCCACCACCCACACCCATGAATGCACGAAATACGATCAGCTGAAGGGCGGACTGTGCCAAGGAAGCAGCTAGCGAGCCGAAAAAGAAGATGCCAATGCCGATGATCAAGAGCACCTTGCGGGACCATATGTCGGAGAGACGCCCGTATAGGAGTTGGAATGACGTCGACGTCAAGAAGTATGCGCCCGCAATCCAAGCACTTTCGTTACTGGCGTTGAGATCCCTGCTGACGATGGTCAAACTGGCTGCAAGCGTCGTTTGATCCATCAAAGCTAGCAGATCAACGCTTGCGCAAGCCAGGAATATCTACTGACGCATAAGTACGGAAGAAAACTGTAACCGCCACTGTACTTACTGTGATGATGGTCTTAACCGGCACGTAGTCTGTTTTCGGTAGATAGTTAGTGGAGGTTGAAGTTTTGATTTGTATTTCCCTTACTCGTTTGTTCATTGAACTCTAGACGCTGTTCGAGTGATTGAGTTGGGGTTATTTCAGGGTAGGGTTCCTTCGGCATGCCCACAACAGCTTCAGGCTCATCTTTGGTCGTCATGGTATAAATTCGATTATGTGGCTCGATCGTGTTTGTGCACTAATCCGTGTTTTCGAGCGACTTACGATATTGTGGGATATCCAGCTGGTATCATAGCAAAATCAGTATGGGCTGAGCCTGATAGATATGAGCCCGACTTGATGTTTGGCGCAGATGTCGACAAGGCTTGCGGCTACAGTCCGACATATAGTACTCAAACCGGATCTCCAATGCCGATCGGTCGTAGCCCAAGTCTGTGACTATGGTGATCAAGTACACCTATGCATCGACTAATCATGCAAGGTGCACGCTGCAGACCAGATGCGTAGCGTAGCAAAATCATCGAGTGATGCTTGCTAGCGGCACAGGAGATGTTCGGGTACGGTACCTGGGATCATGAGCGGGTTGTGACAAGCCATGCGATGCGAAAGCCAAGATCGTATGCTTCAGGCTCGCACTATATCCCGTCTTGGACCAGGCTGCGATGTGAAAACCTTGCTGAGTGCATTGAGGACCCGCCGTGCGCAAAGACTTTACTCAGAGCATCCACCGGTGGAATTTTCCACCCCATGCACAGTAAACCCGCTCTTGAGCCATGTCGTTGTATCAGCCATGCAGAGGACGAAGGTCGTGACCTCTGGACCTCCTGAACGCTACTTTTAGTTCGTCGGCGCTAACATGTAAACACGCTAGCGCGTTCGCATCCCATCCCGAACGGCCGCCATCAATGTGCTCAATATCTCTCGCGTCCATCCAGAATCACCGCGATGCCATCAAACAACCCTATCACAAAGTTGACCGGTCGCACAATGGCCTGCAGATCCCATCTGCGCTTCTTGGCTGATCCGCAACGTCCCTTGACCGCAGCGGGAATCCTGCCGTACAAATCACTCTCCGGCGTGGATCTGCATACTAGTGATGCAGCAAACAACACCCACGAAGTGCCACCGATGAGCACCTTTATTGTTCCATCCCGCATGATATCCATGCCGTAGAATTTCAGCCCCGTAGATCCGTTGTGTTCACATTAGTATCAATTCGTTCCAAGCTCCAATGAATTATCAGTAGAGCCTTCAATAGTTAAAAGGCAGGCCGTGCCAGCGTCTGGATCCCTTCATTTCTTATCATACGGCTTAGGAAGTCTCCAGTATGGCTTCGCGAAATTATTTGAATGCCTACTCTGGGCCAGATGCCCTTCGAAACTATTTCGACCCTGACCACCAGCCGATGCTTCCTCTTGTCGAGATTCCACCAAGTCTGAATCCGTACTACCAGGATGGAGTCAGAATACATGCAAAGATGATGTCTATGCACCCGTCGAACAATGTCAAGATCATGCCTGGTATGTGAAAGAAGATTCACCACTATTGCACATGACTCATGCGGACCCAGCGTTGAACATGTTGACCAAAGAAGTTCATCCGGAGAAGTCGAAAACAGTAGTCGAGTATAGCTCGGGATCTACCGTTATTTCCTTAGCACTGGTCTCTCGTATAAACCACGGGATACAAGATGTTCGCGCGTTTCTAAGCAACAAGACTTCGGCTCCAAAGCTCCGGCTGATGCAATTCTTCGGTTTAGATATGTACGTCAGTCTCCATCTGACCGTCAACAATTTCTAAGCTGCCAGCAGTACACTCTTTGGCGGTCCGTCTCAGCCGGAACCGCACGACGAACGTGGCGGCATCCACCAAGCGAGGATGATGGCCGAGCAAGACGAAGGGATTCTGAACGTTAACCAGTACGAAAATGATGCGGTGAGCTATCCTTTATACCTTTTCCAGCGCAATTCTTACTTACTTTCGAAGAATTGGCAATCGCATGTCAAATGGACTGGACCGCAGATTCACCAACAATTACCTGGCATCAGTCTCGTGTGCGCTGGCATGGGTACCTCTGGCACTATGACGGGTCTTGGCCAGTACTTCAAATTGGCCAAGTCTTCTGTAATTCGATTAGGGTAAGTTCCAGGACCTGCCACTCACGATATTGTAGCCTGACCATGTTTCCAGCGTATGCACTGCCGCTGGCGATCGGGTACCAGGTCCCAGATCGCTTGCGCTTTTAGACCCTGTGGAATTCCCGTGGCGCGACTCTGTTGATGCTATAGAAGAGGTCGGATCAAAGGATGCTTTCGGTTTATCTCTACAACTCTGTCGGTCAGGGCTAATCTGCGGCCCCTCTTCGGGCTTCAACCTGCAGGGTACGTGCAAGAAGCGCGCGAAATGCAGTAACTGACGGCACCAGGACTCTTTAATTACCTCGAGAAGCGAAAGAGCTTAGGCACATTATCAGAGCTTGCAGGTGCCAACGGCTTGATTGACTGCGCCTTCGTTGCTTGCGACGGACCGTACCAGTACATGGATGAGTACTTCGACAAGCTGGGCAGTACTGCTTTTCGACCTATACATAACGAGGCAAGGCTCCTTCTTTCTTTTGACTCAATCAATGAAGCTCTATAATGCTATTTTGCTTGGTTAAAGCATGTCTAACACGTGTCTAGAACCTAGCTGCAGTTGACCTATACCGCTACGACGAAGCATGGGAACTTACTCCTACACGAGCACTGTCACAGTTTGCCGATAACGTTGAAGAATACACTGGCGCTGTTTTGCTCGATCTGAGAAAGCCGGAAGACTTTGTCACGAGTCACATCCCAGGATCATACAACCTGCCGCTACAAAGCCTTAACGCATCAACGCCGAGCCCTTTCTTAGACGCTGTAGTTCTCGAGAAGCAATGGAGAGAGTTAGAGGCTACGTTCACACCCGATCGCATCAACGCGCACGATCTTGCTGGGAAGAACGTATACATCGTTTGCTATGGTGGCGATACTGCCCGCGTTGCCACGAGTGTGCTTCGGGCAAAAGCCATCTCAGCGAGCAGCGTGAAAGGTGGCATCACTGCACTACGGCAGGAGCTACCGAACTTGCAAATGAATGAGCGCGGAAGAGGCCTGGTACAGCAAGACTGGCTTAAGATGCCGGACGTTGCTACTAAAGAGTTGAGAGCTGATTCGTTATCTCCGCAAGTTCGCAGCCTGAATGGCATCGTAGTGTAGGCCAGGAGGTAGTACATCAATAACTTCAAGGATTTAAGAGACCTCAATACCTAGTATCAGGTGATCTGGCTCTTCCTGTTACATTTCCATCTACAATCCATCTTGCCCGGCTGTTGATGACACTGACAACGCGCAAGCGACCTGCAAGGCTTGGGATGTGTGTGCAATTCTATTAGTCCATATTAGTGCTAGTGCCGGTGATTGAAAGTGCAAAACCAATTTTCCCGCATCTCCGGACACTTCGTTCCGCTTGCATCAGGCCGTGAACTATGCAGAGGAACCAGCTCGGTGTGCTTTCCTTAGCTCCTCCGCTCGAATGCACTGGCCCAAAGTACGATATGAAGGGCACAAAGCATAGTTCAGATTTGCACACACGGAACCGGCTGAACAGCCGCGCTGACTGCAGCGCGTCATTCCGGATTTTGTACTCACATGTCCGGCTGTTAGCCAAACCACTTAGGTATGATAAATACTTGACAGTCGCGTTTAGCAGTGTTTTCGTCGTCAAGAGACAGTCGAAATCCTTCCCTCTTCATTCTGATTGTTCATATCTCATTATCTGCCCGTAATGTCGTCCATCGTCAAAGAGATTGCCCTTGTCACCGGGGCGAACAGCGGTATAGGTTTCGAGATCGCTCACCAACTTCTCCTGAGGGGAAAATACCATGTTCTTCTCGGCTCTCGCTCTACCACCAAAGGGTCTGCCGCCCTTGAAGACCTACAAGCACGCAAGCTATCGGGCAGCATCGAGCTCGTGCATCTCGACATGCAGAACGACGACCACATTGAGCAGACCACGAAGCTTATCAAAGAAAAGCACGGCAGGCTTGACATTCTGTTCAACAATGCCGCAGTCGCCTTACCGGAAGGCTTGACAGAACGTGAACGCTTGGCTACAGCTTTCGACGTAAATGCAACCGGGCCATGGCTTCTTGCGAACGCGGTCGTTCCGTTGCTCAAAAAAAGTACGAACCCGCGGATCATCAACATATCCTCGGGTGCAGGGTCGATCGGTCGCCGTCTCACCTCAGAAAGCCCAATGTACAAGATCCAGGCCGTTCCGTATCGCGCTAGCAAGGTCGCTTTCAACATGCTTAGTGCGTGCCTATATGTGGAGTACGGACTGGGAATCGAGCAAGTAGACTTTACGGGTATCAAGAAGAACAACGTCGAGGCCAAAGACGAGGAAAACAGTCCAAAAATGAAGGTGTTTTGCTATGACCCTGGCTTCACGGCCTCCAATCTGGGCCCGCACAATAAAGAAGAGTTTGGTGCGAGGAGTGCACAGGAGACGGTGAAGAGTATCATGGAACTTGTCGACGGGAAAAGAGACGAAGAGTGTGGCAAATTTATCCATAACACCGGAGGATACCCATGGTAGGTCAATATTGTTTTCATGTAACGGAGATGACCGAGCCTGGGTACAATTTGATAATACTTCTGTCGCAAAGATTCTTTGAGCGTCGGGTCTAGCAACGGAAGAGTACTCTTCCACCCTTAGGCCTTGGCAAATTTGCAAGCTTTCAGGGCGCAAGGCTTGGGCAATGGGTTTATCCGTCTCCTACCAGTTTTCGCTTAGTGTTTAGCTTCGGGTGCGCAATGTATGGACACAGGTCCACTACGTCCATGGCTTTAGTGTATGCATGCTTATATTTGCATGTACCTGCAAGCAAAGTATATCCATCTGCGAAACAGCAGCAGCACATCTCTTCAACATGCATATATCACGTCTCTACGCTATTTGCTCTATATTTGCTGTGGTGTTTTCACATCCAGGAGTACCAGAGCGGTTACAAGGCGCGAGTTGTCCTTATGCATTCACCCGAACCGAAGAGCCAGGATGTACTTACTCCAATTCGAAGCTTAGTGCGAACATCGACAACATGGCATCTCGTAGGGCGCAGGGAAAACAAGGCGTTTTCTTCATGAACCGCATCGCACCGGGCACATCGGAATTGTACATCGCCAATGCGGATGGAAGCGATGAGCGCAAGCTATTGGGAAATAGCTCGGATTTCGATTACCATGCGACCTTCTCCTCTGATGGGCAGTGGATAACCTTTACTACTGAACGCAACGGGGATGGCAACTCGGTAGGTGTTTTCCGGAACTTAGGAAAGCATCAAGCGGCTAATTCAACGTGCAGGATGTATATCGCGTTCGACCTGACGGATCAGATTTAGAGATGATGACCGCAACACCGTCCATGGAAGATGCAGGGACGTTATCGCCGGATGGAAGCAAGATCGCCTACGTTTCGACAGCCAATGGTTACAAGGCCAACATCTGGGTGATGGATCTTACCACACGCCAGACAACAAAGCTTACCGGAACCGATCTTGTCAAGGGTGATGAGAGCTTGCCAGAGAGCTATTTACGTCCTTCTTGGTCACCAGATGGTAGATGGATCGCTTTTTCTTCCGATCGTAACACGCAATGGCGCGGCCATGGCAACGGTACTGGATGGGAGCATACCCAGGAGCTGTCACTCTATGCTATCCGTCCCGACGGTACCGGCTTCAAACAGCTCGCTACCAAAGAAAACTACTGTCTGGGATCGCCCAAGTGGTCCCTGGATGGTAAGCGTATCATATACTACGAGATATACACGGAAGACACGTGGAATGCGCACCGACCTGAGTCTTTACAGTCTGTCACTGGCCAACTCGTATCCATTGACTTTGACACTGGTCTTGATCGTGTAGAACACACGAAAGGCTCTGGTCTTAAGATGTTTCCACAATGGATTGGCAACAACACTATTGCATACCTAGTCAAGAATACCGATGATGAGGGTCTGAACTACGTCGACATCTCTGGTGATAATGGCACACTCAGTGCCTACAAGGCATCGATTCGCTCGCCATCCTGGTCGCCTGATGGCTCACAGGTCGTGTACGAGAAAGTCAATTTCGATGCAATTCGTCCTATGGGTAAGGAACTTTACAGCTGGGACGATCAGTGGGATTATCGATTCACCGATGTTTTCCCCCAGCTTTCTATACAGGGAAGACTTGCCATCACGCAAAAGCAGCTTGGCAATTCGAGCATTATCACCATGTCCCCAGACGGTACCGATTTCAAGCAGGTCTTCGATGTTTTCTCTGCCAACATGAGCGAAACCGCTATAGCACAGGGTCTGTCTGGCGCCTTCCAGCCGTCATGGACCTCAAGCGGCGATTGGCTCGTCTTTGGAGTGGGATCATGGTTCCAGAGTCGCAGCACAGGCCCTGGCACCCTGTACCGCGCGGCTGCCAACGGTTCGTTCTCTGAACAATTGACAGATGGTTCTGTCAATACTGGTTTCCCTAGCTACTCACCCGATGGTCGCTACATCGTTTATCGCGTCTTTGGCGGCGAATATGGCCTACGCATCATGGATCTAGAAGACCAGTCAACCAGCATCCTTACAAATGCCACTAGCGATAATTACGACAACTTGCCCTTTTGGTCACCAGATGGCTCACGTATCGTCTTCTCGCGCCGGGTCACCTACACGAACTTTGATGTATGTACCATCAAGCCTGACGGAACTGGCCTTCAAGTCCTGACCTCTAGTCTGGGTAATGATGCACATGCGGTTTGGACGCACGACGGCCGTATCATGTACTCTACAGCGCAATATGGATTCCGAGATGAGGCTGCGATATACGACGATACATTCCAACCATACGGGCAGATCATGGTCATGAATGCTGATGGCAGTAACAAGACGTTGCTAGTGGATAGCATGTGGGAAGACTCGATGCCTTTGTATGTTCCGAATGAGTTCCTTGGCATGTAGTCTAGTACGGAGTTTTAGAACGGCCATGTCAATCGAATAGATGTGCATGGATTATTTTGATGGCCAACCGTTAGTTTTGCCAATGGTACCTGAAGGAAAGATGTTCAACTTCATCCATTACATATAGTCTTTTGATGCGCATTCCAATAAGTGACTACTACATGGAACAAACTCTATCTAGCACATTTCAACTACGCCAGCGACGTTTGAGACGCCATTCTTAATCCCTCTTCCACTGGCCTCCACTCTTACAAAACCGAGTGATTGAGTCACAACTGCTATTGTTTCGAAACCAGTCTTGTTAACGCTGACAACCTCACTCAAGCTTCTGTTGGATATACCGCCAAATACAGTCCAAACCCGATGCTCAGTAGCACCATTCCAACTCATGTAGACTTCCGTACCATTGCTTGACTTACACGCGTATACATCCGGCTTCGAGCTAGGCTTGCCAACCCACTCGGCCTTGTAGCTGCGGTAGCTCTGTACCGCCTCCGCTTCGCCCCAGGATACGCTTAGCACTACATTGCCGTCTTTATCGAACTCCTTCATCGTTGGAACGCTTCCGTATCCCATTACGATGTTACCGGAGGGGAGCACTTCCATGTTGCCTTGGCTGACCGAGTATATGGCGTCTTGGGGGTCGACGAGTTCTTGTAGCAACGACGCGGTCATGTTGTGCTCATCAATCGAAAGAAATATACCGGTAGTTTGGTTGACATGAGATACAACTGCGCTGTTGTCGTTGTTGAAGAGGGAGATCGTGGTCGTGTTGGGCAGTTGAGAAGGGTGTAGACGCGCGTCGTGTTGATAGCAGAATGAGAGGTTGTTCATGAGAGTAAAGTCGCCTCCGGAATAACCCTTATAACGTGTTAGTTTCATGCTCGTTGCTACCAAACTTGGTGGTGTATATGGAGAGAATATATACAAGACTCACATTCAATGTCCACTCAACCGTTCCGTTGCGGTTGACCTTGAAAATGGAGCAGTAATGTCTTGACGAGATCAAGAAACTACCGTCGGCAAACCTTTCCACAGAATTAATGTGAAACGGTCCCCAAGGATAACTGCTGTTCCTGCCTAGGTCGCCAAGCGGATATGTAGGCACAGCACTGGCGAGCGAAATCTGATTCACATGGTCGAGATGGCTCCATTGCCAAAGTACCTCACTGTTCGTCACGTTAAGCTCCAGCACAATGGAGTCTACAACCCAGCCATCCTTTGGGCCGCCAATAGATGACAGATCCCATGGCGTAACATTCACGGCTCCAACGAACATTGTACCCTCGGGCGTGATGAGATTCTCGTGCATGTCGATCCAACTGAAAGGCTGATACTGCGTGGGATCGTACAGGGGAGAAATGCTCTCCAATGGATATGTCGAGTTCCACAGCGTGACATTATATATGTTCTCGTATTGTTGGTTGAGAATGTAGATTATCCCATATCCAAAACCCCATGGCTCGCTGAAAGAGACACCAGCGAAGTAGGCAAGTACAGGTTCGCCGAAGAGCGTAGTCCTGCGGAATGCAGCATAGTCGCCATATCCTGACTGCCAGACCAGTTCACCATCTTCTTGGAAAATGTTAAGGCTGTAGTTGTGCGATTCGCTACCGCTCAAGGGGAAGAGAATCTGCCCTGGCGAGGTAGTACCAGTCTTGTTGATAGAGAGCAATGGAGGCTCGAATCCTGGGCGTGATTTGAAGGTTTGCCATGGCCATTGTGGAGCCGTGTTGTTCTGCGCGTGTACAAGAAGGGAAGCGAACGAGGCAAGGAGGATACTTTGAAGACGCATGTTATAATGGTCGCGTAGTTGGAACCATAAAGCACAGGTGTCGAGGCCAATCAAGCCTTCGACGTGTTCATTCTTATACGTTCCATGGTTACATCGCTGGCCTACATCACGCACCCCTCAGTACCGGAGTCTTGCACGGAGGTGGTCATGCATGGAGGATTGCAGACTTTTCCTGCACCTTGTCGCAACACGAGTACTCTGCCAGATGTGGAGCTTCAAGCGGTCGGTCGAACGCGTGCAATTTGACCTTTAGTGGGGCTCATTATCAATCTCATCTTATCAGATGCAGATCAATCCGACATCGGGTTTCGCGGAGATCTTTCGGTGGCCTTGGCGATGATGAACGTTATCTCCTGAACAAGTTTTGCGCCGCTAACGAGCTTCTTGGGTAAAGCTTCATCGCTCAGTCGGACGATACAGGAATATTTACCACCGGCATGAGTGCGGGAAGAATATGGATAGTGATGATGATGATTGAGATGATGTAGCTCGGCATGCAGGAGCAGGGAGCTCCGAGAACCTGCAGATGACACCAATTCATTCTAGTCCTTAGCACCAGTGACGAGAGGGTTATTGTCAAAGCTTACATCCGTGGACGTTTGACAACGAACATCGATCAGATCCAAATCTGGACAGCGATATGATCTTTGCCTTGTTCACCTGGCTGCACAACAGTCATGACATCGCTTGTGCATATCGTACGCCATGGTGAAGCACTTCATAACGTTCAGCGGGGCTATCCGGACAGAGATCCGCCATTGACAAAAGCCGGCAACGCCTCCACCAAACGGATCAATCTCAATGTCCAGCCAGACCTGGTTCTCATCTCACCCATGACACGTACGATCGAAACTGCTATAAACCTTTTCCCATTCTTGACTGGGGCAGGTCCTTGGGAAGTTCCTACCCAGATCTGGCCCGATCTTCGCGAAGCCAACGATGCTATTTGCAACAAAGGTCTTTCACGGGCAGAGCTGGTATCAAAATTTCCGCAGTTCGACTTCTCTGAATGTCATGAAGAGTGGGACTATCCAGAACACAGCACAGAAAGCGCAACTACGCGTGCAGAAAATGTACGAAGAAGGTTGAAAGATCTGTCCGCAACATACAGCAACATCGTTGTTATTACGCATCGAGGTATCAAAGCTTTCCTTGTGAAGGGGAAGCGTTTTGGACTAGCCGAGACAAGGTGCTACCGCTTTGCTACTGAAGAAGAAACCCAGGATGACAAGATCAGAAGAGGCGTCAACACTGATACAGGAGAAGAGCAAGATTTTGGACCGACGGTGTTAATATTGGAAGAAAGTCAAAGAAAAGATCGGTGAAGCTGCGGGACGTTCGACTCAGGCATATGAAGACGTGCATCGGAAGGGATAAAGTCTCTTCCGGAACACATCATGCCGTGCACGTCACAACCGGAGCCAGCAAGGCAACCGGGTCATGAACTCTGTAGGCAGTGGTTGAGCTAGTACCACCAAAAGCATCACAGATACCCCACCATAACTCCATGTCTCATGACTTAAGACTTCAAGAACGAAAAGAGATCAGAAACTACGAGGACATGGCAATTTGTTTACGTGTAGAACACATGGAGGAATCAAGACGTTCTCACAACGAAGCAATAACTATCTTGGACGGACTGTGCGGGCTTCGGCTTTGCGTGATGTACGTCTATGACAAGCGTCGGTATGATCTTGATAGTTGACTGCTAACGGGCTGTTTCATTGTTTCAGCTTGCGCTATGCGCTCGGTTCCCCTTGCCCATGTGCCGTCTTATGTTGGGTTATCGCCTGAGTCCAATCTAAACCTGCACGTAACTTTGCGATGGTTGCTCTCCGCACTACGCTTCCACTTTCTTGCTCAACAAACTGATCTAGCTCAAGTTCGGTTGGCTGCTGATTCAATCCTACAGAATCTGTTCCTTGTTCCTCCTTAGGTGTGATCAAAGCCGCCATGACTTGCTGTTCTTTCTTACGCCACAAGAACCAAGTGCCCACTACCACGATTAAGGTCAGTACGATCGTAACCAAGAAGTAAAGCCAGATCCACTGAGAGTATACGCGGCCATCCAAGTCATCGTTGAAACTGAAAAATGTGGTACTGAAGAAAGTCTGCAATTGTTAGGACGACATGCGTCAACTTTGTGTGCTACGGCTGAACTCACAGCGGTGACTAGATTCAGGTTTACAAAGTCAGTGCATGTCTCGCACGAGTTCGTATATAGACTTTACTTACACGTTGCTGGTAAGAAGAAAATGGTAATCGCAGCGATTATTCTCATGACGGCACTGTCACGGGATGTTGATATTGCTACACTTTGAGACGATTGCGCCAGACTGGTACTCGTGCTCGCCAAACGAAGACTCGTTGCTGAGTCGCGCTGCGCAATCGCACTATAGACCTGAAGAAGACCATGTCAGCACACTGCCAAAAAATCTATGAGACACTCACAGTTTGCACTAGGGCTTGTCCTCGCTTGGATACGTATTCTGCTCGATCCTCGAGCCCCGCGTTCCAGGATCGCAGCTCGGAGTTAGTATCAAGGAGCAATTGCTCAATCTCAGTCGATTCGTCTTCAGGTATGCCAGTATCGTCCGCTTGCCTTTTGTATCTCCTTGCAACCTGATCAAGGAACTCGAGCATACGTGTAGTGCTTTTGCAAAGCAAGACTATAAACGCAAGATTGGTGTTCACAGCGTTAAGGTCTTTCGAGAGCATACTGAAGTCGATACTTGACAGCTCAGGGTTATCATAGTGGTCGAATCGGATGCCTATCCTTCTCTCATTCCAATAGATTTTATCTTGCCAAAGGTTTAGTGCTTTCACTCGCTGCTCAAGATTGAAGCGCACGATGATACTTGGCACTAGGAATGCTGACATACTAGAGGCGCCTCCTTGTATCGCGTATGAAAACCGATCGTAGTTGTTGCTTGCAAGGCCATGCATAAAGATGTACATATGTTTAGTGAAGAAATCGTAGGTGAAAGAAGCGCTCACACACACATGAGACATTGCTCCGGGTACTGACTGCAAGATGAAACCTAGCATGATGAGCTCAGTGGCATATTTGCACCAATGTATCCATGCTCCTTACTTAGGTATTGCTTTCGCATTGCTTTTGGAGACCTATGCCGCAGAAACGAGGGCAGTTGGGGAATAGCGAAGACGCAGGTTGCCGCCTTGTAGTCCAGCACGCGCGCATAGATTTCTGGTATCCGTGCAAAGAGAGCGATGCGTCTAAACGTATGCGATGACAGAGGTACCGGCGTCATGTTGCCATTGTAATCTCCTATGCGTCTGGACCAGCTACGACGAGAACATGTTAGCATCGCAGCCGGTATACAATCCAAAGAACATACTCACAACAGCTTGATGGTCTCCACGTTCGCTGGCTGCTCAATCTTGCTTCCATATGTCTTCGTCTATGTTAGCGCATATCTATAACGGATTTGTGACAGACTTGCCGAAAAATCATTTTCAATGTATCCGTCAATTAGATCATCAGTCACCTGCAGCCTCTTTGTATGGCCATCACTAGTCACTTCGATTAGGATGACAGGTGCTTGTTTGTCCTCTATAAAGGCGAGTGGTGAATGCCCTGTCGCCATCGCCGCGGTGAGGCCTTAAGGAAAGGTTTCCTATGCCTGTAGGGAAGGTAAACCAAGACCGGACATGTCGCCAGTCAAATGTTCGCTCAATGATTGGGGTGGCATAACATCGCGATCTGTTGTCGCGCGTTTGAGCTGAATGACACGAGGAGCTGCCGTGGGGGCCAGAATGGCTTCTCCATCGTGATTGGTGGGCAAAAAGTGGCTGCATCAACTCGCGAGCATTTGACTGAACAGACCATGTAATCAACCGAGATACGAACCTCAACACATGCTGTTGTACATGTCAATAGTACGAAGCACTGATGTAAAAGGCTGGAGCGGCGGGTGGTCATGTCCTGAAGCGCTTGAAGAACCAAGCCACTTGTACAAATCAAATCTACTGCTCAAAGATTGCGTCGCACACGTGATGAACTGCTCAAACGAACACACGAACGACAACTTTTTGATACAATTGCCTAACACTTTAACAGCTGCATGCGCATGTCCTAGCGACCTTGCTTGCTGTAGCAAAAAGAGAGCCGATGAAAGCCGAATGGAAAGGAACAGGCGTATACTCGGCATAATCAAGCGACCTTTCTGCAAACCAGAGCATGTCAAAAGATTGTGCCGCACTTGCATGTCCAACGCACGACTACTCGTCTGATTTTGACTGGCCATTTTCAGCACCACGCAGAGCGTCGAGCGCACGGTCCAGTTCCTGTTCAGCTACCATGACTGTCCCGGCACGCGCGGTGCTCAGATAACTCATTTCAACAGGATCTTCCAGCTGTCCTGTTGTTTCGCCAACCAATCTGCCGGCTACACCACACACAATACCCGTACTTTCCATTGGCAAGTCCCGCAGATCCAATGTGATTGGCGTCAAAAATTCATCTCTTGAGCCGAGGAGAGTATCTTGCGCAAAATGCGGCAACAGAGTGTGGTCGAACAGCAATGCCGCAGATTCGGTGTCAGTTAGCGTGAGGGATAAAAATTTCGGATATGGTTGGGTGATGAGGCATTTTACGAGACCGAGATGGAGTGCGTCGTCGGCAGCAGTGGTCATGCTGTTGCGATTGCGAGCTTGGTTCATGCCATTCGCACTATCCCGGCGACCGGCACACTGAACGAGTCGGATACTAGAATCAACTGTAGGGATAATACTTCGACGCTTGAGCGTTGCAAAGGTCCTGGTTTGAAGCTCTGAAATAGTGGTGGGCGGAGGGGTGCTGGGCGGTTGAACTTCGAGTGACGCGGCCGAGTGTTTGCGGCCATATTGGAACGAGTTGACGTATGAGGAAGTGTCCTTCTCGAACTGGAAACCACGTTCCTCTAGTGCCTGAACGACCTGTGATCGATGTCGCAATGGGACCAGAATGTAGTCGGAGAAATAAGTGGTAATAAAGAAGATGGGACTGGAAATAAGTCAGTCTCACGTGTAATCTCCAAGGCGACTACAACTCACATTCCGGCCAGAGCGAGAGGACTCGTAAGCTCCAAGACGCGTTGGCCTGCGTCAAGTCCTTCACCATCGACTTGCATTACAACGAAGTCATCTGTAGTGATGCTGACAGACTCTTTCGATTCAGCATCCAACGAATTGAGAACAGGCACGAACAGTTCACTCGCAAGTGTCCTCGAGCATACTATGGAGCACTCGACTGGCGTGATAGAGATATTCACAAAAGGATGCTCGCAAGGCCAGCCTTTCGGAGGCTGCACCGCACCAGAACCGTTCCCGAAAGCCTTGCGCGTTGCATTGGGCAATACTAGTTGAAGAATTGACTGAAGGAAGTTGCGATACAGGTGCAGCGGGATGTGTATCAGAGCAAGTTGAGTGTCCTTAGAGGTGATCATGTTAGCTGATGTCCATGGAAGAGAAAATTTTGTGTGGGAGGCAAATGATAAGAGTTGCCTTTCCGTATGTGGTGCATGAAGGACCCGCCACCAAGGCTCCCTCCGGTGTAATACACGGACACTTTTGTTACCATGCAATGCAGCAAGGCGCATGAGGAAGAGACAACCCACGTACCAGAATTCGGATGTTGGCACTGAGAAGTGTCAAAGATGAGTCCATTACGTGCTACAAAAATGAGATAAGAATAGGCGTTGTCGATGACGATCGCTCGCGTGCCGTGGGTAGCTGGCTGCGGGACTCTTTTCCGATTCGGTAAGTCGGGTTTGACACGACTTGCTAGAGGGCCCGTGGAGCCTCCAGGAACAGTAGAAAAAGCAAGCTTATCGTTGTTCCAAGATTCTTGGTAAAGCAATGATGGTATGCAGCCACAGATAAAAATGCGGGGGATCTGACCAGGCTATCGGTTGATGTGTTCTTGTCCAACAGGCCAGTGTGAAGTATTGTTCTTGAAGCCGAAATTCATCCCACAAACTGGGTATGTGTAATTGGGAAATGGGATGTGTAGTGCCTGGATACCGAGAGAGTATATGGCACAGAGGTGCTGTGAGCAATCGTACCGATTCAGTTGCGGACCGATGGCATGCGTGAAAGTGGCACAATCGCAGGGCACGGTTTAGAGGCCGCTCTATGTGACTTTGAGTCGTGGCTTACTTAGGACGAAATGCCGTGAGTCTGGGGTAAGAGATGCAGCGTGGGGATCAATGCAGGTAACCCTTGTCTGATTGGCTGGGAGGCTCCCGGATGGTGCAGATGGGTGAACCCTAAAGTTGGTTTTCAGGGCAGCGTGCGCAATGCGCGGAGCGAGCTGGGCGCGTGGGGTAGCACACTGGACGGGAATGAACACTGAGATGACGGCTGAACGCAAGAATCGGTCCTGCGCGTAGAGCGGATGCTGCTGCTGACGTCGACTGCGAAGGCGTGGGACAGAACCCGGTCGGTGGATAGCGGGTGTAGTGAGGGACAGCTGTTGGCGCTGGTGGGGTGGATCAGTGAGTGCTAGGAAGCATCAACGCTTTATGTGAGTCGAAATGCAAGTGGAGATATCCGCCGGGTGTGGTGACTCGAAGAGGCACTCCGAGAATTTTCCACGACGGCGCGGCCATAATGCTGGGAAATTGCCTCTGTGGCCGGCGGCAAGCAACAGTCAGCGAGTAGATCGAGTCAGCTTCGAGATATGGATGGGACGTCAGAGGCAGCCACAATAGTGCATCCCTTTGACGCTGGTGTCATGCAGCACTTGATGAGCTGCAAGCAGACCTTGGGGTTGTCCGTGCTCCATGCCAACCACCAGCACTCATGCCGCGATTGCAATCCGACCTGCACCCAATCTCTCTCATGCTTGAGGGTACCTGATCGACGCCAGCAACACTGCCAGCGTTCCACAGCGTTGAAGACGACGTTTTCACGGCGCCGACGGGCAGACTCTCGGAGAGCCTTGCGAAACCGATCACACGTCTTCTGAATCTCACACGAGATGACGAACGCCATGCCTCTCAGCGTGAGCTACGCATCTGTAGTCCCTGACCCCAGCAACACATGGGATAGCAGCTCCATAGAGTCCATGGGTGTTGCAGGATATGATTGCGTGCATGCAGTATTGCCCTTTGTCCCTGAGCGGGAAGCCGAGCATAGCCGCCGCTGTCGACCGGACCCTGATTGACTATCACTCTTTGCTCCACACATCGCGATACGCGCAGATACCACCACCTTTTCCGCGGTCGGCACTGCTAGAGGATAGACAAGAGGTCGGCGATGAGTGTCAGAGCAACCAGTACCTTGGTGCGCGCTGTCGTGTAACTAAAGAGGCGCATACCCCGCATCATCTGTCACTTCGCCTGTGCACTGCATCCTTCGAGGACTGTACGTTTACTGGACCCTTTGCAATGACGTGCACGCGAGTCCAGAGGACGAACGGCTACCCGCAGCTCGGGAGAGCAGCGTCAACAAGGTGGGTCACTGTATCGTCGAGCTCGGAATTGGCCGATATCACCACCATGCGATGATGTCGTCTGCAGGACCCCTCTCGGTTCAGCATCCCGGACCCACAAGCGGACGCCGCATACGCAGCACGCACAATAAACAAGCTTGCGCGAGAGACGCTTCGAAACGTATGCGTGGGGGGGCTGCTCACGTTCTTGCTGCGTCTGGTCCTCTTACCCCTCGCCAACTCATCTATTTTCTCCGCAGATTATAATGCTCGCTGTTATCCTTCCTACGCTTGACGGAAGCCGGCAGGTCTCCCGCCATGCATGACATGGAGTTCGTCGGTCAGACATCGAATTGGATATATGCAGCCTCCAAGACATCAGGGCCGCCTATGAAAGCTGATGATACCTCGTACAAGACATTGCACGATACAACTACGGAATGCCGTTTGACAGCAATGTGGTCACACTGCATCTAGAGATAATGCGATCTTTGTGCTATCTTTGCTCCCCAACGCAGTAGCTCGGAGCTCAAGCTGAATTTTTATGGGCATGACTGGAGCGCGGTGCCCACGGCCGGCTCACTCCGTATACGAACCGTGACCGATCATGGACTGCTACTCCAGCAGATGATCACCAAACGAAGCACGACCGATGAGCCATCTGGAAAGAGCCCACTTGGTCCCACAGAGAACGAGAAGAAATTTATTTCGACTGCCTGGGCAGTCAAGTCCGCTCAGCAGAAACGTCATGCTGCGTAGTATCACACCGCATGAACGAAGGGCGTGAGATCACGACATCAAAGACGTATTTTGAGGATCTCGTGCACCCGATGGGGTCACACGGTCAGCTCAGCTGTGGGCATACATCTAGCTTTCCTAGTACGGAGCAGACGGCTTGAAAACTTTATGGCCACTCAAACACAGGGTATCACTTTTTCATGACGCCCATCACCTTCGCCTGGCCATTGGACATCCCGATGTTTCAGCGTGGGTTTCGAAATGTCATACCTTGCGGTCAAAATACTATCATGTTGGATGGGAGCCGTATGGCCGCGTTGAAGAGCTACTACGTTCTGAGAAGAACATGCCGTTTTTGGCACAGCCCACATCGTGATGACGTTAACTTCAGGGTTGCTAGTCTGGTCGTTTCGACATGTACTCGTAGTCCAGCTGAAAAGGAGTGGCTTTCATCCGCGCGTGTAGTGACTGAGTGAGAATACAGTGATCCAGCAGAACTATTGGGAGAGTATCTGTACGACGGATATGATATAAGTATCTAAGTACTTGGATATCAAAGTGAACAGGACGTATGAATGACGATGGTTTGGTCTGTGATCTAATCAGTCGTCAACCTGTTCGTTCATCGGAATTGATGCATGGAAAATCGCTGTTCAACAGTCATTTTGCGCTTCAGAGTGGATGGAATTTGACGGACGCAGTAGCATAGCTTTCACTAAGCTCCGAAATGAATCGTGATATTGGTCCGTGCATAGCCGCTTGACTCGCAGGACAGAATGTAGTCGCGTTACCACAACAAACAGACACGGGTATCACAATTCTTATCGTTATTCAGCATCACGACACCGCGACGCTCCCTGTCCATAGTCGCATGTGATAATCATGGTCCGAACACATTCATCGTATACGGCCAGCCCCACGCGCTTCCAATCGCCTCAACGCAGTCCAGCGCGTCGCCCGTCCCAAGATGGATCGCAGTATGAAATGGATCTCGATGCTCTGGGCCTCAACTCCACGTTCGAGTCAACCGAACTAGAAGATCACCACCAACCGCCTGTCGATCACGTAGACACGAGCGAGATTGAAGGGCCAGAAGACTTCACCATGAACATGACCTACTGGATGACGGCAGATCTCCCGCTGGCGCAGATCAAATCGCGGAAAGAAGCCAACACAAAACGACCGGTGATAAGAATGGACGCTATACAGGATGGAAGTGAGAGCAGGCAGGCAACAGAAGTGGGCGAGCCGGCAGTCGTGGTGGAGGACACGGAGCAGAGGAGAAAGAGTCGGTCTCGCACCACTTCTCCTACGAGGCGCGCAAACGGCACAAAGAATGAGCGTCAGCACAGTATACCAGCATCTGAGCGGTCCATGGAAAATGAGGAGAAGGTTCGGAGCTTTCTCAGCAATCTGCCAGACACGGAGATGGAGGGCGCAATCACAGGGACGCCGCTCCATGCACCAAGACATAGTTATCTACAAGTCCCACGATCCTCACCTCCGAAAGCCCGGTCTCTGCAACCCACAGTCGAAGACTACGATACACCGCGCAAGCCTACCCAAGAGACAGTTATACGGCACACCTCGGCCATCATTGATACAAGTGAGCAGGATGTGGCTCGCAGTAAGATCGCAGAGCTGCAACATCGCCTTGAACAGCACGAATCCACTTCGAGATCGCGCATTACCGAACTCGAGACGATCCTATCGTATACCCGCTCAGAGCTCGAGAGCACACGCAACGACAATTACAAGCACAAGGAGACGGTGTCAAGCCTAGAGAAGAAAATGGAACAACAACGTGCAGACCAGGAAGCAGCTCAGGCAGCTGCGGATGCCGACATGAAGGCGCGAGAGCATGCGTTGGAGACTAGGATGCATGACTTCGGAGAAGAGATGCGTCTTCAAAACCTCACCAAGCTGGAGACAATGCTGGAAGAGTTTGAGCGGCAACGAAAATCTCTCGAAGAATCCAAACGACAACTTACCGAAGAGGTCGAAGACAAGGACCAGAAGCTAGAGGAAGTTCAAGCAGAGCTTGCACAGGCACGCCAAATACACGAGCGAGAACTTCACGACCTGAAGGAGACGCAACTCCACGAAGCTGGACATGGTGGTGAGGATGCTGAAAAGGAGCGTCTATTGTTGACCGAGCAACTTTCCTCGGTCCAAGCGCGAGCGAACGCTTTGCAATCAAGCCTTGAAACGGCCACATCCGACGCAAAGGCAGCTCGTGAGGAGGCTCGAAGAAGAAACGAGATGCATTCCGCTATCGAAATCAAAGTTCAACGCCACACAGCCCGCATTGCCGAACTGGAAGGCCAACTCCAGGCTGCCAAGTTTGAAGTTGAATGCTCACATGCCGATGTGGCAGCTAAGCAGCAGCTGTTTCACACAAATCTTGATCTCAATTCTCGGCTCCGCACTCTGCAGTCAGAGCTGGAGACCGCACGGAGGGACTTCACCGCAACGGATCAGGGAACTCGTCGCTCGGCTGATCTGGAGACTTGCGTGAAAGATCTTCAGTCACAACTCGAAGCCGTCCGCGCGGAAAGTACCATGAAGGAACAACACCGATCGAATACAGGTGACCTTGAGAAGCGTTTCGGTTCTCTTGAGATACAGCTTGCAACTGCGCTTGCAGACCTAGCTACTAAAGATCAACAACTGCAGAGTACATCCGCTCTACAAAGATACATCAAGTCGCTAGAAGCGCAACTAGAGTGTCCTGGCATCAGAGCATCTGCGAGCGATGGGCACACCCCGCAGGTAGCGAAGCTCGAAGCACGCATAAAATCCTTGCAATCCCAACTGCGATCCGCTCAGTCTGATCTGACCGCGAAGGAGCAAGAGATCTCTTCTTATGTTGAATCGCAAGAGCATGCTGAGCAACGATTAAACACGACCCAAGGTCGGCTACAGAGTCTCGAGACGGGCAACACGAATCTTCGTCAGCAGCTCGCAGAGGCTCATCGCGAGAGTGCCAAAGCCCGAGCTGACGCAGAATGCTTCAAGCAAGACTTGGAAGATGCCAATGACCGTCTGCGCGATGCTCGCGCCGAGGCAGATCGCCGTATGAACGACCTCGAGAAGAAGCTGAACAAAATGAAGGAGTTGAAGGTTGAAGCAGAAAATAGATACAAAGAGTTACGCGACCAACATGGAGACATGATAGAAGGACACGAGGCTATGATGGAGGACGTCCGCGATAAAGCGGAGGATGCTGTGCGTAAAGCCGGCGCGGTACTCGAGCAAGAGCGTAGCGAGAAGAGGAGTCTTACCAAAGACCTCAAACGGGCTAAAGAAGAAGTTGAAAGGCTCCGTGCGGCCGCATCTGCAAAGCTGGAAGAGGACACAGACGAAGACACTACCATTTCATCATTTGCAACAGTGGCAAACGCAAAGGATAACGAAATCGCCAACCTCCGCGAAATTATTCGCAAGCAAGTCTCCGAAACAAAATCCCTCAAGTCCGAACTCTCCGCCCTTCGCAAGGACAACAAGGCCCTTAAAGCATCATCCACATCCGCATCTCAAGATACAACAGCCGCCTTGGAAGCTCAACTTTCCATTCTTCGCTCCGAGAAAGCAGCCCTCGAGACGCGTCTTGCGAACCAAGCCGCTGAAAACGACGCTATCAACAAGCAAATGGATGAGAAATTAGCCACACTGCTTAGTAAACTTATGAAGGAGAAGGCTAAAACAGTGGTGGGTAAGCGTGATGGACAGTGGACCGAAAGTGTCAGGGAGATAGAGGAGGAGAAGAAGTTGCTTGGCAAAGTGTTGATGAGACAGTGGGGCAGAGAAGAGGTTGGTGTTGATGGAGAGAGAGAGGCAAAGGATGGGAAACAGGGGTACCGGTATAAATATGTCAAGAGGTGATGGGGCAAGGCCCTCGTTGCATGGTACAGGCGTTATTGGTATTGGTATATTTGCGATATGACGAATTCATGACTTGGCCTGTTCGGCCCAATTCCAGCTTCTTCATGATTTCTCCCGTTCGCCGTATGGTGTTTTGCGAGCCACGTCCATTTGCTTCACGTCCAATCGACATGAGCTCTCCGCAGCCCAACCTTATAACGCTGGACTCAACTATGCTCCTTCTCTTGGTAACTCCAACTGCCAATCCCTTATAGCAGGCCTTTCCTGGCCAACTCGACCTTCTTTGCAAACTCGCCGTTGGCCCATCCTCCCTTGCTGCCACAGATGGCGATGCCGTCGCCGAGTTCGACTTTGTCTTCTACATTTTCCCAAGCGCAAGGGCAGTGGTGCGGGAAGTGGACGCAAGAAAGGGTGCCGGGGCAGAGGTAGTGAGAGCATTGTGCTGTGATGGAACGTTAGCAGTGAATGTAGGTGTCTCGCCATTAGATGTGACTGTAGAACATGTGCGATAGAAGTTGTGTGAACGGGTTGTGGACTAAGAACGAAGATGCGATGCGTAGAAAAGGAACAGATTGACATACCACCCTCATATTGTGCCTGGTACCAGCTGCTATCACTCCTCACATTCTGTGGCTCTTGATGTTGCTGTCCACCTCCACCGCCGAACATCTGATCGAAGAAGCCGAATTGTGCGCTTGAGCACCACATGAAGGATGCGAGAACCGCGAGAATAATCTGGAATCGCGCCATGTTCGCTGTGGACGTGGAAATGTATGCGACGACTACACGGCGACTTGTGAGGTTCAGTACACGGTATGCGGCATGCGGGAAGTGGATGATGTGGAGGTTTGGCCCAGTCAATGCAAACAGGCCAAACAAGGTAAAGTGGTGTAGCAGGGGTGAGGGCTTGGCGGAAACCCAGAGCTCGGTGGTCCGCAAAAAACTCCGCTAGAATATTCAAGCTTCGATATCGCGAACTCATCCTACGCGCCAACCAACCTTCACCTACCACATTCGCTCCGCCAATACACATATCACACCGTAGTTCTTCCGCAACCTCAATACCAACACGTTAGTCAACTCTACTCTCTCTGCGGTGGAGGAGCGCACACCGCGCGATCCTATTAGCTGCGAGACAAGACGAGAAGAGCGCAAACTGACGTTCCCACAGCATGCATCTTATGTACATCCCCGACCCGGCAAACCCGGCCAAGCGCATCTACACGCTGAAGAAGGTCATCGATGGCGAAGTCAGCAAGAGCGCGCATCCCGCTCGGTTCTCCCCCGACGACAAGTACTCGAGGCACAGGGTCACCATCAAGAAGCGCTACGGACTGCTTTTGACACAGCAGAGTATGTTGGAAACTCTATGAGCCCTAGAATGGGGTGAAGCAGGTGAACTAGAGCTAACTGTGGGCACAGAGAACATGGTCGCCGAGAAGAACTAAGCGCATAAGGATGTACGATCAATGTTATCACACGGAAAAAGGACGGCGATGAGGGCTGATGATTTGGTGTGCGAAATAGCTGGAGACGCGAGAGGGTATGTCGCGGGAGGCGAGCAAGAGGTGGAGGCATGACAAGGGCGTTCAACGGCGTATTGGCGAAAGAAAAGTCTTCAGACACGCGCCGACTTACTTCATGGCGGTACGGAGCGCCTAGATTTTGTCTTCAATGGGCAAAATGGCAGGTTTTTGAATGCGACGATTACTATTACTCTTTCAGAAGCAAGTCGTGCGTGTTTGCTAACTGAGTGATTTGTGTCATGTACTTCATCGCTACATCGTCCGTTGATCTGTAGGATTGACTCCCGACAGCTGCTTGACGCTCATGGTTCAAAGTTACAAAATTATGTATGTATTATAGTTAAGATATACATGCGTCGCACGATGGCGACTTTGCCGAAAGAAACGGATCTATAGGTATAAAGTCGAAGTAAAAATGATCAAGGGAAAACAAGTAAGGACACCAGACACCATCACCCAAACACCAAGTCGATGGTATATCCTCTCACACCTATAACGTACTCCTCCTATATGACTTCTTCTCATTCGTCATCCTCCTGACCACGTTCTCCACATCCGCAAACTGCTCATAGAACTTAAGACTTTCAGGGTTCGCCAACGTTCCGCTTGGCTTGATCTTCTTGCCGGACACGATCTGCTTGACAGGTAGCTCGACCTTCTTCAGATTTACTGTGGTCTGATTAATAGTTGTTAGTACCTTGTAACTCGAAAGATAGAAGTGAAGGAAATGGAGAACGTACCGGAATATCCCAAGTTTGAAACACGTATTTTGGAACATGTCGCCGACTCCTCTCTTCAGCAATCTTACTTTTGATTTTGTTCACCAGAGACTCGGTGTACCCGAACCCCTTGTTCATCTTGAGAAAGAGAATGACACTCTCGTCAACATCCCCCGGTCGCCGCTGTCCTACACAGATGCTATCCGCCACTTCAGGGAAATGCGTCTCAATGACACTATAGATATCTGCAGACCCAAAGCGCACACCGCTGGGATTCAGCACGCCGTCTGCGCGGCCGAGGAACAAGATTTGACCTGTGATGGGGTGCATCTGGATGAAGTCGCCGTGCGTCCATACTCCAGGGAAGCGAGTAAAGTATGCAGACTGGTACCGCGTATTTTGAGCGTCGTCGCCCCAGAAGTAGACTGGCTGGTTGGGGAATGAGGCGGTAGCGACGAGTTCACCTGGTTCGCCGTCGGGGATTGCGCAGCCTGGACCCGATTCGATGAGAGAGTCGTAGACTTCAATCTTTGTGCCTAGAGCAGGACCTTGACATCCGCCTGCGTAAACGGGCTGCAGTGGGTTCTCAAGTCCAAAGCGTCCAGCAATGTCTGTGCCACCGGATTGGTTGCGTAGATGAACGGAGGCGGGGAAACCAGCGTCGTAGAACCATTCGAATTGCGCTTCTGTGAGGACCATGCCGGTTGTTCCTACGCTCTTTAGGTGAGAGAGCTGAAACAAGTGGCGGGGTGAGATGTTGCGTTTTTGAAGCTCGTGGAGGAAGCGCGGTGAGGTGCCGAAGTCGGTCACGCGCTGTTCTTCCAGGATAGATAGGAAAGCCTCTGGAGACGGTTGGAAGGGGGAGCCATCGTAAAGAATGGAGCGGGTACCGAAGAGACAAACTTGTACGGACACTACATACATGATCCATCCAGTCTGTGTTTACCAGTCAGTCGATTGTCGAGCGGGAGATGAGATGAGAAGAACTTACGGTAGTATACTGCAGAATCACACTTTCGGGTGTCATCTCCTTGTGCAGTATACTCTCTTTGCAAACGTTCATAAGCACGCCACCAGTCGAATGCACAATGCACTTTGGCACACCTGTCGTCCCACTCGAATAGACAATCAGAAACGGATCTCTGAAGGCCACACGCTCGAACACCAATGTGTCGTTCCCTCCCGCAATCTCCAAAAACTCATCCAACCGCACCGTCTTCGACAAACCTCCAACATCAGCGGGTTTCCCAGGAAACCTAGGCTGCACAATAACACCTTCAAACTCTACCACACCACCACTCTCCATGCCCTCGAGGATTCCCTCGATCTTCGGTCTCAGATCGATGGTCTTTCCGTTGTATACTGCCCAATCATCCACAAGAACGTACTTGGGACGAATCTGCAATAAGCGTTCGAGGATGCCTTTCGTGCCCATATCAGTACTACTAGAACTGAACAGTGCACCGACAGTGACTGTTGCCATGAAAGCAATAAACGTGTCGAAACTAGTTGATGCAATTACAGCGACGCGATCGCCCTTTCCCACTCCTCTAGCACGCAAAGCATTCGCGAGAACACCCACGCGTCGTCGCAGATCACCCCACGTTAGATGTCTAACTTCAGTGTTGCCCTCGCGGATCTCGGTCAACGCGATTTTAGACTCTTCTTTGTGGGTTGTGGTGCGGACGGTAGAATCGGTAGGAGAGGCGGTAAAAAGGACGTTTTCAGCAAAGTTGAGATAAGTGCCTTGGAACCAGTGAGGATTTATCTCCATGGGGAGGGAGGTGTCGACGACGGTGGTGTAGGTACCGGAGTAGATGAGGTTGCTGGCTTTCCACATGTCGACCCAGAAATCAGTGCGCGAGGGTCCGACGCTCCAGTTGTATAGGTCGCGGAATGTCTGTAGGACATGTTAGCGATTCTGTATCTTGTCTACTGGTTGTTGTCGTTGCTGCTGCTGCTGTTGTTGTTGTTGTTGTTGTTGTTGTTGTTGTTGTTGTTGTCGATGACAGTAAGGCTTGATGGCACGCGACAGCCATGCACCCATCTTCATATCACTGGATTTGTGGGCTTCGCGCAAGGGCCGTATGTTCTCCCCTCTCGTCTACAGACGTTGGCTTCTTGTCCATGTTACAGATCTCGATCAACGATCTCGATGCTTCGTCCAAATCTTGTTCCTCATTCCGCCTGTTCCAAATTGTCACACGTACCTGCATATGTAATCCACGTCTCGCATTGGCATCCTGCATAAATTTCCACATGGCCGTAGACTTTGGATCCGGATGTTCCCATAGTTTCCGCGGTGTAGACACAGCCGTCGCCATCATCACCGGTGTCTGGTACTCGACCTCTGTTTGCAGCATAGTTGCCATGTCTTCCGCGGAGAGTGCGCGAGTTCAATTATAAACGAGTGTAAGAAAAGGACAAAACAAGAAACGAAGTGAAATGAAGCGAGTGGATGTTGAGTGTTGCACTGAGGTTTGGTCAAAGGTAATATTGTCATGATATGTAGTAGACTCTCCTCCTAACGACAAAAATTCACATGCAATGGACTTGTTGTGGCATACTTCCTTCTTCCGCCCAACAACCGGCATTCGCGATGCGGGGATGCGAGAGCGGATTGAGCTTTAGGTCAACAACAAGGCACAAGAGTCTCGAACAAGATGTGCCAAGTAAGGAACTAGGAACTTAATTCCATTGATTTCCACGTTTAATCCATGGGATCTGCGAAAACGCACCTTGGCCTTAGGTACGAAAGAGAATGCTGTGGATGTGGTGAATGCTGTGGATTCTTATGTTTCTCGGCCTACAGGAGCGTCGTCGCACAGAAGATACGTAGCCGCCCATGGCGTGTCGCTCCTCATTGCTCCCTCTGCTGCTGTCTCAATGATGTTGCTGATGGGATGAGTCCATGCGGGGAAGCTTGGGGACGGAAGGCACCTATCCGAAGCGAACGTTTTTCGTTATACACTGTTGCTTTTGGCGCTTATCGTGCCTTATCTGGATATTTTGTTGGGATGTTTGTATGCATCTCGATCTATGAGGTTAGTTCTTCGCTGTTTCTACAGTTGATACTGTAACATTGTCGTTAGTCACCCGTCAATTGAATGATCCAAGTTGACTTTCGAGGTTGTCTTGCTCTGTATTCCATCTCATGTGCCACTCGAAAGATTGAAGCGAACACAACATTGCGAAGGCGAGTACTTTGCATTTGTTCTCATCATCGGTTGAGCACGCGACCTGGACCCTGAGAAGGTGCGATAGCACGTTGCATTTACCAGTGCGCGCATGTGCATCCGGAGGTCATGAATCATAGAGATGCGGTGACGACGCGTATGAAGGCAAACAATGATACTTGTCAATGAGAGCACTGTCCCAATATCGCACCATTGTCTGATAAGAAGTCGAAGAGCACCGATGTTAGGCCGTTGTTGTCTCGTCTCTCCATCTATCTTCTGATGACAATGCTTCCGGTGCTTCTACAGTCGTTGTCCCACGCGGTATGTCGACCGGTTAATCTTTGACCCTTGCGACAGTTGTAATATGGGAATTGATATAGCTTAGGCATGGTCTCTTGCGTCATGTACCAGTCTTGGTCTCATTGGTGCGACGTACCCCACGACTATTACCAACACACGGTAACCGGTACATCTGCGCCGCGATGGTGGTCGACCACAATATATGTGAAACTCGCTTCCAAGCATAAGCTGATAGATGGTGTGCCGACAATATCATCACTGATGGTCAGATGTTCGAGAAGTTTTTGCTAAGGCGTGGGTATTATACGTGGCATTCTTGGGTCAACCCGTCGATCGAGGCCTGGAAGTTCTTGTCAATTGGAGCTGTTTACGGCCCAAGACGAAACGGTACGCCTAGTAAAGCACACCCGTTCAGAAGCTTCGCCTTTCCATTGCCTGTCCTCCAAGCCTCTCATATGGCAATGTCTGTTTGTCTCAGTGGCTAGTGCCTGATAATGATTGCTTGCGCATTAATACTAACAGATCGGCCGTTGTAGGGGTTCTCTGGATATGCGGTTGCCGCCAGAAACCAGGGTAAGTTGAGACACTGTGAAGTCACCCAGTGTATAAAAAGGCTTCGCTGTCAGCACAACTTATAGATACCCGTGCCACAAAGCTGCTGAAGTACTAGCAGCGTTGGTGGTAACGTTGGAACACAGGCCAGTAGCTCCATTTCAGATTATCGCGTAAGAGTAAGCAAGACCAAGCACCAAAGAATTCGTGTGCAACCTCATGGGGCTGAATCTTTGTGCATGTCTCAAAATCCTGGAGCCCGCACCTGTTTATTCCAACCAGACTTTCTACAGTTCAGGCTCGACTCCAGAACGCGCCGTCGCAAAGGAGAATGGTTCTCGCTATAGGAAGGCCATTAGCGTACAGACTTCTGTGACGGTCATTACTAGACTGATCGCGTTCTCGAGACGTCGATGTTGTGCGGCTGCAGTGACAAATCGGGTGGAGGGGCGTCTCCGGTCTTTGTGCGTTTCTGATAAGCAACCAACATCGTCACAACGTTGAGACGATGAGAACATGTCTGACGCCGACTTTGGTACTACGCCATACGGTTGGGCGTGGCAACGTGTGCGGAACCGTCGCTATGACACTGCATATGAGACATGCAGACTCGATGCAGGGCCTAGACGGCACGTTTGAGCGTGAACCGAACAGTCTTCAGGATGATGCGAACATGATGAAAAGAAACCAGACGATGAAACGGCCGCTGGTGCTGGAGTACCAGACCCTTTTGGGTGTGCCTTACCAGCCTTGTGACGTAAGATGATGGAGCCAGACTATTGGGATGCAACAGGCTACCACAAGGCTACCACAGAAAATGCTGAGGTGAGCGGTAGTGGCCAGGAATGGACTATCGTCCAAAGGATGTCGCATTGTGAGACGAGAGATGAGCTTCCGATCACGTTGTGACTAGGGCCTGCCATGTTGGTGTAGAGTGCGAGGCTAATCCGAGGATGGGCCTAATGACTGGCATTAGAGGCAACCCTCACGAGGCTCACCGTCCAACGATGACTTATTTGGGAAGCACCTGAGTACTGTGGGCAGCTAGCACGGTCCTAAACTCCGACGATAAGCTGCTAGAGGCGTAGTGTAATATACCCAGATTGCCGAGAGTCGATGCTAGTGGCTTCATTCGGCGACGTGACTGACTCTTGAGGGAATCAGAAGACCCTCGCAGATAGATGGCGGGACGTATCTTGACTCGATGCATCAACGCAATCTTGTGCGGTTTGTGATTGATGAGTGAGTGCGGCACAGGATGAACTGTAGGTATAGGCTGCGAGGGGGCCAGGGTAGGCCTGGATATGGTGTTGGCGGTGTGGGCGGGCGATAGATGGTGCAGCAACGAATGGTACGCTGGGCGGTGACCGTGCACACCGTCTGCACGTAAAATGGAGCGCAGCATGCAGGTGAGTTTGGACCGAGAATAGAGCCAGTGGATCAGCGCGTTCCTGGCTGAAAAAGATAGGCATGACGGCCAAGGACATTTTCGCGCAGTCAGCAGCTGTGCGACTCCAGGTCCCGGGGGTTAGCAGGCGACGGAGCAAACTCCACAGGATGGGTCAGCCTGCACTCGTGCTCTGAGAGTTTTGAGAAAGAAGGGTCTTGCAGGGCTCTCGGGGTTTGCCAATGCAAGCAACGGTTAGAGCGGGCGAAGAAAAAAGACATGGTGACAGTTATCGATGATCTTTTCGGCAATGGCGTAGTCCGCTCCTGGGCCAACCCCACACAGTGGGCGCCCCATCTAGCGAAGGCGGACGGTGAGTGGTGCTGCCCCTGAGCGGCACAGGAACACCTGTCAGGTCACGGTCGAGAAAGGAAATGGTGCCATGTTCGCGCTGATGAAAGGATGGCGATCATGAACGCGTCCCGTCCTGTGGTGACATTGCCATCGCAACGACCCAGGGTCCTTTTGCAACGGCAGCAGTCTGGTGTGCACGCCATGAGTTCCCAGTAGGCGCTCGCTCATGTGCTGAGGGTGTGCGCGCTGAGCGTCTTGAAACTCGTCGTGGGCCACTCACGTCAGGCCCCTCAGCACACCTCGCCAGCCGGCAGCTAGTGCAAGTGCAAGCGCAAGCTGCAGAGGGCTGGAGAGTTGCGCCATTCAAAGTCGTCAGTGCCTGGTGCTAGTCCAGCGTGAGATGATGAATGGCGCACCGACACGGTGAACTGACTCTTGGGTTCCCTCCCTGCTCGCTCGCCCGTCTCCACCGTACTCGGTTGTACTTGAAACCTCGACGGCTGCCAGGGGGGCAGAACCTGGAAAGTGCTGCAATATATACAGGCGTCGCCAATTTGTGTAATATAGCGTCGGCCGCACTTCACCCCTCCCCATTGCTCGACGCTACCCTATACCCACAGTGCCCCTCCACGACATCTCACACTCGAGTTGTTGCTACTCACCAGGAAGCCGAACCCGTGCGACAGGACCAGTCTCACTCAGACGCCGGCTTGCCTTGTGTTCCCAAGCCACGCACACGTCTCCGACTATTGGCGCCTAGGACTGCACGCCTTTGGTTTCAACCCTCGCCGGCTGCCGCTCAGTCCGATATATTATCACCGCCGGACGAGCCATTGCAGCTGCAATTTGCTGCTCCTCACTAGCAACCATGGTCGACGCAACCGTAACTTCGCAGTTGAAGCAGTGGACATTCGACAAGCCCGAAGTTGTCGCACGCCTTCAACAACGCTCCAGCACCGACAGTGCCGCCTCGAGCCCTAACCTGTGCGACGATGCTCCCGACACGCTACGCATAGACTCCGCTACCACAGAACGACCAACTCCACCCACTGCCACCACCACCAACAACAAGGACGGCGCCGTCTTCCAGGAGCGCTATCTGTCCAGCGAGGAAGACCTGACTGCCGACGACGCGTCTGGCTCTGATTCTGAATACGACTATGATGACGTTGTTGTCCACGATCTCTCCCAAGAGTGCAAGGCGAGGACCATGTCAGTGTCGAGATGGGACAAGGGAAAGAGCTGCGACATGGCCGTGCTGGTGTCATACGCGCATGCAGGTCGTCCCAAAGTTGTCGAGAACCAACGCTCGCCTGTCGATCGCCCAACGGTCCAGCAGCGCTCGGCTTCTGTCGCGAACCTGCTTCCCGTCACATCAGCTGGTAAGCTACGAAAGGCAGACGAGGCACAGCGACTATCCATGAGGGTCATGCCTACAAGTCGTCTGGCTTCCCCTCCCCTTTCTCGCTCCACATCGCCTGTCGCCGACCCTGAGCCTCGACGACCGTCTACCAGCCACAGCCCCATCACCACCAAGATTGCCACATACCCCGACTCCGCTTCCTTCGCATCGTCCTTCCAGACTGCATCAACTCGCAGCTACTCACCCGCACCGAGCCATGCACAGAGCGAGGCACCTCGTCGACCCTCCTCCTCCACCACAGGAGACGCACAATCAGCCCGCTCCTCTGTGTACATGCCATCCAAATCCCGCCTTGACCTGGCACGCATACAAACATCGCAGTCATCGTACCAATCGTCGTCGTACAGGCAATCACAATTCGCGCCATTGACCCCCAACTCACCAGCACTTTCCTTCCTCAGCTCCGACCCCTACGAGAACTCAAATAAAAGCGCCGCATCGCCCATCATCAAGAAGCCTGCTGCGCATCGACGGTTAAGATCGATATCCATGAAGTTGTCTCTAGCCAAGATTGCTATCTCGCCAGCAAAGAAGCCGTACGACTCCCGCGTCAACGGCAAGGCTCCTCCCACACCCATGACACCAGCACCCATGACGCCTCAGACTGCACCAATTGAGGGTTCAGCCAACTTCTCCAGCCCAAACAAGCTCCGTCGCGCATCCACCATCCTGCGACCAAAATCTCGGGGAAACGACTCCAAGAGGGCGACTACACCAGAGATGGCTCCTCCGCTTCCCCAGATCAACACCAGCACAATGCAGCAAAAGCGTGCAACCACCCTCGGCAGGATGACGGCTCGCGGGGCCAACGAGCGTGAGCCTACTCTTGTCATTCCGGAATTCCCATCAAATGACGACGATGCCACGTCTAGCGTCAAGAGCCGCGCAATCCGACGACGCAAGTCACTAATGGATTTCATGGATTCGCTGTAAACGCATCAAGACCTCACTTTGTTTCGAAACGCATCCCCACCCCCGAACGCATAAACGCATAGACGACACACCAGTCTGCGACTACCTTGTATATTCTACTCCACCTCTACTACCTTCTCCCTGCATGCCATCCTGGCACTTAAGTCTTTAGCGCATAATACCCGGTGTACCCACAGCGCACGACATTGCATCTCCTTGTCATCAGCTTCCATTCCTGTTTGTCCTTAGAGGTTACGATACCCTCTCAACCTATTTCGTTGTTGGCAATTGCGAAGTGTTCGCCGCCACACACACCATCTGTCGCTATCCATCGCATCCAGCATGCATACTTTCTTGCCATCTTACAATTTGTCGCACAGCCGTAGCTTTTGTTTGCTTTGTCTGGAAATGAACGGTCATGATATCCCATAGGCATTTCCTAGTCTTCGCCTAGCGAGATGAGAATTAGAATCTACTTCGCTTACAACATACCTTGCCTTTCACATTGCGCCACAAACGTGACGGTTCGTCACTAACCGTTTGCTTTTGTGACGTACTTGTTCAGACTTGTTCGGATCACCATGCCATTAACTTGCGACAACGACATTGCCAGCGCGTATGCACCATGACGCCACGTATGCCCAACCCCAACCACCAGGTTTCCAACCTCCAAGTTTCCGGGCATCAGCTCCCAACGTTGCCATCTACATACGCCCAGCCTACCCAACACCACGGTCCAGCATGACGTTGCCAGACCCTCTCTACAGTGGGCCTTCGGCCTCAAATCCAAGTTTCCCTTCCCACAGTTGCACCTCCGAAAATGGTAGTGGGCCGACTATCCAGCGTCCCCACCTTTACCCTTGCAGCGGACCGAAGGAGTGAAATGCCCCAGTTTAACTGTTGCTTTGAGGCTTGGCCATGTTAGGATTATGTGGGGACAGGTACCCTTGTCTGGTCATATTTGGGAGGACAATGGCGAAAAGAACACCTCAGGAACAAGAAACATGCAACCTATCGGCTAACACCGACGAACTTAGGATACGCTTGGTACGGTCGCAGGCAATAATTGACTGTTCGCTTCAGGAAGGTTGCATCTACGATGGGCTCAATATGCTTTTTAGTCGGGTGTACAAACGACCGCAGAGCGCGAAATAAGGTAGCGAGAACGCCTCTCCGGTTGCAGTTGCAGTGCTACGAGGACACAATTTTGTTTTGCCAAACTCTCGGGGCAGCCAAACTTCCGTTCACTTTCCTCGCCTCACCACAACACCAATGAGATTACCGACCTTACTCAACTCCAGCATCAATGCTCGGCAACACTGACTAAGTCTACAATAAACATCGTTCCCTCGCAACCGTTGTTCTCCACCACGTGCCCACCCATACCATGCGCCCGACCACGAAGGCCCTCATCTGCTCATCACACCACCAAATCTGCCATCACACCCACGCCCATCCCCACTTTCACAATGCAAGAAAATCAGCCTCATTCAGGCGATCATAATATCCGGCTCACCCCTGTCTATAACAACACCGAAATTGATGCAAGGGGAAGAAAACATCCGCTCGGAGGGCCGCGCGCTTCCCATATCTCGCCGTCAAACCACCGTCCGATCAGATACCCGTCATCTAAAACTTACCAAAGTCGCCACTTACCCCTACACGACCACAACAACCCATGATCGGCTGCCGCGTCTGCTAAATTTCTCCGTGTGGCCCAAGCTCCTCAATGTCTAAAAGTGAACTACCAGAATCACGATAAGTCAGTGACCGTGCTGTGCTGAACTTTGGGGAAAATGTGATTGTAGTTCGTCAAGGTGAAACGCGTTAGTCGCGCGACATTTTCTCGAAAAGGAACGATTTGGGCTTGGCATGGTGAAACGGGAACGCGGAAGAAGTAGATATCGGTTGTGATTGTGATTGTGGGATTTCGGAGAAAGGCACGGGAGGTGCAGTATTGCGTGCAGAAGGATGCATATGAAGGTCGTTTGATCGACCGCGAGGGATGCGAAGGTGGAGATGAGATGGATGTGACGGGGACGAGGCTTGCAGTGGGTAGGACATGTCGATAAGGAAAGGGAAGGTACGGAAAGAGGTGGAGGGAGCGGTTGGCCAGGTGAGTGTCATGTGATTGCGCGTTTCCGATTCTCAGCTGGATGCGTCTCGGTTGTTGTCTGAAGTGTAGGTAGGTATGGAGTTATAGATGTACATCGTTATTAAGTCTCTTGAGTCTATGCTTGCCTCTTGCTAAGCTTCCTGCTCGAGGCTTCTGAGAGAAAGCCGATGCCACAATCATTAATTGTATAGAATGTACGCAGACCGTGGTGATGATGGGAGCGTGTTTCTTTGCATGCTCATGAGTGAGGGCTGGCTAGTCATATCATACACAGCGACTGACAATCCCCAAAACCCATCAATTAGACCATGTCCATCTGCCTCTGTTCTCATGTGGCACGTCTTCCGACTCCAAGATGTCGTAGCCAACACGAATTCTTCTAGTCGTGTATGAAGGTTCCAAATGTACACGATTGTACTCGCTCGAGTCGACAAGAGGACAGGCTACGCTAGATACCTTCGGGATGTTCCAAAGAGCCATTATTCGAAGCAGTTGAGTCTGAGTGTTTGCCCCCTGTGCGAGCAAGCTCTCCATGTTCGAAAGTTCCTCCGTCCATCTATTGAGGTCTGCCACAGTATATTGGGTCGTTTCAATCTCGGTCGACCATCCAAAAGCTAATACAATAAATCGGTGTCCTTGAGCTATGTTGGGCGCTTTGACGTTCTTGGGTGGGCGTACTGAGAACACCATTCCAACGCAATCTGTTCGGACGCCCTTTGGCACGAAGAACACCCCGTCTTCGGGGTCAAAACAACCTAGTCGCTCATGGACAACTATATCCGGTGCTAATTCAAATCGTAGAAAGTTCGGGCGGTATGAGCTGACAGATAGCTGTGCCCACGACTCAAGAAGTGACTGATGCCGTGAATCATCCATAGAGTATCGATCAACAAGAATGCAGTAACTTCCAGGTACATGTTTGAGAAGTATGTCCATGTAAGCAAAGAGGCTGTCAGGGCTGTCTCGCACGAAGGTATCTGGTCCTACCTTTCGCAACCGTATAGCAAGATCGGTACCCTCTGTCGTCCGACAGTACAACGGTAAGACGTAGAAACCACCATGATTTCCAAAAACAGTAAAAAGGGAATTTGTTTTTATGCCGTTATTGCAGATCGAAAACTCCTGTTGGAAACCACCCACCAATGCGGTCTGGAACCTTCTAGCATATTTGAATGGAGCTGGGGATTGAGCCAGTATACCACAGTGGGCCGAAACTTCTGGATCTATACGCCGTGAATCTTTGTATGTTCTTTCGACTTTCCAAGCAAAGATACTGATATCGGGGTTCGTTCTGATGATCTCTTCTTGCAGTCTCCGGAAGGCTTTTGATTCTTCTCCATATAACAGGGGCATGTTAACGTTGAACAGGCCGAGCAGACAATATGCCATGTCTTCGACGCGAGTAGTCTCTCGATTTGCAGCCCAAGACATCTTCCGAGCAACACATACTGATGAAAGAGCGTCGTGGCTCAGTAAGACTTCACGAGAAACTCCAGTGACTCTAGATATTTCATACGCAAGATCTGTTTTGGATCCCACATATTTCCATTCCGAGTCGTAGAAATACATATCATCACTGCTAGGGGCGATCAACTCTTGTAACGTCCAGCCGCGCGTGAACCTGTAGTGGACTTAGGCTTGATTTCAGTCGTAATTGAAGTTAACTTACCACCGACATCCTCTAGGATCCCGTGAGTTTCGTTCTGATTTGAGGTCCGAGAGATACACGAAACATGTTCGACTTCTTTGATACCATCGATACATTGAGTTGATTGCTTCTGTCAACTCGGCGCTGCTACTCTTGTCGATACAACACGTATCTATCCATGCATAAGACAAATTATTCTTCTTAGCCAGTTCAAGCGTCTTCCTGATCTTTTCATATCCTTTCTTGTGTGAATAAGCACCGCTGACATAATCCTGGTAAGACACTTCCTCCTCTTCCCAAGTATGGGATAAAATGGCATACTCTGGAGTCTTCCGACCGATGAATTCTTTGAATACTCCTGTGCCGGTGTTGATGAGCCGCATGTCGTAAGGTAAAGGAAGCCATGTAAGAGGACCAACAATATCGTTCAAGCGCTGAGAAGTCGAGATCAGGCTGAGCGAAGCGAGGGGCTCAGCCCGGTCGCTTAACAAAGTAGATGGAACACCGCCACCACCGTCCAATGAAGTGCTTACAAGGCATGATCAAGTAGCAGCAATGTTGCATATGACCATGTATGCCATACTCTGCGTGTGCTGGAAACTTGGAGCCTAATTGTAAAGAGACAGGAGATGCACTCCTACGGAAGATCAAGCACCACCAAGTTTCTGACGTGAGTTCCACGATGCCTTTGTTACCTCTGAGATATGTGTAATGGATATTTGTGGTGTTGCTGTCAGTGTTGCTCGTCGCGTCGGGAATGCGCTAGCTCATTAGCGGCGAGGGCGACGTCATGGTGATTCGCGTGTCTGGCGTGACGGCTCCACTTTCACAAGCTTCGAGGACGCGCATCTCTCTCCGTAAAACCTCTGGTACCTTGACTGCCGAGTGATGCTTGTCGCTTAGCAAACATGGCATCTGCGAGCGATGTTCTTACGCTCGTAAGCTCTTTGGCGCTTCGCCTGAGCATCTGGATCTTCCTGCGATGGGTATGTACCTGGAGAGCGACCAATAGCTGAATGCATGTAGCTAATCAGTCTGCAGATTCCCACGACCATCGTTCCTGCACTTGCAACTGCGCTCACGCTCGTCTACATTCCCTCTTTCTTTACCAGCTTCCAGGACACGGCGCAGTACAAGATTATATCCGATGAACTCGACATCATCGTGAAGGAGACTGTTGGAGGACGCGGCGACGACTCTAGCGAAGAGGTACAACTCATCGACGGTGCAGATGAAGGGCCACTGAAAGAGCTTGACGTCGAGGAGACCATCCAATATGAAGAGAGGGAACCCAAAGTGCTGCGCACACTGCTCACTGGTCTTCCAAGCCCTTCGTCAGCCATGTGGAGCTGGATCACCTTTGGCATCAACATGGCCTTGATTGCCATGGCCCTGGATGTGGTCTATCGCGCCCCACTACTTCACCAATGCCATGATGCAAGTTTTGCGCGTGTCGGATACGTCTCTGAAAACAGCGCAAAGATCTTGGTACGCGAGCCGTATGCCTTCGACGTAAAGGTCCTCTATCGCTCCATCGACGGCACCGAACGGTCGTGGATGCACAAGACGCACCGCGCCAGCCAACCCGAATACTGGCTGACCAACGAGACCGATTTCACAACCGTCATGAACATCGAGCACCTACGACCCGACCTGCCGTACGAGTACATCGTCGAGACTTCGCGTGGGAACATTACGGGAACCTTTACAACCGCCCCACGACCAGGCCGCATATCGATGCTGAAAGACAACAAATACACCTTCGTTCACTCCAGCTGCATCAAGCCTCGCGTCCCATACACACCATTTCAACATCCTCTTGAGTTCCCAGGCATGAAGCACCTTGCACGATGGCTACCAGAACTTAAGCCATACTTTATGCTTTTCCTTGGCGACTTCATCTACGTGGACGTGCCACACCGCCAAGGCAGCGATGTTGAGACATACAGACGCGAGTACCGTCAAGTCTATTCATCGCCTTCATGGCCGGCAGTGAGCGAGAATCTGCCTTGGATTCATGTCATTGACGATCACGAGATCCACAATGATTGGAACAGCAACATGACGGGCGTAGCAGTTCCAGCGTATGATGCCTTTACACACTACAACGCAGCTCCCAACCCACCTCCTCACCGGGAAGGAGCCACATACTTCTCGTTCACCCAAGGTCCCGCCGAGTTCTTCCTTCTCGACACCCGCCGATACCGTACTCCTGCGAGCAAGGACGCTTCCGATCCCTCAAAGACTATGCTTGGAGCTCAGCAACTCTCTGACCTGCTCGCTTGGATTCAAAAAGTGCCACCTCCAGGCGTTCACTGGAAGTTCATTGTGACTGGCACACCCTTTACAAAGAACTGGCAGTTTGGGTCTGAAGACACTTGGGGTGGACATCTGTACGAGCGTAAACGTATACTGGAATCTGCATGGGACCTTTCTTCTACGCATGACATCGGCGTTGTAGTTCTTAGCGGTGACCGCCACGAGTTCGCTGCTACTTCTTTCCCACCACCCAAGGATGGCAAGTGGCCCACTAGCGCTACAGTACATGAGTTCAGCACAAGTCCCTTGAGCATGTTTTATTTGCCCTTCCGGACTTACAAGGAGACTGATGACGAGGACGTGTGTCTCAAGTACCTTCCGGATGGAAACAGCAAGTTTGGTGCTGTAGAGATTACAACACCCGAACACGGTGAGCAGAGCTTTGTCAACTACCGGCTATTCATCGATGGCAACGAGGCTTGGACGCATTCCATTAGCACGCCGCCGGGAAGGAGTGGAAGTCATCGAGCGAAGGATGCTGTCTGGGGATAATGGACGAGTGTATGGGGAGACAAGAGGAAGGTTTGTGATTTAGCGTTAGGTAGACGTGCTTCATCAGGAGACAATCATAATTCATCTGTTTCTCAAAAATAGTGATCCTGGATCTGGGTATCATCCATTGCTGTCATAGACTCAATGCTATAGTATGTTTCAACCCCACTTCCTCTTCGCCTTCTCCTCGTCCTCTTTGGTCCACTCTCGCGGCAATACCGCAAAGACAAGGTACGAAGTATGCGTCTTAAGCTCCGGCTCCGTTCTATGCACCAACCTACCCTCCTTGAACAGCGTCCGATTCTCCAACTCCTTCTTCGTCTGCGCAAGCCTATCATGCTTGCTTGGCGGCACACCCTCCATCTTCTTCTTCTTGCCCTTACCTGCCTCACCGCCCTCGCCCACAGCCTCACCCCGTTTCCTTGCCTCGGCTTTGCGCATAACCTCTTCCTGCTTCTCGCGCTGCATGCTGTGAAACACAGCTGCTCGGCCTTCTACATCCCTCAGTCTTTGTACTGCTTCCTGAACATTCGCTGGATGTGCGTTGCCGCCGCGGACGCCTTCTTCTTGGAGACCCACGCGCTCCCGACGTACGTCGAGGCGCTTCGCCTGGATCTCCACCATATCTATTTCTACCCAGCCGAGGGTGCGGAGGGCAGAGACCGTCTTTGTGACTTGCTCGATGCAAGGGGAGAACGTGCAGATGCGGACAGCATTGCGCGGGTTAAGGGGGCTACGGAAGGGTTTCGAGGATGCGGTGGTCGGTTGCGCTTCGGCTGTAGGAAATGTAGGGTCGTCTGAAGGAGCTGGAATGGATGGATCTGAAGCGACAGACTTCAATGCCGCGGAGGAAGGAGGTGAACGTGTAAGGTGTTTGAGAGCGTGCCATGGTGCTGGTAGATCGAGGAATATGCAGTCGGCATCTGGGCCGGCCGCATCGTCTAAGCCAAAGCCGCCGTTGTATACGTCGCGATGCGTTACTGTAACCAGCTGATCCAGGCCATGATCTTTGATCTCAACCTTCAATTGGTCGGCGCGTGGTTCGTGGTATTCAAAGCTGTATACGCCGCCAGTCCTCGTCTTGCGCTTCCTCTTCTTAGAAATGCCTACTGCATTTTCCTCATGCCCATTTGTCTCAGTCTCAGTCGCAATGTCTTGCATCCCAGGGTAGCCATTATAGACTGCTCTTATCGCTGCGTGCGTAAAGCTTCCACTTCCTGCGCCAGCTTCAATGATATGGTCGCCCGGCCTTGCGCGCAGTCTTTGCAGGATGTAGCTGTAATCGGGCGTGTACACCACTTGGGTTCGGTGCGGTAGCGATATTGTCCAGGTCTCTGGCGTAGGCGGAATAAGATGCGCAAATCCACTACTTGCCGCCGCAGCCTTCACAATGTCCCTCTTCTCGACCTCCTGCTCAGCGACGGGCTTTCCTTCGCCTTCATCCTTAGCGTCCCTCTTGCGCTTTTTGTTTTTGCCGCGCGATCCAGTATCGACCTTTGACGCAAGAATTTGCGTACCCCATGGCTGGCCGACGAGTGTGCTGTGAGGAAAAGAGCCAAATCGCGTGTTCTCGACCCTGCCTTCAGGGTAGTCTGAATCGGCTTCTGGTGTCAAGACTGCAGGAATGAGATGGTCGCGACGCAATTGGATGACACCGAGGTTGTTTGCTGTCGCACAAGTTCCTGGATCAAGGAACGGGGAGGGTGTAATGGCCATGGGCACGGTTGGGCAGATCGCGACAGAAAAAAGATGTGGAGATGATGCGATCGCGACTCGGAGCTCCAGAACAAAAAGATATTCAGCGGGGAGCTTTCGAGATTGCCATTGGAGGGGAGCGCCAAGGCTTTTACGACAGGGATTCTTATTGCTCATCGAGACACCACCAACAAGACGTGACCAGAACTTCACTTACTGACTCACCGTAAGCCGCATCTGAACTAACACCTGGCCTCACTACAAGTACTACTTCCTTGTCACTCCTTACAGTTCCGTTTACCGCCACATTGATGGTACTTGCTTTCCGGTCCTTGTCCCGCACCATCAAATCGCCTTCCCCACTTCTACTTTCGAAAACCAACTGCAGCCAAATATATCGAAGTCAGATATCGCCAAGGCTAGCAGCCAACATGGCAACACCGGCGCGCACCCAACCTCCATGGAAGCAACCCGAAGGCTCAAGTCCAGCTAAATTGAAAGTCTGGAACTCTTTGACCAGATCCAAGAATGACTTCGTACCCATCGATCCCGAAGGCAAGGAAGTGAAGTGGTATAGCTGCGGTCCTACAGTCTACGACGATGCGCACTTGGGGCATGCTCGAAACTACGTCACAAACGACATCCTACGGAGAATTCTTGCTCACTACTACGGCTACAAACTGAAGTTCGTCCAGAACATCACTGACGTTGACGACAAGATCATTCTGCGCGGGCGCCAGCAATATCTCCTTGGAAAGTTTAAGGCCGATAACCCAAAGGTGACGGAGGAAGTTATCAACACTACTATCAAAGCCTTCGATGCATATGTTAAGAAGAACCTACCCTTACTCAATCCGGACGTTACCATTGGCAGCTTCAACAGCGATTCTGCAGAGAAGTATGCCAACGTTATCCAAGGCAAGTCTGTCGACGGCGTTGGCCCGCCAGGTGACAAGGAGGCGAAGATCAAGATGCATCTTCGAACAGCCAGCACAGCAGTAACATCACTGCTTGCTCCATCGAAGATTACACCCGAAGATATTGAGATCTTCTATGCTGGCGCCGAGGACGTCCTGTTACCATACCTTGACTCACTCTATGGCTCAACTATCGACGCCAGTGATCACTCAGTCTTCACAACACTCACCAAGAAGTACGAGGCTCGCTTCAATGAGGATATGCGCGCACTCAATGTTTTGGACCCAGATGTTGTCACTCGTGTCACTGAGTACGGTGACGACATCGTTGCTTTCGTAGATAAGATCATCAAGAACGGAATGGCCTACAGCACATCGGATGGATCTGTCTACTTCGACATTGAGAGTTTCGAGAAGAGAAAGGGTAACCACTACGCACGTCTTGAACCATGGAACAGGGGTGACACAAATCTGCAAGCAGATGGCGAAGGTGCGTTGTCAACAGTCAAGACATCTGAAAAGCGCAACGACTCCGACTTTGCTCTATGGAAGTCTTCCAAACCGGGAGAGCCAGCGTGGAAGAGTCCATGGGGTCCTGGTCGACCAGGATGGCATATCGAGTGCTCTGTCATGGCTTCAGCCGTATTGGGCGAACAGATGGACATCCACAGTGGAGGTATCGATCTCTGCTTTCCCCATCACGATAACGAGCTTGCACAATCAGAGGCCTACTGGCAAAAAGACGGCGGTGCTCAGTGGGTAAACTACTTCCTTCATATGGGTCATCTGTCCATCTCAGGATCCAAGATGTCAAAGAGCTTAAAGAACTTCACGACTATTCGAGAGGCCTTAAGCCGCGGCGATTGGAATGCCCGAAGTTTGCGTATCATCTTCCTCCTTGGAGGCTGGCATGACGGTATCGAGATCACGCCGGATATGCGAAAGTCGGGTTCATCATGGGAGAGCTATGTGACAAACTTCTTCTACAAGATTCGCGATCTTGAGGTTCACCCAAATATCAGCTCAACAGGCGCCGAAGACGAGAAAGTTAAGAAGTCTTTTGAAGTTGCGAAAGAGAAGGTTCACAGGTGAGGCTCAAATCTCAGTAATCTCTACAGTTCCCACTGACACTCAATCTAGTGCGCTAGCCGACTCTTTCGACACGCCTACAGCTATGCGTGCCATATCTAGTCTTATCACAGACTACAATTCAGCCGATAAGGCTGGACTGTCCGATGACGTGTCCTTCGACGTCGCTCGCTACATCACTCGAATGGTCCGGGTATTTGGTTTGGACGGTTCAGCCGACCCATGGGACGGCGGTATTGGCTGGGCTGGCATTGATATTCCTGCTGCTGCCAAGGAGCACGTATACGCTGTCTCGCGAGAACGCGATCAGGTCCGACAACATGCTATCGCTGGTGACCTCAACGAAAAGCTGGACTCAATCATCGAACAGCACACCCCCGCAAAGCAGCAAGACATCGAAGCACTCCCATACGCCGAAGTACTTTCAACATTCCAAGAATCCCTACAAAATCTGGCGAAGAAGCAAGCGCCGGCAAAGGACTACCTCGACTTGTGCGATCAGCTACGTGACACCTACCTTTGGGATCTTGGTATCTACCTTGAGGATCGCGAGAACGCTCCCGCCATGGTCCGCCCCGTCGATGCCGAGTTGCAAGCAGCGCGTTCCCAGAAAGAGGAAATCGCTCGCCAGAAGGCCGAAGCGAAGCTAAAGCGCGAACGTGAAGAGGCAGAGAAGAAGGCTAAGCTTGCAGAACAAGCTAAGATCAACCCAAAGGATATGTTCAGGACGGAGGAGTACAGTGCGTGGGATGAGGATGGTTTGCCGACCAAGGATAAAGATGGTGCTGATGTGGCGAAAGGAAGGGTGAAAAAGCTTAGGAAGGAGTGGGAGAAGCAGAAAAAGCTGTTTGAGGAGCATTCGAAGGCATAAACTGAGGGAATCTGTAGCATGTTTGGAGAGATGTACATCATCGAATTCCATTCCATCAGAGTCACATGTATCACACTGCGACCCGGTGTATGTTCTGAAGACCAACATATGCTACTGTCTCGTTTCCGTCAAAATATCAAACTGCTCTGTGGACTGCTGACTATTCTCCCTCTTCTTCTCTCCTAGTCCTCCACCTTGGTTCTTGAGTTCAAGGGAACTTAAAAAAGGGTGTTTATCAGAGCGTAATCATCATCCATAAGATGTTTCAAGTTCTGTAACATATATGCGAGGATGCTAAAGTATATCTTTACTTGAAACGTGTCCATTTTTGTCCAATGAGTAGTTTGAAGGCCTGTTTAGGAGAGCGTAGACATGGTAGTGCGGATGAAAACGTATTCATCAAAACCGGTGCGCTTTCAGGAGCTTGTATCTAGCTTCATATCGCTGTCGGTGATGCAAGTCGTCGCTGGTGCATCTTTTAAACAGCGAAGCCCTCTCCATACACATTTGTTCCTATCATTCCAAAGATTCAATACGCAGGTACTATTATCACTGCTACTACCGTGTCCGTTCAGCCTATATTGAACTATCCATCTAAGTATGCAGATTGCCTCATGTTTTGATAGCCGGGCACGTGTCATGTCGGATAAAGTTGCTTATCTAGTGGCAATATCGCAAGCAGAAGGTCAAGCGGTCAAACAAGGTGAACGCAGGTCCAGTAGCACTGACTAGATACTCAAGTGCATGAACAAACTTAGAATCTCTTGCGGAAAAGTAGGCGCCAACACCTTGACGGTATGTAATACGATGCTTACCAATAACATGATGTAGATTGTGGTGTTGTACGGCAACATTTTGTGAGAGCCGGCGGGCGCTAGTTCAAAGATCGACAGCACGACTCCAAACATGGCCTAGCGTGTAGATTACCAATGCGGTGAGAACGCCGAATTTTGGGGAAGCGACCATGAGCTTTCCCCATCTTCCCAGGCGAAGCTTCGCGATTGGACATCTAGCACACATCGTGCAGATGGATTCAGTACCCAGTCCGAAGGGAGTATCGGAGCTCAGCTAGCTTCCGCGGCCGGCGAGTGGGGATGATATGTGGAAAAGACGGTTGACCGTCGGATAAAACACCGAAGGATGGGTTTCTTTCGAATATCCACTCACCAGCCACATCACGTCTTGGGAGTTCTGCCTTTCGGTATCTCTCGCTATTCGGGCAGCTGCTAATATCTGTTTCCACAATAACATGGATACCAATCGCGATATCGAGAACGGAACAACATCGGAGTTCGGACAAGCGCACACCGAACGCAACCATGACGCATCATATGCATCAATAAAAGTACCTTCAAGAACGGCGTCGCGAAATGAAGAGGAGGAGATTGCAAGGATACCAACACACGTTTCTCAAGCGTCTCGTACAAAGAAATCGGTCATTGGGCTTGCAAAGACCATTACCGCTCGTTCAAATGCGTCCGTCATCGACCCTGGACCACCGCCCGACGGAGGGACCAAAGCTTGGATACAGGCATTCATGGGTCACTTCGTAATATTCAACACATGGGGCATGATTGCGACATTCGGGGTCTTTCAACAGCACTACACACTCGATCTAGGCCTCGAGCCATCAGCTGTATCCTGGATTGGGAGCTTCCAAATGCTGGGACATTTCTCGCTAGGCATGTTGACAGGTCGGCTGTTTGACGCGGGGTACTTCTACTGGTCTGTCATACCTGGTATGCTCGTTTCATGTCTAGGAATGTTTATGACCAGTCTATGTACAAAGTACTGGCAATTCTTCCTTGCGCAGGGTGTCATGAATGGACTTGGGAACGGTATGCAGTTTGCTCCCGTCCTGGGACTCGTCAGCACATACTTTGCGAAGAACCGGAGTGTGGCGCTGGCAATCATGGCTTCAGGTAGCGCGACCGGTGGGTTGGTATATCCGACGATCGCGCGACAGCTTCTTCCTAAAATCGGCTTTCCCTGGACAGTCAGGGTGATGGGGTTCATGATGTTGGCTATAGGGACATGCTACTGTTCGCTACTCAAACCACGACTACCTCCGAGGAAGTCTGGTCCAGTTCTTGAACTTAGTGCTTTCGGAGAGCTGCCGTACAGCGTGTTCCTAATTGGAGTCT